AGAGTATAACAGTAAAACTCTGGATTTATTAATAATACATGAAAAGGTGCTTCAAATGTTGATTCAATCAGTCCAGTCTAATTTTAATTTATTTTGGCACTAGCCAATCGTCACCATATGCTGGATATGTTATGCATCCAATCCTTGTATCAGTGAGTGGAAGAGCATAAACAGCATAAATCTCCTCTCCAAGACAGCCTTCAGTATATAGAATATTCTGTGTGCTCATCTTGAGTATGGATCTTTAAGGTTCCACACATACATGTGTGAGAGAGATAAGGGTCAGAAGATTCAGGTGCTACCTACCCCAGCATCATTGCAAAAGACTGAAAACAAGCCTTTTCTTTAGGTCTTTTAAGATTGAATTGTCTCTATAATTGAGATTAGGAAGTTCCTACCTAGGTTGATTAACTGTTTTATATTTTGTTTTCATGGTTTTATTTATATTGCAAGCATAGGGAATTGGCTTCTGATTATGATATAAGAAAGCAAATAATTTGAAGATGAAGATTATTCTGACTTCATTGTCATGTTTCCCACTGAAGCATCACTGCAGATTTCCTTTAGTTTTGCTAATTCTCTAACATACATCCTTCCCTTGAAAATATTTCATGTTATAATGATCTCTTACATTTTTAACACCACACAGTCTTTGATTTCAAAGTTTACCGTAGTCATGAACATTCCTAATTGGGAACTTTTTACTAGAGAATCATTATGTGCCTGAAACTGCTTATGGATCCATAAAACTAGTATGTGACATTTTAAAAATGTCTTCAATGCTATCTTTTATTAAACTGTAACAGCACAAATAGAATATAGGATCCCAGTAAATAAATCAGCAAAAGGCATATAGCTCACATCCAATCATATATATGTGATTGGTTTACTTGTGTGTTTCTCTTAAGCCTCTATAGTCTTTCAAGAAAGATCAGGAGCTGACCATGTTTTTGTGACCAGGGCCTATATTTAATGTATGGGGGAGAGGTAAAAAGGATGATGAGCAAAAACATCACAAAGTTGGTGAGGGGAATATCACTTTAGAGATTGTGTTTCTGGTTTCAGCAGGAATTTGGGAGTTTGCTTCATACATCGAGTATGTGTTTTTTGCTTTGAGAAGCTGCAAATGTACTTTTTTGACAACTGTATTGCTATAACTCACTGGTGCAGTTTATAATTGGAAGGGGCAATGGAAGAGGTCATTTTTAGTTCCAGGAGGATCATGAAAATGTTGAGCTTGATGGTTACTTATCTCCAAATTATTTGGCTCTCCTTCTTCATTCCTCCCAGATTTGTCTCTCCCCACATCATATATATCATTTTCTCTGCAGTTTGAGAAAAGTGGGGAATAGTGTTAGAATGGATCTACAGTACGCAACATGCATCAATTCTTGTTAATAATTGAACTCTTATTCATTATCTAATTGACAGTGAGATTGATACTTAAGTGTATCCAGAAGTGGTATTCAGCCGGTTTGGACCGGTTTAGACGAACCGGTAGTGGAAATTTTAACTGATTCACCAAACTGGCAAATACCACCTCTCACTGGCCCCACCCCCGCCCTCCCAGTTGCCACTGGCCCCCGCCTGCCCCACGCAGCCCAGCTAATCACCTCGCCTCACCTCCGCACCTTGCCCGCTCTGCTCACCAAAGGTAAGCATGCTTGCCCTTCGCCTCGGGTCCCAGGGAGGCGCCATTCCCCGAGGCCCCAGTCGGAGCCTCCACCTGCTTGCCATTCACCTTGGCCAAGTTGGGAACACGCCATTCCCCAGCTTCGGCCTTGCCCCAGAGCCTCCACCCACTCGCCGTTCACCTTGGCCAGGTCAGGGAACAAACACGCCATTCCCCAGCTCTGGCCTTACCAGGGGCCTCCTCTTGAATGCTGCCTACTCGCCCTCTGCCTCGCTAACCTTCGTCCCCTTGGTGGGGGTTGCCCCAGCGAGGCTTGGCTGGTGAGCGTCCAGCTGCTGGTAATTTTTGGCTGCCTTCTGAGCAGCTCTGTTGTGACACCGTCCCTCCGGTGCAGCAAGCCGTTCTCCTGGCTGGGTCTGTCTCTGGCCACAGATGGCACCGGCAGGCAATGGGATGTGCGTACATGGCCAGCGCAAAGAACAGGATAATGATGGCAGCGATGGAACTTCTTCAGGCCTCTTTTTCGGCCTGTAGTTTTTGGTAGTTTTTGTTGTGGCCCATCAGTGGCCTGCGCAGATCGTGGCTGATCCCGATGAAGAGGAGGCTGGTGTGGTGTCATGCCAGCAGCCTGCGCCGCCAGCGCTCATGTCGGACAGCGAGGAGGCTGAAGAGGATGTGGTGCCAGAGGCAGAGACTCAGCCAGGACCTTCAGAACCTCCAGAGGTTCCCTCAAGTGAAGAGAGCGAAGTGGAGGAGCCTCTCCTCAATGCTCGAGCACGCAGGTCTGCCAAAAGGCAGGAGGAGGTCTACTCGAGAGTAGGGCTTGAGGATAATTGGCCACTCCCTTAGCCTATTTAAGTTGCACGCAGCTAGTGCTTTCTTGTTGGAAACAACTCGTATTTATTATCAGAGTATTTTGGTTTATCATATCTTGTTTTCTGGGCTGGTTGCCAACCTTTGCCAGTCTTATTTATTCTTGCTACTTAATAAATTTGATAAGGACTGTTGGTGTGTATCAATATCCTCGGAAATCCGGAGCTGGGGTAGAACAGTTTTCAGCGTAATAAGCCTGCAAATACTGCCTCTTTTTCAGCTCAAGAAGCCTCCCGCTCTGGCTCGGTTCTGGCTGGCAAAGAGGCTTCTCACGCCGAAAAAGAGGTGGTGGCTGCAGGCTTCTTGCACCGAAAACTACAGGCCAAAAAAGCGGCCTGAAGAAGTCCCGTCACTGCCATCACCGTCTTGTTCTTTGCACCGCCCACACATGTGCATTCCATTGCCTGCCGGTGCGCGGCCGCACCCCATTGCCAGACCTACCAGGAGAACGGTCTACTATGCCAGAGGGATGGCATTGCAATGGAACTGCTTGGAAGGCAGCTGGACTGCGGTGTCCCTTTAAGGTATTTTGACGCAGGGAGGAGAGCCTCCCATAAGGAGACAGGCCACAGGAGCTGCCTTTTATGCTGGTTCTGTGGGCGTGGCTTGGTGGGTGTCATGTGACTGAGTGGGCATGGCCAACTCGATGTCACTCACAGCAAGGTGCCGCCCACCAAGCCACGCCCACAGAACCAGTAGCAGAAAAAATTGAATCTCACCACTGTATCTCAGTAAAGAAAAATAAAATCATACATGGTTGCTCTATATAATGACCAAAAGATATAGGAAATGCCTGCGTACTGCAGTAGGAACGATATTGTTTTTATTTAATTGAAGAATTAACGTGTAGAATTGATTTTCCCATTCAGTTATTTAAGGTCCATGAAATAGCAATGAATGAACCAAGAAAGAAAGCCAGGCAAGATGATTGGGAAGTAAACACACAAATGAGATTACCTAGCTACTGCAGGCACTTAAAATGGAATTTAGAAGCATTTTAAAGAAGAAACTGTGATCAATAAGTTATCAGGTTCATTGCAGAGGAACAGAGAAGAGTAATGCTTACTTCTGACTGTTGTTTGTTTTCTTCAGAGATGCACTACAACTTCCCCAGTTCTAACTGCCAACATCACTTTTTCCTAGTCAAAAACTGTACTAAGCAACAAGTTTCACTTTGGGTGCCTGCTTTGGCCTCTGCATGTGATGACATGTCAATTTTGAAATTCCCTTAGTCAAGCAAGCATCTATACCCTTTTCTTTGGCTCCAGCTGTCTGGTAATACACCCCGTTTCCTGGCACATTCTACCCTTCAGTTCTACTTTGCAGCAGTATTGCTTAACTACTGAGCTGACAGCAGCAAAAGACCAAATTGATTTTTTTTCAGATATCTAGGTGGGGCAATTCAGTCTTTTCCCCTTTTAATGTATCTAGATCCTCTTTGAATTTTTTTTTTTGTGCTTTAAATAAGGAAGTTTGATTAAATATATCTCACATAACCATTCAGCAGATGTTCCCTGAAGTAGGTTTTCTACTGAGATACTGTTACCTTTCAATAACTCAGAGTTTTGCTAGAATCAGAATTACCACAGTGAAGTTTTAGTTTGGCATGTAAGGAGACCATCACAATCAGGCATACTGCTGCAAACCAGGTGAACTCCTTTCACTGCTTCTAAGGTCCTAAAAATGGTAATCAGAGCAATATGCTTTACTGAGAATAGCTGAACCCAGAACTTTGCTAAAGTTATAATTAATAAAGAAAGACTTTCAGGCAACTAGGCTGTTTTGCTCCTTCCTTCCTTCCTTCCTTCCTCCCTTCCACACTACAGTATTTCAGAATCTTTATTTCTTTGGCAGGAAGCTGCCTTAGTTTTGGATTGTTTTTAATGATTGATATGAAATAGTTTTAAAGTTTTACTGTTTACTGTTTTCTTACTTAGGTTTCCGATCTGCCTAAAGAAATATGTTTTTGGAGATAAACAAGTAATAAAAATTAGATACATGCATTAAAAGTGAAAATGCCTTATTGGGCAATTTGATTGGCTTCTTCACTTTTTATCCAACTTTCCCACACGGATATCCTTCAGATCTGCTGGAAATACAATTCCCAATGTTACCTATCAGTACAGCACAGCACATTTGGAGGGCACCAAGTTGGAGAATGCTACTTAAAATAATCTGGTTATGACAGTCCTGGACAAGCTACAATGGAACACTATGTACATCCTCTTGAGCTGCTGTATGAAAAGTTGGTTGAAAACCAACAAATAATTAAAACACTATTTCTATTATAAGTATTATATTATTGATAACAATAATATTTATATTTCTAACAGAAACATTAAGTTTTATTGAAAATGTGTTTTCTAGTTAAAGAAGACAAACTAATTCTTTGAGGTTGAATAATTGTAGCCTGGGTGGATACTCTTGTGGGTGGTAGTATGGAAACAAAAGACTTCCATATAACTTCGGGAATTTTGTTTTTCTTTTATTATAGCTTTTGTTTTTCTCCATTTTATGAAGTCATTGTAACACTGCATGCAAACATCCTGAGTATGTTCATAGACATGCTTTAGAGATTACAAGAACGTGTAGAATAGCCACCATGGGTCCTACTCAGCTTGTCACACAGAACCATGGGAAGAAGACAAGTGTTTTTAACATGGAGGAAAAAGTATTTGCACTTTTCCAGAATTCAGAGATTCCCTCTGAACCTATAGGTAAGAGTACATTCTTGTTTTAATTCATATGTTTGGAATGCAGTACCAAATTATCTCTATGTTAAATCAAATCATGTGATAGGCCTATGTGGCGGAATTCTAGGTACTCCTATGGATTTCATGAAATTTTAAAGTAGTTTCTGCACATTAAAAACAAAACTATCTCCATTCAAGCAATACATTATAGGATAATGGATATAACAATAACTATGGAATATGATATGGATATTGAATATAGAATAACTTTTTGGTCTAGCTTTGAAAAAAGGTAAAGGAAAATCCTGGGAAGAAATGTAGAGGGAAAGAAATTAATGAGAAGGTCTAAAAAGTTTGCAAGGGTTGATGGTGTTTGGCTTGGTTTTTCTGAGTTTTGAAAAATGTTGGAAAGAAACATTTCTGTTTCTGGTATGAACCCTAGCCACCTGCTTAAAGTGAATAGTCTGGATTATTTATGATTTCAAAAGTTTATGAAGCTGACTCATGAAACTGTAAAATGTAAATGAAAAGTATGCTGGACTTTGCTTTCAAAAACCCCATGGAGCAAGACCAATAGCTGTATTACCTGAGGAACTATGGGAACTGAATGAAGTCTCTTAAAATTGATTCCCAGAATTCTCTCGCTAATATGGCATCAGACTCAGGGGTGGGTTCTAAAATTTTTTACTACCGGTTCTGTGGGTGTGGCTTAATTTGGTGGCATGGCTTGGTGGGGGGTAATGTGACTGGGTGGGCATGGCCAACTTTCTTTCTTTTTCTTTTTCTTTTAAAAGCATTTTTTCTACAACCTTAAGAGGTTGCGGAAAAAAAGGCTTTTAGAAGCCTCTGACGATCCCAGCTGAGCCGCGCGATCATCAGAGGCTTTTTTTTTTACTTTTAAAAGCATTTTTTCACCCGAAGAGGTTGTAGAAAAAATGATTTTAAAAGTAAAAAAAAAAAGTAAAAAAAAAAAGGCCTCTGATGGGGTGGGCGGGGTAAGCGAGCAGCGACCGGGCCAGGGACCGGTTTAGGGGCGTGGCTAGCCAATGTTATTACCGCTTCTCCGAACTACTACAAATTTTTACTACTGGTTCTTGTGAACTGATGCGAACCGGGAACAAGCCACCACTGATCAGACTGGTAAATGCTGTCCTAGTCAGACTGAAAAAAACAATGCTGATCCCTGCTGCCCAACCCACTGAATGTCAGACTTTCTAGAAAGGAAACATGATAATATAAGCTAATTCTATTTTATTGTAAAGCTACATTAACAGAATCGTGCAAGTCTGAACGTATAGATCCCCTGCTGTCTTCTTTAGAGCTTAAAACCTAAGGGGATATCCCTTCTTTGTCCATCTCTGATGCAGCTTCTCTTATATGACTGCTCCTAAGCAACATCTCTACCCCATTTCCCAAAGTCATTCCCACATACCGTTATGTATTACACAGAGACCAAGACAACCGGTTTTGAAAGCTAATATTTTCTTTAGTTACCCATTCTCTGTGTCTGTTACCTTTATATGTGAAACACTCTAGGATATTTTTATTTCCAGGTCCTCTCAGAATCTAATAGCTGCTGATTCTTTTAAAATAGATACGTAGACAGAAAGGGGAATTGCTTGATTAATTACATATATTGCTCAGCTTGTACCCAATATTCTAGCTTTGTATTTGAAGGGATATTTAATACAATGGATACAGAATTCTTACCCCTGATTATTCCTATACATTCTGAGATGATATAATTCTTATTCTTAATACTAATTAAATCATCTGCATTATAGTCTCATGGCCCTAGAAATGCATTGAACACCATTGGGTAAATATTATTAGAACAGTATATCCAGAGGTCTTCCTTCACCACAGGTCCTTATGTTCTTTGATTCCACCTACATATAACGTTTCAGGTTTCTCCAAAGTCAGCATATTATTATGCATGAAAAAACTGTTAGCATGTATACATCATGAGAAGCTCTTCTTCTATCATTTTCAGGTCTTATTTCAGAGTCTTTCCTTTCATCCCTTTTCTCTGCTTTAGAAAATCCTCCACTGAAAAGGAAGAAGGGGCCAGCCCCCAAGATGCTAGGAAATGAGGTGTGCAGCGTATGTGGGGACAAAGCCTCTGGCTTCCATTACAATGTCCTGAGTTGCGAGGGCTGCAAAGGTTTTTTCCGACGTAGTGTGATCAAAGGGGCCCAATATATCTGCAAGAACAGTGGCAGATGTGAGATGGATACGTACATGCGCCGGAAATGTCAGGAGTGTCGGTTACGCAAGTGCTATGAAGCAGGCATGCGAGAGCAATGTAAGTACCTAGTGTGGAAATATCAAGGATCATTCTGGGGATAGTGCTTTATAGAGACAAAAATGTTTCCTTTAGCTACATTTCATAATAAAACTGCCAGTACTCTCTCTGTCATAGAACCTCAATCACCTAACAAAATAATATATTAAAGCAAGGAGTTTGAATAAAATATGCTTTAATTAAATTATTTAAATTATTTTTATTTGAATTTTTACAAAATGCAAAATATTTAAGTCCATTAATACCTGAACTGTTTATCTCAGGTTAGATTTGGACAATGTTCAAGCTGCTGTTTGTTAGGAGTTTTTTTCAATTATGGTATGCTTTTTTTTGTTTCAAAAGGATTTAGATCCTTGCTGTTCTGAAAATTAATTCATTTTTTCACTGAAAAAAAAAGTGCATTTTATATTGCTACTATCCTGATCCTTCAAACTCTTTTGACAGGATGTAACTAGATATTTGCATACCTCTTAAAATCCGTATTTTATTTTACCAGATAGATTTCCTAAATGTTTCATTCTTTCCAGGCTCAGTATGGGGAAAAACCCCCAAATTGTTCTCTTTGTCAGACAGCTGTAAAGTATGCATGTAAAGTACAATAGCTTCCAAAGTGCCAGGTATTTATCCCTGTTACTAAATGTTAAAACAGCTGAGGTTCAATGTAATAGCAGACTTCATAAGGCAACTGCCACTTCACAGCACTTTTCTTTACAAACACACTTTGCCAGTCACATGATCTAATGCTAACACTGTTCTTAGACATTACAAAATAGAAAGAACATTTTGGAAAAAAGATCCTGCAAAAGACGCCCCTTCTTTTTAAGAACCAGACATGGAATAACTCCACCCAATAATAACAAGTTTGTGAGTGACTACTGTGCATTCAAAAATATGATAATGTGATTGTATTTTAGCTAAGCCAGTTGCTTACTACTTGACCAATTTATAATTTGAAGTACACCATGAAACTGGAGTCTCACTGTATTTCTCTTACGAAAAAAAATCCTTTTTAAAATTAAAGTACAAATCTATTGTGGAATAATGCAGACCTAATACCTAATAAATAGGGTAACAAAATAGATTAGTATATTATATTTGAGAGCCAGTTTGGTATAATGGTTAAGGCAGGGGTGTCAAACTCAATTTCATTGAGGGCTGCATCAGGGTTGTGTTTGACCTTGGAGGGAGGGCTGGCTGGGATGGGCGTGGCCAGGATGGGCATGACCAGTGTGGGCATAGTCAGCTCGACATCACTCATGTCGGGGGCACTTGTGGTGGGCAAGTGCTAAGGCAGGACTTCCCTCAGACCCTCCCTCCCTCTCATAATCTCTCTCCTTCCTTCCTTCCTTCCTTCCTTCCTTCCTTCCTTCCTTCCTTCCTTCCTTCCTTCTTTCTTCTTCCTTCCCCTCTTTTCTTATTTTTCCTTGCTCTCTTCCCATCTTTCCTTCTTTTTCTTTTTCTTTTTCTTTCCCTTTCTCCTTTCCTGTCCCTTCTTGGATGCTCAAATTTACTTACTTACTTACTTACTTACTTACTTACTTACTTACTTACTTATTTATTGGTTCGATTTATATGCCGTCCTTCTCCGGAGACTCAGGGCGGCTTACAATACGTTAAGCAATAGCCTTCATACTTTTGTATATACCTGCTTAGTAGGGCTTTCGGCCCCCCCTAACCGGTGTCTTTTTTATACAAAGTCAGCTTATTGCCCCCACAATCTGGGTCCTCATTTTACCTACCTCGAAAGGATTTGCTAGCTCTCTGACAGCAAAAACGGAGCCCAATTTCGCTGGCAGTGGCACTGCAGGCCGGTCCTTTGCTGTGTCCAGGGCAGCCCCACAGGCCAGATCTAAGCACCCCATGGGCTGGATCCGGCCAGCGGGCCTTCAGTTTGACATCCCTGGGTTAAGGCATCAGGCTAGAAACTAGGAGACTGTGAATTCTAATGCTGCCTTGGGCACAAAGCCAGCTGGGTGATCTTGGGCCACTCATTTTCTCTCAGCCCTACAAAGGAGGCAATGGCTTTTTCAAACTGCGTTTGAAAAACCTTGCAAGAAAACTGCACGGACTTGTCCAGGCAGTCTCCAAGAATGGAACACAATTGAACAGAAAAAAATTATACCCACATAAACAAATTACTATTAGTTTTTATATTAGAACTTAACAGTTCAAACCATCCTAGAATTAGCTTTCTATTTTGGGCAACTGAAATGGCTCCCGTACAAGTTCAATTTCATACTTTTCTTAGATTTTAGATCTTAGACTAATTTATTTAGTAATTCATGATTGTTTCACCAGAATGGGGCTATATGATAGTATCTTCTCCCAAATCATAAAATATTCTTCCTTCAAACATGCTTCTCAATGTATATAATCTTATGACAGGCAAATATAAATATAACCATATTCCTAAGTATCTGGAATCTCTATGCAGCATCGTTACAATCTTCTGTTACTCATCTTATAGTCAATGTATGCATATATGATTTTAATAATTTTCATTTTTGTTCTTTTAGTTCTTATTTAAATTGATAATGTTATTATAAAATGCCGGTCTAGAATGTAGAATGCTTTCTGTTTGCTATCAGTTTATTACCAGAATCCTTTCTGGCACTTCATTTTACTTGTTTGACCAAATGTTTTTTCTTTGCCACTTGGGCATATTCTGGTTTGAAAAGATATCTTTTCTCTTTCCTTTAAGAGATATATTTGTCCTCTCCTTTTCCCTATTTTTGTGGCTGGGTTTCTCACTGCAAATTATGTTCAATTTAGTCATGGATGAAGTTTAAGGATTTTGCAAAAGTGATTATGTAGTGTAAGCTGGTTGGTAGCCATGGTATCATTGATTCCTATCTGTCCTGTGCTCTACATTTAGGTGTTCTCTCTGAAGAGCAAATCCAGCTGAAGAAACTTAAGAAGCAGGAAGATGATCAAGCCCGGATAATAGCTGTGCGTCAGAACCCACCATCTCCTCCAAGCACCCCTCCCAAAATGACACCAGAGCAGCTTGTTATGATAGAAAAACTTGTTGCAGCTCAACAGCAGTGTAATCAACGGTCTTTCACAGATAGGCTCAAAGTGACGGTAAAAGCACAATTATTGTGGGCTGTTAAATAGAAGGAGAAAGCAGACACATACTTCACTAAAGCTTTCTTTTGATTTTGTATAATGAATGGTTAATTTATAGAATAATGCCTCATACTTAATAGATACTGCATTCATGTTGTAATAGTCTCCAGAGGCCCAAGAGGGTCTGAGAGGAGCTTGCTTTTACCTTTCAGTTGCTGCGGCCAAAGAGCTGAAAGAATAGTTGGTGGAAACTTGCTTGTTTTGAAGCGGAATGATTCTGAATTCCTAGTGAAAAAGGATAGTGTAACATGTACTGGAGGGGTTGTATAACATATTAACCAGATACAATACTAGTTTTGTTTAGATCAAACTTGTATGAGAGCTATGAGATAATTAGACTAATTTCAATGGACTTCCTGTTTTTAATTTCTATTCTTATTAAAGTCTTCTTTCTCTCTCTGTGGGTTTGCTATTTAATTGCAGCCATGGCCTCAGATTTCAGATCCTCTTCATCGTGAAGCACGACAACAGCGCTTTGCTCATTTCACAGAGCTTGCCATCATTTCTGTGCAGGAAATTGTGGACTTTGCCAAACAGTTGCCAGGTTTCTTGGAACTCACTAGAGAAGACCAAATTGCTCTTTTGAAGACTTCTACAATAGAAGTAAGTACTCTTCCATTTTTCTATGGCTCCTTCTAGATGAGTAGGAGGCATCTGTAGTCAGGATGGTCTTTGCACACCTTAATGTTGTGTACCAGTTGTGCCAAAGTGGAAACTTTGTTTACAGTCACTCATGCTTTGTGGTCTCATTGATTAATGCAATGTGCTCTTTATGTGGCTATCCTTGAAGAGCATTTTGAAACTTCAACTGGTGCATAATTTGGCTGCACAGATAATAAATGGTGACAGATATTTGACACATGTAAAACCATTGCTATGTGAGCTTCATTGGCTACCACGATGCTTCTGTACAATTCAAGCTGCTAGTTATCATACTTATCACTTGAGTTATCTAAAGGATTATCTTATCCCAGTCATTGCTACCTGTCCAATTCAGTCTGGCAAGTTGGATGTATTAGGAGCCAGGCAAGGAAAGTCGGTTGGCAGGAAGTAGGAGACATGTCTTTTCTGCTGAAGCCTCTGCCTTCTGGAACATTGTCCCTTCAAAGATTAGGATAAGCCTGACTTTGTTGGCATTTCATAAAGTTGTGAAGATCTGGTTATATGTCTGGGCCTAGGGCCTTGAGTACACTAAGGGCTCTGTTTTTTTGGCTTTGTTAACATCTACAGCAGTAGTATTACTCGGCAACCATATACATTTATTTTATATTTTTAAAATTGTTTTTATAATATATTCCACCTAAAATCAGTTGTGAGATGGGCATCTATAGAAATCAAATAAGTAAATAAATAAATGTATCAGCATACACGAGAGTATATGTGCAGTTTCCTTTTGTATCATCTAATGACAAAGGAGACATTTAAAAAAAATTAATGTTTGACTAGAGCAATTTTAGGATCAAAAAGCATTTTAAAAGACACATGCCTAATGAGCAAACTATTAATTTTAAGTTAAAGTTTTCTGATGTTAGCTTTCCAAAGTAGGGAGTATTTTAGAAAACAGGATTTAAACATCAGTTCATTCCTTTATGGCAGTTGTCGGCATGCCTTAGTTTACCCAAGTGATACATACCTCTGCTGTGTGAATGGCATTGGTTGCCAGATTACTTCCTTGTGATTCAAAGTGCTAGTTATCATCTATAATACTGTACATGGCATACAGCCCAGTTACTGGAAGAGCCGTCAATCTTCCATGGTATCTGCCTGACCAATTTTGGCTAAAATGGTTGGCATGCTTCAGGTTCCTAAAGTTAAACAGTGTCATCTATCAGGTTTCTCCTGAGATCTGAATGACTCCCATTCTGTTGGTATTCTGGAAGGCTGTGAGGACATTTCTGCTCTCAGACCTTTTCTTATGGATATTAGAAGTTAGTGGGATATTTTGGAGTTTACTAGTTTTTCTATCTTGTTCTTCTGGTTTTATGTCTGTCTCTTATGTTACATTTTTATTATTTAGTGTATTGTGAGCTGTCCAGAGTTGGTTAGAGTAAGAAGGCATCAAACTGACCGACTGACTGAATAAATAAACAAATAATTCCCCTGGCTGTTTGAGAGGTTCTGAACCTCTAGATCTTAATGAAATTCCAATTGATGTTAAGGTGACCATAGAAAGTAGAATGAAGATTTGATCTGAAACCCCAGTCAGTGGAAACGTAGAATGTGTGGAAAATCACCTTGATATGCAGGAATTGTTATCTAGGCAAAAGAAATTGAGACAAGTTTGGAAGTGACTCAAGCAGAAGCTTTCCTAATTACTGGAGTATAAAAATTTTAGTATTCTTATGCAGTTTTCTAGGTCTGGTCTACCTAGTAGGGTTCACAGGAACAAGCTTTGATTGGGATCCTAAAAGGATATCTAGTGGATTGGTACTTTCCTCTTGGCACCTGTATTCTGCAGATCTGGGCAAAATATGTGTTTTGAGAATCAAGGAGGCCTTCTTCAGAAAGATAGCCATGCTTCAGAGAGATGACAGGAAAGCAGAGAATTTTCTCAAATTAATTTTTATAAGAAGCGCTCTTACTCATGAAGTTGTCCCTGCATCAGTCCAGAGAAATCCCTAACCTTAGGAGAAACTTAAGTGTAGAAAGGAGTGGAGAGAAAAGAGAGGACAAGAAAAATGTTTTTATATATTATGTATTTATTTAATCATTTTATTTCTCATTTTTCTGTACATATTTATCTTCCAATGTAGCTTACAATTTAAATAAATTAAAGCAAAACAAAGCAAAACAGATATATTAAAGGTACTGTACACATTCTTTTTGATAATTTTTGTTATCAAAAAGTATTTATTTCATCACTTATGACATGTGAGTGCAATAACTCTTTAATTGATTTTATTGTCAAATTTATAATTGTGACTGGTTTTGGTATGTGTGTTGTATATGTATATTCAAGGTGATGCTGTTGGAGACATCTAGGCGCTACAATCCAGAAACTGAAAGCATAACTTTTTTGAAAGATTTAAGTTACAATCGGGATGATTTTTCCAAGGCTGGTGAGTTAAGCACATTCCAGAGTATAAAAGAGATTTGTTCTCCCTGTATTATGGATCAATATTATGGCAACTTCTTTTCTAAAAAATAAAATCAAAATTCTTTTATGAAAGATTGTAAACTTAATCCTCAACCTGAAATTTGAGGCAAAATTTTTGGAAATAGCAATCAAGTAATACTATAAAAAATAAGTTAGGGTGGATTAGAAGAGATAATATGGTTTCCTACCAGAACATTTTTGGAGGATATGAAATATTTATCAAAAATGTGAATATTATGTTTTATACAGGGGTGAAATTCTCTTACCTTCTTATCGCAAATGTGGGGGGTGGGGACAATATACAGAAGCTGTACATATTTCTAAGTCACTTTTTGTTTTTGTTTTTTTCCCCCTCAGGCCTACAAATTGAGTTTATTAATCCCATTTTTGGATTTTCAAAGAGAATGAATGAACTGCATCTCAATGATGCTGAGTATGCACTTTTAATTGCCATCAGCATTTTTTCTGCAGGTAACAAGCTGGGAGGGAGCTGGATCAAAATTGTAAAAAGAGTCTTCAGTCAAGAAGAATCGCATATAATACTTAGTGTCCTAATGTTAGTTCTAAGGAATGCATTTGTCATGGATAATAATTAAGGTTGTGCATTAATGTCCTAGTCATGGAGTAACAAGGTTTAGGTTGTTCATGGCTGACCCAAAACATACACATTTTGTCTAAACCCAAAATGTGTGTGTTAAATACAGGTACATATGCCCTGTATACACAACATGTATATTTTCGGCATAGATATTCTAAGGTGGGGAAATTAGTGCACTGCAGCAGATGAATGATGGTGACAGAATCTTCAGGGAGGAGATGTATGGGTTAGTTGTGTCATGGTGTATTTATATTCAAGGCTAGTGATATCTGCAGGGAGGGATCGAAATAGACAAGATGATGGATATGGTACATATAAAAGTGCTTGGGCTGCAATCATTTTCTTCAAAGTCATCTGTCTTAGAGATGTCTTGTTCATAGCTTAATATTCAGCATATTATTGTTGTCTCTTCATATTTCCTTATTTGCTGTTGAACCAGATGCTTGGCTTTTGCTGTACTGTGCTAATTCTTTCTCAACGACATTTTCTTAAAAATAAGATAAATCACAGCAGATGGGGAAATTGCATCCTGAAGCGGTTTTTCTCTATGTTATTTCTAAGCTATAAGGTGCTTAGAGAGTTGTAGAGTAGATAGGGAAACAGGCACGGCAGTAAGATTTTTGAGTTTAGCCAGAGAGCATTTTGGATTCAGTGACGTATATATTTCTTTAAAAACAAGCAAAGAATTACAAGCTCCTTACGAGCCTTCCATAAGCATGCATTAAAACAAAACCATTGGAAAGATGTTTACATACATACAGTATAACCAGCATACAGGCTCCATAATGGAGCCGGCATGTTGGTTATACTGTATGTAAACATCTTCCTTCTCCTAGCCTTGTTTTATCCATGCTTATTGTTTTAAAGAGTTTGAAAAATGTTTTAATTGTTGTTTTATTGTATGCCACTAAGAGTTACTTCAGGTGAGATGGGCAGGCATATAAAAATAAATATTTTTTTTAAAGTTTAATGCTTTAATTGTTTCCTTAACAGATCGACCAAATGTTCAAGATCAAACTCTGGTAGAAAAGTTGCAGCATACCTATGTAGAAGCCCTTCACTCATATATATGTATTCATAGGCCAAATGTAAGTGTCTTGGCTAGCCTGCGAAAATGACTGTATTGCTAACAGTGCCTGTAAGAAAGAATCTGGTTAAAGCAGAATCTCTTGTAAGTTGGTTATCATGATATGGCTGAGTTATTCAACAAATATTTACCATATCCTGACTAACAGCTGTTCTACAAATTTTTCTGAACCTGAAATTCTTTTAGCTGAACATGCTTTACATTTGAAATTTGGACTATGTAGAGCATTAGATTTGAAAGCAAAAGAGGTGGGTGTATCTATAATGCTTTAAAGCAAACACATATTTTGCCTGAATTTGCTGCAGTTGAGCCAGGCTGCTGGACCTCAAAAATTAAGAAGCTACTTTATGAAGTTGCAAATAGGTGCTATTCCAAACTAGCTTTTTGCTTTTAAATCCAAGCAATGTGTTACTCTTGAATATGAACTTTCTATGTGTGGGTGCTACTGCTACTTTGCCATTTTACATGTATTCAGTTCCAGGAACAAAAAGCACAGAGAATGTATGTTTACTCAGAGAATAGACCTTTGTCTAGTGCTTTTGATCATTCTGATATCTTTTAATCAGAGATGCTAAGGGGGATAGTGTTGTTCTATTGAAGCAGTGGGGAGGTGTTTGTTTTTTTTACAAAAATGATAGTTGAAGAATTGGAAGTTCATGGAATCTTTGAGGAGCAAATATTAATATTAAAAAACCTAGTACCATGCTTCCACATGACTACATTTTCTATAATTTATTTAGAATAAGTTATTCTGTATTGATAGCATAGAATTTGAAGCTGTTGAGCTAATCCACAATGTTATTTTGCTACTCTATGTTTTAAAATGTTATTACCCTTATGGTAGGCAAATGGTTTTTAATCTTATTCCTCATGAGAAAAGTAAGACAGAGGAACAGAATTTTGATCATTCTGATATCTTTGTCTATTTGTGTATGATCTTATAGGATCATCTAATGTTCCCACGGATGTTAATGAAACTGGTCAGCCTTCGGACTTTAAGTAGTGTTCATTCTGAACAAGTGTTTGCTCTTCGGCTACAGGACAAAAAGCTACCACCACTTCTTTCAGAGATCTGGGATGTCAATGAATGAGTATACTATCTAAGGACAGTGAGCGATTACACTGATTATCTTTTGCAAATAAAAACTATTCTCCTTTATCAAAAGCATTGAAGCAATGCAGAAGACTGTGATTTCTTTGCTCGGATGAAATATATACAGTATATAAAAAACAAATGAGAAGGATGAAATGATGTTTTAGTCACTATTTTCCAAAATGGAACTGAAAGACTTAACACAGAAGAGTAAAAGAATACCCTCTAATAATTTTTCAGGTGGTTTTCTTTAATGAGGACCCGGTTTGTGGGGACAATAAGCCGACTTTGTATAAAAAAGAACACCGCTTCGGTGGGGGGGCCGAAAGCCCTACTAAGCAGGTATATACAAAAGTATGAAGGCTATTGCTTAACACATTGTAAGCCGCCCTGAGTCTCCGGAAAAGGGTGGCATATAAATTGAACCAATAAATAAATAAACAATAAATAAAAAAAAAAAACCCTTTTTTCATATTTAATTTCAAGGCCACCATCCAGACGTATAGAATCTTCTTGGGAATTTTAGAGGCAAGCTTCCTTGTGTATCTTTTCTTTTTTGATCCCCTAGGTTGTATGTAGCTAAAATATGTTAACATTCAAAACAATTAATAGAGAGCTGGATAGACTGTATGTAGCTTAGGTGCCTTTTTGTGGACTTTTCAGAAGCATCACTTTGGATATACTGTAGTTATACTATTGAAATCTCTTAGGACCTTTTGTAATATTTCTGTTCTCCATCCCACGATCAGAAATACAGCCATTGCTGATATATACTGATACAATAACAAGGAAGACATGATTTTTATTATATGAAACTCCTTTGAATATGGAGATGTGCATCACACATCCATATAATCTAGATGATTGCCGCTCAATATGTTTTCTATACAGTACAAAATGTACCATATTGGATTATTACAAAGTACATATAAGATTACCACCTTTCTCTTTTATTCATCTGTGCATTAAGAGACAAATCTAAATAATGGCCAATTATGGTTAAACATTTTCTTATCTCCCCTCTACTAGTTCTTTACTTCAAATTTTCCCCTTCTCTGACAAAACATTTAGATGGAAATAGAAGTTGGTATCTGCTGTAAATCACTTTGCCAGAAATGATGATGCATACATCATGATGCAGTCCTGGCCTTTCATAGTTGGTCCCAATGTTGGATAGTACTTAAATCGTATGTTTTGCATCATATCATGATACACCTATTGTCAATTGCCTCCCTGGATGGATGCCTATAGTGGGAAATTTCTTAAATGCTGCCTTTGGATAACTTCAGGAAGGAAAAGAACCCAGTTTATGTATGATTCAAATTTTTTTGTGTACTGAGGATGTGATGGCCAAATTTATATCCTTCCATCCCTAATTAAACATGTTCAATTGTTTCATGATGGCCCATATATTCACAAAGAGTTTAGTGTTTACAGCCTAAACCTCAGGAATGAGTGGAGTTTAACTTATTGATGCAAGTGGATTTAGGCATAAATATGCTTTCCTAGAAATAGTTGCTAATGGAATAAATAACTTGAAAAGTATACACCAACACTTGCCAGGATATCTGATAGCAGAAATTATATCTGACATTTATTGGTACACTAATAGTGCTTGCTTCTTTCAGCATTTAAATTGGCTTTCTTTGCAGAGGTGTTAGAAATTAGGTCCTTGAACTAGTATAATTACTATGTAGCAAGTGCCGTATTTGTGATGTCAGCTTTATGACTATTTTGCACATGAGATTACTCTGCTTGTATTGGCCTTAACCTGAGAAAGCACATATATAACAATTTACCATGTTGTAATGACCCTTTGCAATTACCGAACTTCTTGGGTTTAATCCCACATTTTCTAATCACCACTTCTCAAAAAATGTAATTTTATGTAAAAGAATAAAATCTAATAAGAAAAAACTGTCTGGTACTTAATGCATCCACATTTATTCTTCTACTGAAAATGCACATACGAATTTAACGTCATCAAGACTTACGAATGGTCAGAAATTATTTTTTTTTTTTAAAAAAAAAGACTTATGAATGGACAGAAATGCAATCTTTCCCCATTTTTTAAAAAAAATATGTGTTGTAACTTAAGATCTGAGTCATCTAACTGTTAAAGTGGCTTATTTTTAGGAAAAAAAAAAGAACGTTCCCTCGAAATTTGGCCGTGAGAAACAGCTCCTCTTTTGGAACGTAGTGTCCTATTTGCAATAGTGGCGAATAACGAGCGTCCTCCTATTCTGCGGTAGGATTTGGCCTTTCTGAATTTTATACCGCAATTGGGAGTAGAGGGAGGCGAGGCACGTATTTTATTATTAAGAACATACCTGTGGACGGGGCTGGCGCCTCTGCTCGGCCTTGAGATGCGCTGGCCTTGGTACTCGAGCCCCTGATGGTGACGCCCCTTCCCGCCCTTTCGGGCTTCGCGCTTTCCCCCCGTGCTCGGCTCCGTCCCCTCAGAACGGCTCAATGGTCCGTTCCCAACGTCCAGTGCCCGCCCTCTTTTTCCGTCTCTTGGTTCGCTCCTCCCCTGTGCTGTTGATGCGGAACTGGCCGCCTGCCTGCCTGCCTGCGTGAAGGGAGAGGACGCGGCTTCCGCTGACAGGTAAAGGCGAGCAGGCCGCGTTTAATGGCTGCAGGAAGCGTCGCGGGGCCGCTTGCCTTCGCCCGCTCTGTGACATATGCGGCGGAGGGGTTGAGGGCGGCCGGGAAGGACGGCGAGGGTAAGGGGACGAGGCGAGCCCGTGGGGGCGGATGGGCTTGGGATGGGGAGCCCGTGCTTGAGGAGGGACCGCGGGAAGCCGGTCCGTCCAGGGAAGGCTCTGCTTGGCTTAAGGAAGACGGCGGGGACTCGGGCAGCCAAGGCTGGAGGTTTGGCGTGGTGGTTGGGTGACGAAGCGCGGATGTCGCAGCAGCAGGGAGGCACGAGGATGGGAGTGCAAGTTCAAAGATGGAAAGGGGGGCGGCTGCAACGGCTGACGCAGGGGAGGTTGTCGCGTGGGGCTGGGAGGTGTGTGGATTAAGCGTTTGCGGGAGTGCTTGTGTGGGGAAACTGGGAGCGAGAGCGCCTGGGCCCTGGAAAGCTGCAACAATAGGTTGTGAGAGGTATGTGCTGTGGAAGGACTGTGTGTGTGAGAGAGGGTGGGGGGGAGAGAAACAGAGACAGACAGACAGACTGACTGACTGGTATTCTCTCATCATCATCATCATCATCATCATCATCCCCTGGCATGCAAGGTTTATCTGGATTTTGTGTTGTCACACACCATACAAACCTTCATGCTGAATGTGCGCAGGACAAACTCCTTCCTTGATCCCAGTAGCCTTCAAAAGCTGCGCATCATCCATTGCAATTGTTTTCCTAAATTCTCTCTGTGGTCTTGCCCGGAGACCCAGGTTAGGCTAGGATGAAATTTAGTTTGGGCAGGGTGTTTATATACACCAGCTAGTATGACTAGACAATGGTTCGTTTTGCTGTGCAGATTGAAACCGTTGGTTTGAGGGTAATGTGTGCAAAAGCTAGTTGATCAGGATCATGGATAGGAGAATTTACCAAAAATCACACCTTGAAAATAACATTACTTTTTCGGTAGATATGTTTTTGGTCCCACAGCCTCAGCATATTCTTTTGGAAGGTTTTGTTATTCTAGAGGTCCTTGGATCTTCTCAGGTTTCATATTTAGGAACTTGAAAAATGTGCTATACCATGCACAAAATTTGGGGGACTGATCTCACTTGCATATGGAGGCTGTAGTTTGTACAGCTGGAAAATTACAGAATGTTTACTACAGAATAATGTTGTTTCCTCAGGGTTAAAGCAATCTGGAAAAGGAAAAAAACATATTTGAAAGTAAATGCTATTGACAAGTTAGTCCTGAATTGATGCACAGAGAACTAGATCTCTAACATGCATAGCTGCATCAATATATTTTACTTTTTTTGAATGTGTCATATAAAGTTATTTGACAAATAGTTACTGTATCTGGAACTGTAGTAGGATTTTTTAAAGCGTGTCAAAACTTCAGTGGAAAAATGTTTTCACTGTATTTATTACTCACTGATTTTTTAGAATAAAATGTTGGAGCATTTAAAAAAATATTTAGATTGTAATGTTTTTAATCAACTTCTGAGTAGAATCTTGGGAGGATTTAGTTATTTAGTAATTCATCTTGTATCAACGAATTCTGGAAAATTTAGTGTGATAAATATTATTTATCAAAGTTTATTTTAACTGTATAAAAATATCTTAGTATCCTTTTTGATTTGCCAGTTACTTTTTGATTTGCATCTGTTAAACTTATATTGGTAATTTTTTCTTCCATTTTATTTTCAATAACAATATTCAGTTGTATAATAAATGATGAAACCCTCAAATGTGCATAATATCCATTGTGGAAATTTTTAGATTCTGGAAAACTGGTGAATCTTTAATAGATTTTCCACAACTGAAACAGTCTTTTTAAATAGCTTTGAAAATAGCCTTTCTGGGGTATCAATACTTTTAATTTTTACAGGTTCAAATTAAAGCCTTTCATTATTGCATTAAAATAATAAATAATAGCACACAGAAGTTAAGTTTGCATTCTTAATATTTAATTTAAGATTTGTATATTTTAGTTTCCACTGCTATCTTTATAAGTAGACAGATATATATCTTGGAAAGAATAATTTTATTTATTACCTATTTACTTACTTCAACCAAAATATATACATATAGTTTCTGTATAATTTGAAAATGCTAATTAAGAATACATCACCTTTTCTAAAAACAACATTAAAAAAAAGAACCAAAGAAATTTCTGTATAGGGGATTGTGAAAAGAAGTTATATGTATTTTAGGAATGGATTTTCATGTATTATTTACACTAATTGTTGTAATGCAAATGCACACTGGTGCTGCTTTGTAACAATTTATTTATTTTACTATCCAAGAATTTGTATGTTTTATCTGCGGTTAAATAGAAGTTGAGATCTGCATTTACGTAGTAGGAAAACATTTAGTATCAGGAAACTCATCCCTGTGAATATCATTATATGAACATTTAGATGTTTAATGTTACGCAGAATTACATAAATATGGAGCATATTTATGTATACCTAAGAATATGCAAAGGTACTGTAGAAGTCAGATACAAATAGAGCCTTGGAATTCCCTTATCACCAAGAGAGACAGGCAACTGAAAGCATTTTGGCCTACATACCATATAGTTTTTATAATCCTATTTCCAATTATGGGATTAGCTACTGTGGCCATTTCCAAACTGCTTTGGATTTATTTTGTTTGCTTCAATTAGTTGTATATAGGCTGCTTTTAGCTGCTTTTATGGTTTTAGTCAGATGCAGTAGATCATTTGCTTGAAACAACTGATTCAGCTGTTTCAGCTTGTATGCATTCCTTTAATTGAGATAAATGTGTTCAAAATAAGACAAAACTGTGTGTGTGTGTGTGTGTGTGTATGATTTTCATTGCAAATGTCATGAGAATATATTTTCTTTATAGTATAAAATACAAAGAAGTTGCAGAACTTTAAAGTCTTCTGAATATATCAAAGAATTGTTCCATAAAATCCATGTAAATTACGGTAAATGATTGTTCAAAAGACAGTAGTCTGCTGACAAGTCATCACTTCTTAACTCTGATCTGGTTGTATTAAGTAACTGTTTTTATCAGTTACCACTTATATGTCAGCTGATATGCCTTTTCCTAGAGACTAATGGATTAATGTATCAGGCTATTATATCCCACCAATGGAATATAATACTTCTGGAATACCATATATCCTTCAGCCTAGCCTCATTATAGTGTTTTTCCTCACAATTGGTTTCTACTGCTTTATAATTATTTGGAGAGGGACAGTTACAATTTCTGTATAGTGCCAACACAGTGTGTTTCAAAGTTATAGTATTATTTCATTTCTGAGCTGTGAAGATATAAGCAAGGAAAATCAAGTGGGAGTGTTATGTAGGCATTAAAAAGGGAATGGAATTGACCATAGTAAATTAAAATAAAGTTAATTGATGAAAATGGCTTCTTCCTCACATCTGAAAGGGCTCCAGTGGATATCATGCTTAGGGTTATTTCTACTGTAGATGTCTTTGTAATCTCCACAATAGTGGGAACTGCTCTTGAAAGATTTCTGAATTTCGTTGTGAGTAAAATGTGACACTGTTGCATCATACATAAAGAATAACAAGGGGGGGGATATAAGCCACCCAGAGTCGCTGGATAGTGAGATGGGTGGCACATAAATTTAATAAATAAAAATATGGATGGCATATAAATTTAATACATAAAAATATAAGGCTAATATTAATTAACTGTATTAGTTACTATTATGCCTCAAATCTAAATGTAGGATGCTTGTCATTGCTTTCAAAGGCATCTACAGCCTAAGGATTTATCTCTTCAAGTATTAGGAAGAATAAGATTTTAACAACTTTCCCACAAGTCTTTGTTATTGATTGTGCTGTCTGAAGCCATCTAGAGAGAACCTTGGCAATAGAGACAAGGCAAGATAAGAATAATTTGAGACAGAGTAAGTTGTCTATGTATATGCAATTCGTATCAGAATGGAAGATCACTTAAAATTTAAGCCACCACTCCAAAGGAAAAATAATTAGAGAGATATTATAAATGCACAACTGCCCAATTCCCTTCTTTAATTAGGATTACCCAATCTTATGAAGCAAATTTTGTTTGTTTGATCTTTTCCCCTCAACAAACATGAGTATTTGGCATGCAAGTTTGCATTTAATACATAGTGGAAAAGATTACATTACAAAAAACAGATCCAGAATGAAAGTGGATATTGAATTGAAATGAATTAAAATGAATGAATATTGATTAAAATTATTTGCTTGTGATTTTTAAAAATTAAATACTTTATTTGATACATAAACTCATCAGTTTATTGTATAAAACTATCTTAACAAATTCACTGAGCAAGAGTGCGAAAAAGAGTGAACTGGAACTCTGTAAAATAAAAATAAACCTTATTTTGAATTATTGTATATCCTATTGAATTCGATGGCTTTTACTTCTAGCTAGATATGCATAAACTGGTGTCTTTCTGGGAATGGGTCTATATAGCTGGATTACTCATGTAAATTGGGGTAAAAATTGGGGAAGAAATTCTTGAGTTACTGACTTTTCTTTTTATTTGCAAAAAAATGAATTAGTAGATGCTTTCGTGCTGCAATACAGTACTTGGAAACATTTCAGTATTTATCCTGTAATAAATCCCACTATATTCAATCATTCTTATTTCTAGGTTAGTCTATTTATAACTTCTATTTGATGAACTTGATAAACCCACCTTCTCTTCGGGGAGTATGCTATCTCCACTTTCTTTTCATTTCCTTCCACGTACAAGTTCAAGTCCCACCTTAGCCATGAAAGCCAATTGAGTGACTTTGAGCCAGTCACTTGCTCTCTCTCAGCTCAACTTACCTCACAAGGTTGTTGCTTTGGTGAAAATAGGAGGAGGAAGATGTGATGGATATATTTGCCACCTTGGGTTGTTTGTAAAAATAATAAAATATAGGGCAATTGTCTGAAATGAAGACTCATTTTCTCTATCAAGATATCCTATCAGTTGATGATCCTGATTTTCCAGAATCCTGGAAATAAGCTTTCCACTGCAAACATTCAAAACCTGATATAATATAAAGTGATAAGAGCAGGGATGGTGTGCTTTGTCATTCATTTTTGGTTCTCCCTTTTCTCCCTTGCAGCCAGTGTGAACATTTTGGCTATTCAATCACTTTCAGCATGTTAATCTTTTACATATTCTCAATGAGTGTAAACAGGCTGCTTTCCCAAATAATTATTTGGAGAGGGGGCAACCTCATGCTTCTTTCAAGTAAATATGGTATGTAGTTTCAAAGGCATGCTGCAATAAATCCTAGGAACACAAATGGATGTTTCCAAAATATTGCAGAACAAGGACAAAAAGGCATTTGGATACAATGATAAAAGCTATGATAGTTTCCATAAAACTATTCAGTTTTCCTGAATATATTTTAATATGCCCTTTAAAGTCTTGATTACGCACCATAAAATTATATTTCCTTTTTTTCTGCATGCATCTCCTAGTTAGTAGCTACAGGCAATAATACATTGGCTTGAAGAGTAGACTTACATAAAATAGCATGAGCATTGGGACAAAACCAGGCAATGGTAATATATCAAATTAAAAATGAATATTTTGAATATTAGCCTCTGAAAAAGCACAGTAATAAATATTGGAAGAATGTTGAGACTGCAGATGTAGCTGAAAAATGTTGACATACAGATGTATATATTTTATCAATAAAAGCAACATATAATAGATGTAAAATGTGCATAAAAATAAATAGAATACTAAGAATGATTCAGCATTTAGTTAAACAAAAATTATTTTGGCTGTTTTATTTAGATAGATAGATGATAGATAGATAGATAGATAGATAGATAGATAGATAGATAGATAGTTAGTTAGTTTATGGTAATATTAAATGTGTATTGATTCAGTTGATTAATTTATATATCTTGGTAGATGGGGAAATTTTAAGACATGAAAATGCTGGTATAACGAGAGAATTGTTTATGATGAGAAATGAATATTTGTCAAATAAAGCAAAAATAGCTATGTATAAGGGCATGCTTCTGTCAACTTTGTTATATAATAGTAAGAGTTTGGCATAAAAGACATAAAACGAATACAGTGCTAATAAGTTATTCAAGGTATGTGTGACGCAGCAAAAAGATGCAGAGTTAAGAACGAATAGGTATTGAATGAATATGGATTGAAAATAAAAGTGAATTACTGGTATGAAAAATAAATGTTGATGTGTTGTGGTCATATAGACAGAATGAATGATTAAATTGCAAAAACATATACAAAGGAATGATCTCAATGAAAGAAGAAGACCAAGAAAACCATAATTAGGTGGAGTTGATGAGACCTTAAAAAAAAAAAAAAGGTAAGAAATTTAAAGAAGGGGGTGCAATGGCTCAGTAGTTAAAAACGTTGACCTTGTCAACTGGAGAGACCTGAGTTCTGCATGATAGGGTGAGTTCCTGTTTTTGCCCCAGATCCTGCCCATCTAGCAGACCAAAAGCATGCAAATGTGAATAGATAAATAGGTAACACTTTGACTACACCTTGTAGTCATGCTGGCTACATGACCATGGAAATGTTTTCAGGCAACACTGGCTTCCTTGGCTTAGAAAGGTGATGAGCACCATCCCCTAGAATCGGACATGACTGGACAGGGGAAACCATTACCATTACCTAGGAAATTTAAAAAACAATTGGTATATGAATATAATGGAAGCAAATATGATTTAAAAAGACAGGAAGAGTGACGTCATATGCAGCTGAAGAATGTTAACAATGGATAGTGACATCACAGGGGGTTCTGCTGACTACTAGTCAATTATTCTATTAACTCATTCTTTTCTCCCTCCACTTTATTATTTTTTATTATCTAATTATTTTGTCAACAAGTACAAGGAAACAAGTATCAGTATAGACATAGACATGGACACATGAAAAAATGGCACAAATAAATGGATATAAATAAGCAAAACATAGTCATAAACAAAATGAGTACATATAAATGGGGACAGTAGGACTGGGACGGTAGGCACACTGGTGCGCTTATGCACGCCCTTTTAGGGACCGCTTAAGAAACATGTAAGGTCCACGGTAGACAGCTTAAGGTAAAAGGTATGGGGCTTAGAGAAACTAACAACAGGATCAGGTAGAGTGTTCCAGACATTTACTGCTCTATTGCTGAAGTCGTATTTTCTGCAATCAAGATTAGAGCAGATTACATTTAGTTTGTATCTATTGATAGCCCTTGTGTTATTGTGGTTGTAGTTAAAGTAGTCATTAACAGGTAGGACATTATGGTAGATAATCTTGTGTACTAAGCTTGGGTCGGAACATCAACGGCGTAGTTCAAGATTATCCAGGCCTAAAATTTCAAGCCTGGTGATATAAGGAATTTTATTGCGAGCAGAGGAGTTGCGTACTCTTCTTGTAAAATACCTCTGGACCCACTCTAATGTATTAATGTCTGAAATACAGTGTGGGTTCCAGGCAGGTGAGCAGTATTCAAGGATAGGTCTGGCAAAGGTTTTGTATGCTCTAGTTAGAAATATAGCATTACCAGAGAGAAAACTTCGTAAAATAAGGTTGCAACTCTTAATGCCTTTTTAGCAATCTGCACAATGGAGATTTTTGAAGTTAAACCCATGCAACTGAGATTTAATGCAAATGCAAATAAAAAAATTTGAAAAATAAACTCACAGTGGTATTTAATTAAGGTAAGTGCCATGGCTTTCTATCAGGTAGAGCAATTAGATTTTCTTCCCACTTTGTATTTCTACACAGACCCAAGAAGGTTAGATAAGGAATGCATTACCTAGAATTAGAAGGCCATATATAGCAGACGTTTTCCATATAAGAACACCCAAGCATCTACCCCTTATTTATATTAGTCCCAAGTATGAATTTTGAGTCTCTTCTTCCAACTATTTCAAGTTCATCTCTGTGACAACTTTTAAGAGTTTTTGCCATTTGTCACTTGTTTAGTGAATGACTTTCTCAGACTCCCATCTCATCAGCTTCAATTCTTACAATAAGAATTTCCACTTGGTTGACAACAATTAACTATTTAAAGTGGCCTCATCCACTTTTCATCAATAACAATTCTTATTTTTCATTAGTAAAAATTCTTATGTGACAGTGTCATGCTTATTAGCTTTTCAGCCTAGGGAGCCTAACTTTTGTGTCTGATTCATTTTTATAATTTATCTTTTTAATAGACTTCAGAAAACTGAAGGTTTCCCTTTACTACGGCATCAGTGGGGGAGTGTAGGGCCAACAAAGCTATGGGAAAATGGATGAGGCAAATTGAAGCAGAGGCAAGCACAGCTGGGCAGGAGAAGCATGAGGTCCTCACCTAATGACCTCCCTTAATGGCCATTGGTAAATGGTGCAGTCATGTGATGCTTCACCTAACAACTGCTTTGCTTAGTGATAGAAATTCCTATCCCAATTAGGGTTGTTAAGCCAAGACAATCTGTAACTGCATTATATCCCTGTTTCTCAGCATAGTGCAATAACTCTCATATATTCTACGCTAAGGGTGTCAAACTTGCGGCTCGCGGTCTGGATGCATTACCTGCTGGCCTCACCCGGTTTAGCGAAGGGGAAAAAAAGTGGCAATACGTTATGTAACACTGCCATCATGATACGAGCTTGACACCCCTGTTCTACACTATTTAAATACCAGTAGACAACCCATGAGTCATTGTTTCAGAGATATTTCCTTAAGTGAAAAACAGAATGATCATGGGCAGGAAAAAAAGCAATGGGAACAGGAGCAACTTCCAAATTTTTGCTGGCTTCCCCATTGATATTCCTTGTAGGAAGCTGGCAGGGTGTACTGGAAATGATGACTGTAGCTTATCACAGTGGTGCAGCAGCATGAAAGCAGTCACAACTTTGCCAAATTTAAATGCCATGTTGCCCTATGATGCACTGTTTCACCCAATTGAAGAGAAACAGATGTGAATTTTAGTATGATACAGGTAACTAATTCCTATTTTGCTTTTTGGAAATGTCACGTTAGATGTTTAAATAAAGTTGCTAGAAATTATTAAGGTACCAGATTTGGTCCTCAATCTTTTCTGCACATCTAGATACAATTAAATTAAGAAGATTCACAATCTGATTTATTTATTGTGGCCTTTGCATATGGATTGTTTTGAATGAAAATTTATAACATATCTAGAAGGCAATTTTAAGAAAATATATATCTCCCAATACTTCTATATGTATAGAAGTATTGGGAGATCAGATTGCATACAGTTGTAGATTGTGGGTTAATACAAATTTGATCAATAATCTAGCTCAAATGTGGAGAAAAGCTGGTAGTGTCTATCATAAATGGGAAAAGCCCTAATGATTAGGAAGTTGTAATATCATAAAGGTGCCACAAAAACAATAGTAAATTATTGGCTCAAGGAAGATATCGTACATAGGGGAATCTTGTTAGTAGTTCAGGTGAAGTTGATATGTTTATGCATGCAAGTGGGGGGGGAGCTGATGTGCTTCTATAAATAGTCTTAATGTGGTATGATCCAGGGACTAGAAGATGAGTTGCTATGGAGACTGATCTGAATCAGATTACCCGAGGTTCCTGTTACCCAGCTTTGTATGTGTGACATACAATTGTAATTGAAAGACTAGTCACTAGACAATTGGTTGACTGATATATTTGATCATATATTTTTCTCTAGAATGTCCCCCAAGAAGGCATAAACTGTGCTATGCATGAAAATATTAGTCAAATTCATTTGTAAGCATGGATGTTGAGGAATGCAGGAATGCAGAATGTTATACTGTGGGGTCATTTTAAAATATATTAAAAACTAGGACTGATACTCGCAGGGAAAGTGCAGGTAATTGAAAAGATGAAACTTCTGTTTTCAATCTTGGATGTAGTTTTCCCTGTTATATTTACCAAATAGATATAAAAGAGGTAAAATTCTGAACAGTATTTTGCATAGGTTGATGTTTGTCATATCTATCACAAATTGCTCAAATTATTACTTTATTGTCATTATCATTGATGGATGCAAATATAATCTTGAATGGAATATTTCTTACTTGTAGGTTCATGTTGCAATTGGGAGAGGAATTCTCGTTAGAGCACGTACTGGATATTAGATGGACCAATGACAAAGGAATTCATTGAGATGACATAGTATAGGAAGCGAGACCATGGTGCAAAAGAAGAAGAGCTGCCCTCGTTTACTTGATTACCTTGTGATTATTGGAGCCAGGTATAGTAAACATCTAGATGTACTTGCTTAGAATAAATATACACATATTATCACAATGGTCTAATAAAGGGGTATAGAAAATAATAAATAGCTCCTGCCATTAATCACCAGCCCAAAGCAAGGTGGGAGGGGGAACATTTATGTTTATTAGTGGTGGCGCAGAATGCAGAATTGCAGGCTAATTCTGTTGACTGCCAGCAGTTCGATTCTCACCGGCTCAAGGTTGACTCAGCCTTCCATCCTTCTGAGGTCGGTAAAATGAGGACCTAGATTGTTGGGGGCAACATGCTGACATTGTAAACTGCTTAGAGAGGGCTGCAAAGCACTGTGAAGCAGTATATAAGTCTAAGTGCTCTTGCTCTTGCTGGTGAGCATCTCTATAAAGTATCCAAAATAATGGGCAGCTCCTACAGTATCATAAATGCAAAACCCACACTGAATAATGAAGAGTGCCTGATGCAGGTGCCCCAGGGCTCAGTTTATTCACTTGTTTCTTAGATTTTTATCCTGCCTTTATTACTCCTTCCTCCTCCTATTTTCCCCACAACAAAACCCTGTGGGTGGGTTGATCTGAGAGTGAGTGACTGGCCCAAAGTCAACCAGCTGGCTTTCATGCCTACAGCAGGACTGCCTCCCACATATATCTGAAAGCTTTGGGTATTGCTTGACATCACTTTATTAAAAGACAACTTGATGTCAATGCTAATACGCCAAGATCTCTGCATTTCTTCCGAAGAAAACATTAAAAATAATCTGAAAAAACTTCATTATAAACAACCTGTAGGTGATGTAATATAGAATTTGAACTTCTTAGACTATTTGATTACTAACAAGTAACCAATGCAATCTACAGCTTGGAATAAGAATTAAATAATAAAGAAAGGGAAAAGGTGCATAAGAAATGTTTTTGAGTTACTGTGAAGTCTATGATCACAAGCAAGGTGGAGAAGAAAAGGTAGTCTGCCAAGTGCATTTCTCCTTTTAATATCCACATTGGCAATAGTAGCAATGTGCAATTGCCTATTGTCCAACTGCTGTGACATAAGCTTTCTCTACCTCCTTATAGGAAAACAGTATTGAATCTGTTTCTCCATCTTATGATGGTGGAGAGGAGGTAGTTAGTGGGTGTTTCGGGGAAGAAAAAATGTTGGACAGTAAGATCACCCACATTCCATCTGTTCCTCTTTCATTGCTGATGGCAGCCTCCAACAGTTGCTTTTCACAAAAAAAAAAACAAGCAGAGTAAGGAATTTACATAGTTTTATAACATGTGACTTGCTCCGTTAACTCAATCTTTATTTACTTTTTAGCAGGACATTTGTAATTGGTGATATTACTTGCTGTAATTTATATTTATTTGTTTGATCCATTGTAGACACCACCCAATTCCAACTGACTCTGGACAGCTTGTAATATAAACATGATAAACATCCCACCCCAAACCAAGATGGAATTTGGCCATACAGCATTACAAAAAGTAAACAAACACACAATCAACAAGGGGCCCTGTCCATTTCAACCCAAGGCATGGGGGAACTACTGGGACTGTAAACCAGTAGTTTACAGAAAGCCAATGACATGCATTAAATTGTAATTTTAGTTAGTTGTTCAGTTAGTATTTGAAGTTTATAATATATATCAGGGGTATCAAACTTGCGGCGTCATGTTGTCGTCATGTGACATATTGCAACTCCCCCCCTTTGCTGAAATGGGATGGGCGTGGCCAGCACATGATACATCTGGCCCACGGGCCGCAAGTTTAACACCCTTGATCTATATAGTTGGTAATTTAAATATTTTCTCAAGCAATTACGGTGATATAATTAAAAGCTTATGTTGTGAGTTTTGGCCGCTGATTCGAATTTTAGTTTATCTATTGATTCACTTAACTGATTAATGCATCATTCTCTTTTACTGAAAGTTATCCTTTCCTACCCTGACTTTCTTACATGGAAGTAAAAATAATGACTTACCTTCTTACAATTGAATTAGAGACCTCAAATATAAAACCAGTTTATTACACCATCAAGGCAGTCTCACTATTGCCTCTTTTTTGCTTGGTGAAAAAAAGATCCATTTTGTTACTAAATTTCTTGTTTCCATCATCTAATTTTCCATTTAGGCTCTGCAGTCATTTATTATAATTGTATCATTTTTTAGCTATTATGGTGTGATAAGTATATAAATCATGAGTATATTTTCGTTTTTCTGTCCAAACCTGTCAGGATTCATAAGCTCTCTTTGACATATTACTGATCATGAAGATGACTCATTTCTCTTCTTTCTGCAACCCAACCTACAACCCCCATTTACAGAAAAAGAGTCCTGTGGTATTTGTGGTGTTTCCATTGGGAAGATTTGCATCAGTGTGACATCTCTACCTTAGTAATATTATATTTCAGTAATTTTATACTTGTATTCCTGTAGGCAACCAAGTAGTGATAGTGTGGCACAGACACCTGAACTTCTGCGCCGTTACCCGCTAGAAGACCACACTGATTTCCCACTGCCTCCCGATGTAGTCTTTTTCTGCCAACCAGAAGGATGCTTAAGTGTGCGGCAGAAGCGGATGAGCTTGCGAGATGATACTTCCTTTGTTTTCATGCTCACAGACAAAGATTCAGGCATCATCCGCTATGGGATATGCGTTAACTTCTATCGGTCCTTCCAGAAGCGCATTTCCAAGGAGAAGGGTGAAGGCAGTGGTGGACATCGTAGCAGAGATGGACAGAAGGCACACAAATCTGGGGATGCTTCAACTGTGCAAGAAGAAAGAGCTAATGAAAGTTTAGAGAGCGGTGTCTCTCTCCAGCCACAGAGCATAGAGCCAGTTCTTGATAAAAACCGGTCACCTCGGAGAAAATCATCAGCGAAGGGCGCTCATCGTTCTCGTAACAGTACCCTGACCTCACTCTGCATTCTTAGTCATTATCCCTTTTTTTCTACCTTTCGTGAATGTCTGTACACTCTGAAGAAGCTGGTGGACTGCTGCAGTGAGAGGCTCTTAGGCAAGAAGCTGGCAATCCCTCGAGGAGTGCAGAGGTATTGATGGAGTGGGGTCCCCCCCCTACATTCAAATCTAAATGATACAGTGGATTATAAAATCTGCTTCATATAACCGGCTATTTGCCTATCAAAATAAGAATGACCTAGATTTCCTTCTCTTTTCATGTGAGAATGTATAGGGTGCGTGAAGACCATAGAATCTGTGGAGAGAGTTTATTGGTAGAGTTGTAAAACTTTTTATACCATGTTGTTACTTATTTTCTAGAGACACAGTTTCTATTGCTTAAATAGTGTGGCCAAATTAAAATCTTGAATTTTTTTCTGTTTTCTTTTTTTGGAGGGGGGGTATAGTTGTAAATTAAAAATTGTTATTATTAATTATTAACAATTATTAATTAATTGTCAAATAATTTAAAAGCCTGATTATATATGAAAGAGGTGAATTAGGCAAACAATTCACATTTAAGAATAAAAAAAATATTTCACATGCCTATTTGTTTTACATGACTTTTCTCCTTTCACCACATTTTCCCCTTCTCTTGGTTAATCTGCAACCTCAAAACTTTCCACATGAGTTATACACAGCTAAAGGTGTAAAACCTCCTCTTCAGAGCCTTCAATACCCCAAAGACTTTATATAGGGCTATAGGCTAGACAAGAAAGTTGAAAAAAAAATTGGAGGCGAATGTAATGGAAAACCACTTCCATATTGTTGCTAGGAAAATCATATGGATATAAAGTTTGTATAGAGTTATAAGGAATCAAGCTCACATGTGGGAGACTTTATCCGTGGTCTTGGTGGCTTTCAAATATTTCAGACTCAAAAACTATTAAAGTCTTTAGAAGTCAAAACTAGCCCCTTGAATTGGGCTTTGACGCAAAGTGGCAGCTATTTAAATTATATAGAATTGTGTGTCATGTTCTGGTTTTCTAACTCCAACTGGAATGGCCGAAATGCTGCATCGGTTTATTGAAAAGATTCTGACATTTGACTACAAAGTTAGTCATGAGAATTTTTGTGATTCCCCCCAAAATGTTCTGATGTTAGAAGTTTGATCTCTTTCAGATATAAGTAGTCCTCAACTTACAATCACAATTAAGCCCAATATTTCTGTTGTTAAGCGAGACATTTGTTAAGTGAGTTTTGCTCCACTTTACAACCTTTCTTGCCTCAGTTGTTAAGTGAATCAGTGCACCTGATAAGTTAGTAACCCAGCTGTTAAGTGAATATTGTTTCCCCATTGACTTTGCTTATCAGAAGGTCGCAAAATGGTCATAAATATGAACCAGTTGCTAAGCACCTGAATTTTGATCACATGATTATGGGGATGCTTCAAAGGTCATAACTGAAAATGTCATAAGTCACTTTTCAGTGTCGCTGTAACTTTGAATGGTCACTAAATGAACTGTTGTAAGTTGAGGACTACCTGTACATACATGAATACCATGTCAAAAATGTATGTATGCTATAGTATTCCATTATTTCTTTCTGTGAGCCTTGATAATTATTTCCTTCTGTGAGCTTTGATAATACTATAAATAAGATATGCAAGGATAATAATAATAAGAAAGAAAAGAAGCATGAATGGAAGCCTTTTCAAGCAAGCTGAAGGGAAATACATACAGTTAGTATATTTATACATAAATATACAATATTGAGAATTATTATCTTGGACACTGATTTCTGTAGTAAGTCTATCCCTAATGGCTCTTTTAATTCTACTTTGGATTTCAGCAACATGATATTGCTTTCTGCTTTTCAGATGCACAGGAATACTGTGATACTTAAATTGTATTTATAAAATATTATTGAGTGTTATTTATCTAAAGTATTCTGATTACTGTACAGTAATAATTCCTGTAGTATGAGTCCGAAACCAGTATGAGTCTGATTTCAAGAGTGACTTCATTTGAGCCTTGATTGCTTTCATCATGAATGTAAAAAAATAATATTGCATATGTTACAAGAGAACTATTTATTTATAATTGGCTTATATTTTTGATTTATAAGGTTGCTGAATTACTCAAAGACTGATATATATAATTATATTACCAGAACATTATTAACATGTCATTTTAGTCGTGCTCTCTTTCTTTTCATAGTCTGAAAACTAAGAGTGGGAGAACATAATATACATAATTTGAAATGTATACTCTCTGATCTCTGTTCAATGGCCTCCCCTACCAACAACCATATATATTACTCTTTGCAGGACACACTGCTACACGAGTGCATAAAACTGATAAAGTAGATTCTACATTATAAACAATTTTACAGTTGCTTTTTATATAGTAATCTTTTGGGTTTAGTGTGATGAATGAATCTGCCCATTCTGGCTCAATGCTATATATTGCAGCATGCTATGATGACTTGTTCAGAAAATCATGGTTGGTTTTTTTATTTAATATTATATATGTCTGCAATCTAAAGTATCGAAAGTATCTTCTGAATCTTTATTGTTCTCTTGGAACAAAGCTGTAGCCTAATGTCTTTTGTAGGATTTTCAGTTGAACTACTAAAAGTAGGGGTATTAATCCTATTGTTTTTTTATAAAGGGACACCATGTGGCGGATTTTCACAGGCTCACTGCTTGTGGAGGAAAAATCTAGTGCTTTGCTACATGATTTGCGTGAAACCGAGGCTTGGATTTATCGGCTTCTTCGCTCACCTGTGCCAGTTGCTGGCCAGAAGCGTGTGGATGTGGAAGTCTTACCTCATGAATTGCAGCCAGCCTTGACGTTTGCCCTCCCCGACCCTTCCCGCTTTTCTCTGGTGGATTTCCCTTTGCATTTGCCCTTGGAGCTCTTAGGTGTGGATGCTTGCTTGCAAGTACTGTCCTGCATTCTTCTGGAACATAAGGTGAGAGGAAAATGCGGCCGATTCATTATAGATAATTTAGCAGTGAGGACTGCATTGCCTTTCCACAATGTTTCAGTAGCGCTTTAGCATGGAAGATTATGTAGATTTGTCACAATTAATAATTTCCTATTATTGTCCACAGAGCGATAAAGGGTGTATCCTTCATAATTGTATCTTTTTGTGTAAAATACTGTTTGATTAAGGAAGCAGCACTGGAGATGAAAATAAAACTGAGTAGCCTATAAGAAAATTTAGAATTTTGTTTTATGGTTGCACTAATGCAGTTTTCTTTGGCTTCAGGTAGTACTGCAGTCTCGCGATTACAATGCTCTATCCATGTCTGTGATGGCATTTGTGTCTATGATCTACCCATTGGAATATATGTTCCCAGTGATTCCTCTCCTTCCTACCTGCATGGCTTCCGCAGAACAGGTATATCAGTGGTTGTGTTAGGACAGCCCAGCCTTGACTCAACTAAAGACTTTCCTTAGAACCAATATGTGTATCTGGTTTTTTTTTCAGTGTATTGCTTGCTTGTTACTGAAATCTTCAGTTTATTTTTTTTCCTTGCTCTTCGGAAGAATTAAGAATGTTTTCAAAGAGTTATTTTTCTTTAAAAAAGTCTAAATTCTTTCCTTCTACATACTTTATTGGTTACTTTAGAACAGGGGTCCTCAAACTTTTTAAACAGGGGGCCAATTCACGGTCCCTCAAACTGTTGGGGGGCCGGATCGGCTGGGAGGGCATGGCTAGGTGGTCATATGACTAGGTGGGTGTGGCTAGGTCATGTGACTGGGTGGGCCAATTTAGCAGTCCATTGAACAATACACACAAATTAAACTTTAATTTGTTTTGCTCCTGGGGGTGTTTTATTTGCTTTTGTTTGCATGTTGCTCTTTTGGTTGCCTTTTCTTTTTACTAGATTGTTTTTTCAGTTGTTTAGGAGTCTAGTGGTCCACTTCAGGAAACTCAGTTTTGCTGCAATTCTTCTCAGCCCCAAGGAGCTTGAGAAATCTCTCTCTGTCTCTCTCTATCTCTTTGTCTCTCTCTTTTTCCTTCTCTCTCTCCCTCTCTTTTTTTCTCTCTTTCTCTCTCTCCTTCTCTCTCTGTCTGTCTCTCTCATACTTTGTCTCTCTCCCTCTCCCTCTTTCTCCCTTTCTCTCTCTCTCTCTGTCCCGCTCTCTCTCTCTCCCTTTCTCTCTTTCTCTCTCCTTCTCTCTTCTTCTCCTCTCTCCTTCTCTCTTCCCTCTCTCTCTCTCTCTCTCTTCATTCTTTCTCTCTCCTCTCCTTTCTGTCTCTCTGTCTGTCTGACTCTTTTTTTGTCTCTCTCTCCCTTTCTCTCTCTCTTCTCCCTCTTTCTCTCTCTTTCATTCTCTCTCTTCTCTCATCTCTCTCTCTCATTCTCTCTCTCTCTCTCCTCTTTCTTTCGTCTTCTCTCTCTCACTCTCTCTCTCTTCTCTCAGAGGTATAACCAGTGAGGTAGTGAAGGTGAAAAATGGGCTGTTTTTGCCTGTTTTTTTGCGTCTTCTAACCCCCCCACCTCCACAAGCATTCTGCAGGTTATAACCAGGCAAAAATGGCTTGGTTTTTGGCCAAAAACAGGCCATTTTTGCCTGGTTTTTTTGCCTCTTCTAAACCCCCCCCCTCACCTCCACAAGCATTCTGCAGGCGAAAACCAGGCAAAAATGGCTCATTTTTTGGCCAAAAACAGGCCATTTTTGCCTGGTTTTTTTCCTCTTCTAACCCCCTCCCCCTCCACAAGCATTCTGCAGGCTAAAATTGTTGAGCTAAACTTTTGGTTCCAGCCTGCAGGTCTCCAGAAGGCAAGTCCTGCACTCTGCTAAAGGGTGAGTTGGGTGATGTGGGCAGGGCAACCTCGTGGTGCTCCGCGGGCCAGATTAAGTGGTTCAGTGGGCCACATGCGGCCCGCGGGCCGTAGTGTGAGGACCCATGCTTTAGAACAATGAGTGTTTTACATTTGATTTACTGTAGCTTGAAAAAAAAAATGTATGCCTTTGAGTTAGTTTGGATTCCTGGTAACTGCCTGGACTAATCCCTGCAGTTTTCTTGACAAGGCTTTCAAAGTGGTTTGCCGTTGCCTTTTCTCTATGGCTGATAAAGAGTGACTGATCCAGAGTCAGATATCTGGCTTTGTGCCCAAGACCGGACAGGCCTTCTGGTTTCTGGCAAGATGGCATTATTTCTACATGAAACTAGGTTTCAAAAACAATATTATTTTTATTATTTCCAAACGTATTTTCCACCCTATGCTGTCTTAAGTTTAAGGAGTTTCCCAACTATTTAATTTCTTCTCAGCTTTCAGTTATGCTTGCTTCTGATATACCTTCTTCCAAAATATACTGTATATACATTAGTATCTATACTTGCCCAGTTTTGTTCTTATCTGACTTGTATTACTATTTTCCACCCATTACAGCTACTCCTAGCCCCAACACCTTATATTATTGGAGTCCCAGCAAGCTTCTTCCTTTATAAGTTAGACTTTAAAATGCCAGATGATGTATGGCTGGTGGATCTAGACACTAACAAGGTAACTAGTTTCTATTTATGTGTTAAATGTAATTTAGAGAATTATTTAGGGATACAGGTAGTTCTTGACTTATGTGCACAATTGGAACTGGAATTTCAGTCACTAAGTGGTGTGTTTATTAAGCAAGTCCTTATGTGACCATATCAATTTTATGATCATTTTTATCATGGTTGTTAAGTGAACCACACTGTTAAGTAAATCATATGGTTGCAAATTCTACTTCCCCGATTGACCTTACTTGTTAGAAGCTGGCTTGGAAGGTTGCAAATCATGTGACTGCAAGATGCTGCAATCGTCATAAATGCAAATCAGTTATGAAGTGCCCAAACAGCAATCACAGAAGTGTGAGATTGATGTGATGGTTGTAACTTTGAGGACAGATCATAAGTCAGTATTATGAATTCTCTAATTCCGCATTGCTTTTGCTAACACAGATAGCTGTTCTCTCCTGCTTCTAAAACAAAAATTTCCTGATCACCAATATTTGATGGATTATTTGGTTCTCTTTGTCATACTGATCTAGAGCATAGATTCCTGTGCATGAGTTGTTAACTGAGCTTGTTTCTGTGGTACATAAAAGAAATCCATTCAAGGGATTGCCTTGGTGCAATGTTATTTTTAAATTTTAATTTCAGATCATTGTTCCTACAAATGCTGAATTACTGCCTGTTTTGCCAGAACCGGAAGTTTTAGAACTGAAAAAGCATCTGAAGCAGGTAAGTTAATGTTCTGGTGAGTATGGTTAAGAGTTTAAAACTAAGATGAGAGTGTTGGGACAACAGAAACTTGGACCAAAGTTTAATAGGTCCAGGCTCAAAGTTGGTTATAATTCCACAATCATCATTTTACCACTTGTGAAGGAAAATCTCTGTGAGCATCAGAGGTGTATATTAGAGAAAATTAGTAATGAAATAGTATTAGGATTAGAACAAGGAGGCTCTGGCTACTTACTTAAATAAGTAGCCAGAGTTCTTCTAACTTAAATTAGAAGAATTAGAAATTCTTCTAATTTCTGATCCCCAAATGAACAGATACTTCAAAAAATAGCTTGCCTTGAAGAGCTACTGGAATGTAGAAAATGTACTGTATTTAGAGGAGGATATGAGAAATCCTGGTTCTTATTAGATTTGGAACAAACATTTTGTGTAGTAATTTTCTTCCTTCCTTTTCATTTCTCCTAATTTTCACAAAATAGTAATTGTCTCCCCCCCCACCAAGAATCAATTTATTTTATATTGCTTGTTTCATGAAGGTACACAGACTTGTTTTTTCCTGTGAATTATGTTCTAGAAATATACTGTGTTTCTTTTGAAGTCAGAATATGTAGGAATTTGAAGAGAGAAAACCAACAGGAAAGGCTTTGGATCAGTACTAAGAGTAGTCACTTGCAGAATGGAACAATCAGATTAATAATTAATAATTGATTATTATTTTTAAAAAAGTCAGAATTAGGTTGGTCAGCTATAAAATATTTGGTGAGCTAATAGTGATTTTCCTCCCAGTGCTGTATTAGATTGTGGATGAGAAAAAAAATAGCTGAAAAAGGGCTGCATATCCAAAACACATTGCGTAACCACCATAACATTTTGTAAAGACAGTAAAACAACTGCTGCTCTTTTCAGTTTGTCCAATTTTGGCCTATAACCTGTCATTTCACCATTCTCCTATATTAATTTACTCCTATATTTATGGAACAATCTTATGGATATTTATTTATATATATGTAATTGATTTTATATGGTGCTTCCAATAATGGTATATTAAGCTTCAGAGTAAAAAAATGTGTACCGTAGAAAGGTATAATATATGGACCATAAAATGAAAACCGTGGTCAAACATAATGTTAAACTACAATTGATCATCAGACCAACTTTAGAATTGTCTTTCATTTTAGATTGCCTACAATTCAGCTTGTTATTCAGAGTCAAACTGTGTTTAATAATAATAATGGTTCATTGAAAAAAGCCACATTTATAAAGTATGGATTAAATGTAGCTTATTTTAATTAAATTTAGCTAAGATTAACCACAATTTGGAGTTTGGTAATACTAGCACTCAACTATAGTGTAATATTGTGTAGTCCTAATCAGTCATATTTATAGTGCTAAAAATTGAATTTCTTTATTGAGGCTTGGAGTTTTATGCGAGATCTATTCATACACATGACAATCTTGATGTGGTCATGAAGCTTTGAAATCATCTTGAATTGCTATTGTTGAATTGTTATCAATGTGTATGCTTCAAACGGCATTAGAATGTGGTTTATCACATCCTTACTCCACCGTCATTTTGATAAGCTACATCTGACGTGTCACTCTGTGGACTATTCATACTATTCAGAACCACATAAAAGGCTTTGCCATTCTCTTTAAAATGGTTTTATACATCCAACTTCGACTTAATAACTGCACAAAGCTCATTCTTTTGTTCCTACCCTTCCCACTCATTGTATGCCTTAAACATTTTGATTTTTCTATGACTTGTTTTCCCATTGTACATCATTAATTTTCTATTTCTATTCACATAGTTGCCAATGAAATCCATACTTCAGAATTTTTTTATTATATTTCATAATAGAGGTTTTATGACTTCTGTATTTTTCTTCCCCATTGCTCTTTTATTGTTCCTCTTTGCATGTTGCATGCAGTATATATATATAGGTAAAGCGTTACAGCAGCAGTTCAAAAGCTACTGCTTCTGTCTCTCATAGAAGAGCAGGACTATGTGTGATTTTTTTGTGTAAGCTAATGCAACAAACCAACAGGCAGTAGAATCTGCAATCTCTCTTTCTGATCTGTTTGGTTTTCTGTTTCCACAGTTTAAGGGGCTGTTGGCAACATTCCCACACACCTGAACAATATGAATAAAATAAAAACGTGTATTTTATTTTAGCAGATAGGAAACACAATTTTATTTTTTATGGAACAAGTTAAGGCAAGAAGGAAAAAAAAATCTTTACTGATGGTAATGAATCTAGGCAACAAACTTATGTGAATACTTATGTAAAATACTAAAAACTATTTTTACAGCCCATTCACTGCAGTCAGAACATCAGATGTTAGTGTATTGTTAAAATATGTGTGGTGCATCAATTTACTAGCCCTCAGTACTTTTTAAGGGAACATGTTTGCAAACAGGTGTATGGGAGCAAAGCAGCCTGGCCTCCTTCAAGAACTGTGCTTTTTATTTTTATTTATTTTTATTTATTTTCTCATCTGTGGTATTAGTAATAATAGACTTTTCTCCATCTGTCTCTATGTGATCATGTATTCGTCTTTGGCTCTGATTGTCGCTGATGTTGTCATGTGATCTTCCATCTTGCCTCCAGACTCTGATTAGCATGTCTGCAATCACTCAGCAACAACTGCTCACGCCTGAAAAAAAGGTGTCTTTATTTTACCTTTTTCTCCCTCAAGTTGCCATTGGATAATTTTTTGTTAATCTATTTTGATGTATTGGCTTTTGGAAAGAAAGGGAATTTTGGTGGAAGATATCGGTAAAAGACGGTGAACTAAAAAAGAAAAAGAAATAAAAGAAATTCACATGGCTTGAGGGTAGGCCACTCTCTCCTCCAAAGAAGCTGAAATTGAGAAAAGTTTAGAGTACAATCTAGAGAACTAAAATGTTTGGGTTTTTTTTTTTTTTGTATGTTCAATATGTCAAACCAAGATAAAGATACTTGTTTTGTGAATATTACAAAATATTCAGAAGCCAGAAGAGTTGATAAAATCAAAACTGTTGAAAACTAAAGCCTTCTAGGAATCTGGGCTTTCATAGTAATTGTATAGTGAAGAATGCATTAACTCTGCTCTTTTTTATATGACATAAAGGGAAAATTAGGAATCTCAGAACAAATTAGCTGAGTTGAGCATTCAGAACAAGAAATAACTACCCAATAATGTAAATTTATATTAATAATATTAATGCATATTAATCTATTTAATGCACTTATGTATCATCCTCCATAAAAACATACTCTAAGGTAATTTCTAATGTTTAAAATAAAAATAGTAATAAAATATGCATTAGTAATACATAGGCTTGTATCAAAGTTATTAGAGTTTATGCCATTAAATCAAACAATATTTATTTGTTTGTCAAGTTTCTACACTGCCCGTCTCACCTAAGTTTTGGAGGGAAACACTTTTTAAATAAGTTCCTAAAAAAAAATCTAGATGTGCTTTTTTTTCGGAGTATATTTCCCAACAGAAAAAAACTTTTTATTGCCACGTATCTTATATCTGATGGTATGTGCATTCTAAATGGATGTTCTTAACTTGATTTGGAAGTAGATAGTACAAAGGTATCTGGTACATATGCTTTAAAGCAGTTTAAGTTGAAACTATAATTTGAATCTAACATTCATATTCAGCATGGAGTTTGTGCGTAAGACTGTGACATTTAAAAGTTGGGATCATATTCCATTATTGCTAATTATTGCAAAATAAGTCCTTTTTTTAGAACCAGTGTGGTGTAATGGTTAAGGCACATAGGCTTTGGCATGAAACCAGATTGGATGACTTTGGGCCAGTCACTATCTTTCTCTCAGCTAAACTTATCACATTGGTTTGTTGCTGTAGAGAAAATAGGAGAGAGAAGTATTAAATATGTTTGTTGCATACTAAAGATGCAATAAAAATAAAATCTGCAAGGGCTAGTTCAGAGGTTTGTCAGGACTCAACACTGACTCGAAGGCAACCTCGCCCCCCCCCCCCAAAGTCCTTTTTAAATAAAACTGTAGAATATAATTTTTGTATTTTAGGACATATCAAAATACTATTGATAGTTTATTTTACATTTCATGTATCTTTTTTCTTATGTAGCCAAGTTAATAAAATAACATAATTCCCAATATTTTTCTTACAATATGTTTAGAGGGGAATTTAAATTCTAGATTACTCTTGATTAATTTTCCAAAGCTATTGAGCCTGGAGTATTTTATAGTTTTTTAAATAAATAAATGAATCTCATTTCAAAGATTTTCTGTTTTTCTCTAAAACAGCTTTAGTAGGTAAAATGGTAAATTTAAAAAAATGCAATTTCTGATTAGATTTAATTGATTCTGTGACTGTTTTGCATGCAATTTTTTTAGCATAAAAACATTTACAATAGTTTGTGTATTTCCCTCTTTTTATTTTCTGTTTATTCAAATGTAAGAAAAGTAAGCAATTAAGCAGAGGAAGGATTGATTAAGTTTATTCTTATTTGCATTAAAAAAAACTGAAAGAGGTCTCTTGATCCCAGGTTATATTGGAACATCACACTCAGCTTGTGTTTTGCCCATGAGAGAGAGTTGTATTACAGCAATGCCATTTTCGTTTATTATGTTTGTAACATATTGCTCTTCAGGCTTTGGCCAGCATGAGTTTGAATACCCAGCCTATTCTTAACCTAGAAAAGTTTCATGAAAGTCAAGAAATCCCATTGCTTCTGGGAAGACCGCAGAATGACCTACAATCCACACCGTCCACAGAGTTCAACCCACTGATCTATGGTAATGATGTAGATTCAGTGGATGTAGCCACTAGGTGAGATAAAGCATTGTGTTTTTGCTGAATGTAAATAATAAACTTCCAATTAGATGGGAAGAGCTGGTGCTCCGCTTAGCAACATATGATAAGCAAAGTTATATTACCTTCTGACAATCTAATATTCTAATATTAGATATCTAATATTCAGATAAACTTAAAAAAATTTTTTTTTAATTTTCTTTTAATACAAAACATTCCATCATTCATTAAATAGTGTGTCGCCTGGGTACAATAAGAAATTTATTGTAACAGTTGATCTTCTCTGGATGATCTATAGTACTAAGTAGTATGGTAATACATTGTTTATATATAGTTTGTGCAGAAGCTGTTGTATGACTTCTGTGAAATATGCCTACTTTCTAAATGTTTATGATAGCTGTTACAAAATTGGTAACTTTCTTCAGATGCCTTGATTTAATATATTAAAATAGTATAAATTTACATAATATATTTTGGATTCTTCAAAGAAAGTTACAATTGTTACTCACATTTTAGGACAGCCTATGTCCAGTTTATGTTAACCAAAACTCAGGAGTAGCCTAGTAGCATTTTTTCAGACTAGCAAATCTTACTGAACAACGTAAGCTTTTGTGAACTGCAGTTCACTTCATAATTTTGTTGTAGAAAAAGTGGGCAATATGATGAACACAGCATGTTGAGGGTTGAGAAGTGCTTCTGATATGCTGATATCATTGGGGCTAGAGTCAATTTAGTAATTGTTAGCATGAACAAATTTGCTTTTTCCTTATTGGGGATGCATCATCAGTTATTTTTTTGGTGATTCATGAATGCTCTGTGCCTTTTCAGTTTTCATGCTGGTTGCTAAATGAATGTCTTTCCTTTTTAAAGGGTTGCTATGGTGAGATTCTTCAATTCACCAAATGTTTTACATGGATTCCAGATGCATACCCGCACACTTCGTCTCTTTCCCCGCCCCGTGGTTGCATTTCAGGCCAATTCCTTTTTAGCTTCACGACCGAAACAGACACAATTTGCAGAAAAATTGTCCAAGACACAGGCAGTGGAGTACTTTGGGGAGTGGTCTCTCAATCCCACTAATTATGCTTTCCAAAGAATCCACAACAGTAAGTGTGATCATGAATTGTCAGCCCTCATGATTTTAATGTGGGATGTTCCAATGCAAAATATTGCTGAGAAATTAACTGACCACTATGTTTTAAGATTTTATCTTAAAAGCAAATAGGATTTGTTCAGTATAAGAATTTGCTTTCTCAATAAAAATCAGAAATACCTATTTCAGGCCTGAAATCCTGTTATTTTCGATATTTTGTCTGGGTTTTTAGAATGTTCATGTAGCTTCTGTAACTGTATTTTTGCTATTGGCATAAGGCAAATTACTTGTTCCTTGTTGCTTTTATAGATATGTTTGACCCAGCTCTGATTGGTGATAAGCCAAAGTGGTATGCTCATCAGCTGCAGCCAATCCATTATCGTGTTTATGACAGCAATTCTCAGCTAGCTGAAGCAATGAATGTCCCAGCTGATAGAGAAACAGATTCAGATCCTACTGATGATAGGTTAGTAAGGAACGGAATGCAATGGCATGCAACCAATCTTCAGTGAATTTTGTAATTCTTTCTAAGAATTTCTTTTTAAATTTAGGTGCCTCCAGCATCAGTTTCCAGGGCACATTGCAGATAATTTATAACAAATATCATTAAAAATATAGATGAAATAACAAAAAAAATCAAATCCAGAATTCTTGAAAAGCCTTTTAAAGCTTGGGAGGTTTAAAAGGTTTGCCTGGCTTCAAAAACACAATACAGGTAGTCCTCGACTTTACAACAGTTGGCTTAGTGACCATTTGAAGTTACAAGTTACACTGAAAAAAGTGACTTATGACAATTTTTCAGATTTATGATCGTTGCAGCATCCCCATGGTCATGTGATTTATATTTGGATGCTTGACAACTGATTCACATTTATTATGGTTGCAATGCCCTACGGTCATGTGATCACCTTTTGCGATCTTGTGACAAGCAAAGTCAATGGGGAAACCAGATTCACTTAACAACCATTGTACTAATTTAACAACTGCAGTGATTCATTTAACAAATGTGGCAAGAAAATTTGTAAAACGGGGCAAAACTCACTTAACAAATTTCTCACTTAGCAACAAAAAATTTGGGCTCAATTATGGTCGTAAATTGAGCACTACCTGTATACTTCTACTGAGGCCTATTATTGCATTCTTTGTGATCATTCTGGCTTCCATTTTCCCCATAATTTTGCTTTTGTTTTGTAAAATGAGTAAAATTTTAAATCCAAATATGACTCATCTATAGTATAAAACCAAAAACTCGTGACCTGACAGTAAAGTCAATCAGGCACTCATTGGGGGTTGAAAGAATTTCCCCACTTTTTGAATCAGACAATCATAGAGAAGAGATGGAGGTAGTAACCAGAGTTATGCCTGCAACAAGTATGATTTCTGTAGCCTTATGTAAGTTGACTGTCAAAACATCAGGAATTTCTCAAGATTTCAACCAGGTATGAGAGAACAATGCAAAAAAGTCAGTGCCGAATAGATACTACAAATCTGGAATCAATTATATTATATTTTTAATGCTTAAAAGAATGATAGAAGCTATGATAAAAAATTGAAAACAACTATGGATTGTTTTAAGTTTGCTTCTGTAATAGTGGAGGATGAAAGTTGCAGGCAGAAGACCCAGAGAGAAGGCAGGTGGCAACTGAAGTTGATTGATTCTTTGGAAACTTAACTATTAAGTTAACTATTTAGACAGAAGAGTTTTGTTTCCATTAGGAACTCGTATTATCAGCACAAGAGGAAGAATCTTCCTAAGTTGATAGAAAATTTTGCATAGGGCACACTGCTTCAAGAATATTAATGTCATTTTGGACTTCTTTTAAAGTGTTTAGATAAGGTACAACTGTTAATACTTTTAAGTTCTGAGCTGCTGCTCTCAGAAGTGTATTGCCTTGCAAAAGGGAAAATTGTCTTCTTTTTTTTGTATTGAAAATATAATTGAGAAAAGCTATCTTTTTATTTTTTGTTTCTGGAGGAATATAGCATGAGGTTATGTTGCCTTTGGGAAACAGATCTGTAAGAGGCAGCAAGCTCCAGGGCCATCTATTTCCTTATCTGGTTAAGTGGTGAACACTTCCTGAGAATTGCCCATTTGAAAAAATATACGTTTATATCAGTAATTTTGGCAATTATGTTCTCCAAAAATGTAGTAGTTGCAGATACGGAAGTAGATTGCTATTTTGGGGATTCCATCCTTATCTGACACTGTTTGATAAGTTGAAGATGCTTTCCATGAGACGCAGGAGAAAATGCTATTTTCTATTTTCTGAATTGTCCTGGGAATTCCTCTTTCTCTCTCTTGCTTGCAGAATTAGAATATATTTTCTACCTGTGCCATACATGTGACAGTGATTTATATTAGGAATTCCTCTACTGTTTCCTTTTACCACTGGGATTTCTCCTTACTGCCTGTTTAATCCCACATAATTTTTAATTTTGCCATAGAACATAGTTTTGCTCATCTTTTCAGTGGTTTCCATTGTCATGGGGTTGAGAAAAACCTGCTTTTCTAGTCTGGTCTGGAAGGCAGAACAGATCCTCCTGCCACAGTGATAATTCAAGACTGAAACATGGCTATTAGCATCAGGAAGAGGTGCCTGGCCAAAGAAATAATGCTCTCTATACAACTAAAGTTATAAAAATCCATGATAAAATATTCTGGTAAATCTCTTACGTAATTTATTTATTTTTTCTACTTTTTTTCCCTTTGCAATAGTGGGAGTGATAGTGTGGACTATGATGACTCCAGCTCTTCTTATTCATCCCTTGGTGACTTTGTTAGTGAAATGATGAAATGTGATATCAATGGTGATACTCCAAGTAAGTACCCTTGATCTGTAATGTGTTTGTTCTGGATATAGTTATAGGGTTTAGGCCAGGGGTGTCAGACTTGAGTTGTCACGGCAGCATCACGTGACGTATTGCGACTTTTTTCCGCTTCACTAAACTGGGTGTGGCCAGTGCGTGATGTATCCAGCCTGTGGGCTGGGAGTTTGACCCCCCTGATTTAGCCTAATTTCATTGCTTTGGAAGAAACTTTTCACCTCAGCAACCAGCTGGAATCTTGCTAGGAGTATGGAAGGTATTTTGTTTCTTTGTTGTGTTTATTTTGCTTGGAGAAGAATAGAATGGAATGGAATAATAGAATAATGGACAGTAAGAATTGGAAAGGATCTTGAAGATTTAGGTTAATCCCCTGCCCACTGCAGAAATCCATTACTGCAGCATCACTGACAGTTAGTCACCCATCATTTAAACACTTCTTACATATCCCAAGGTCTTTTTCATTACTGAATAGCTTTTATTGTTTCAAAGTGTTTCCTAATGTCTAACCAGAACCTGTCTCTTTATAATTTAAACCATTGTTCTTTACTTGTCTTCTTGAGCAACTTTGAAAATCCTGCTAATTTTCTACTTTGCAATCTTCAGATACTTGAAGAGAATTATCATGTTTCCACACAGTCTTTTCTTCTCCAGACTTGAAACTTACAACATTTTCCTTCTAGAACCATACTCCAGTTTGTTAATGCATTTCCTAAAATGTGTCTGGAACTGGATAATATTCCAGATATGGTCTCACCACTATAGAATACAAAGGAATAATGTCTATATGCAAACATGTAATGTCCAAATCAACAAAGTACATTATAGTTATAGTCATTTGTGCTTTAAAACATATATTGTTTGATATGCTCTGTGAATCCAGCCAGTTGTAGTTTATTTAGCAAACTTGATTAAATAAACATTCATGTGCTATTGATTAATAATGTCAGTGTGTAAGGCCCACAGTCATTCTTGGAAATAAAAATTATGGTGGAGGGTAATACTGTGTTACATGCTGCAGTATATCGGTAGCATATTTTTTTTCCTTAAAAAGCTGAAGTTTGTGACTTACTTCAAACAATATTTTCTATACTTCTACAGATAATGCCACAACTAGAAGTACCCTTTAGCAACTGTCTAAAATCGGATTCTGATCAGCTTCTTTATTTATTCACAATAGTAGTTTCTTAATCCAGATTAAATTTCATCTTGTTCCATTTTGAAATTTTAAGCATACATTTATTTAGGAATTCCATATCTTGTGATTCATGGAAGAAAAAAAGAAGAATATAAATTATCTACACATTGGTGGTGTTTCATCACAAAAATCCTAATAGCTTCCATAAACACTGGGATCAAGAAAGTCAGGGTTTTTCTAGCAACCACTTATGAGACAGGTTCAGCAAACAGGATTTGAATCAACTATAATGATGCTTCAAAAGCTGTTTTAGAATAATACCACACTAAGTGGTAATGAAAAATGCTTAATAATCTTAAAGGGTTGCACACTTCCTGTGCATTTTTCTGCAGCATTGTCATCTGATGGATTTAAACAATAACATATTTATTATAATAATAATAAAGAATGTGAATTTGGCATAGGTAAAAACTGATTTAAACTTGGCTAACCTTGAAAGGTAATCAAGTTTGACTGTGTTACTAGTTGGTTAAAGGGTCATTTGGGAATTCCAGGGTCGTAAGCTAGTGTTGTAAGTCACTTCCATAAGGCTACCATGAAACAGCATAGGTGCTATCAGGAATCAAATTTTACTCAAAGGTATCTTTATATTTTAAAAGATTTAAAAGACAAAAGATTGACTGCTTTTGTCCATAAAATGCATAAATCTTCTAGCACAGAGATAATTACATGGGATCATAAAATTACTTACAAATGTAAGGGGTGGTGGTACGATTTTCCTGTGCGTGATGCTTGTAATGTTTTGTCACAGAGACATTGACCAGAAACATGTCATTGAGGCCCACTCTCTAACCCTTTGTTCAGTTCAGAAATCCAAATAAAAGCATTCAAATAAAGACATCACCAGCAGAGTCTACCCTTTATTTGAATCAGTCCTCTTTCCTTTGAATAACTAGTTCTATTTTGAACTGTTCTTACTGTTAACATGGTTTTTTTTGTCTACTGTTCAGATGGAATCTGTTTTCCTATAATTTTAATAATTTAGTGAGTTTTTTTCTTGAATTGCTTGTGACTTGGCCAGTGTAGATTTGTGTTGAGCTGAAACAGTATATATATATTCTAACGTGTCTTGCAGATGTGGACCCACTAACTCATGCAGCTTTGGGTGATGCAAGTGAAGTTGAGTTTGATGATTTCCAGGAATACTCAGCATATATGGACGAACAGGCTCCAGATAGTGAGAATTCCCAAGATAATAACCAACCTCGGTCAAGTTCAAGCACTACAGCCAGCAGTAGTCCTAGCACTGTTATCCATGGGGTGAATCATGTATGTAATAGACTAGATAGCAAAAAACAAAACAAAACATAAGGCTTTTAAAAGTGCAAATAGTTATAATTATAAAAGTTTAAGTAGTATTTAGTGGGATGTCTAGTACATTTCTGTTGAATTGGGATACTGGAATTTCAGTACAAGTAGTCCTCAACTTACGACCACAATTGAGCCAAAATTTTATGTTGCTAAGTGAGAAATTTGTTAAGTGAGTTTTACCCCATTTTATGACTTTTCTTGCCACAGTTGTTAAGTGAATCACTGCAGTTGTTAAATTAGTACAATGGTTGTTAAGAGAACCTGGCTTTCCCATTGACTTTGCTTGTCAGAGGATCGCAAAAGGTGATCACATGACCCCGGGACACTGCAACCGTTACAAGTATGAACCAGTTACTAAGCATCCGAATGTAAATCACATGACCATGGGGATGCTGCGATGGTCATAAGTATGAAAAATTGTCACTTTTTTCAGGGCCATTGTAATTTTGAATGGTCCCTAAGTGAACTGTTGTAAATCGAGGACTACCTGTATTTATCACAGCTCTTAGAAAACTGTTCATTATTTATAGTTTCAAGAAATTATTGCTTTTCATCAATCTGCGATTAGAGTTAAGGGACAAAGACATAGATAATCAGTAGTTGGAGCTTTAAAAAGTCCTTATTAATTGTCATGTTTTAGATATGCAAACAAATATATTTAAAAATGAAAAGTGGTTTGCAAGCCATAGGAACTGCATAAAAATGAAGAAAAAACAGGGAATTATCTGGATTAATTTTTTAAAATCCTACCAACAAGAGATTGCGTAACATTATGAGTTGAGTGAAGCGGTTTGGTGTAGTGGTTTTGGCATCAGGCTAGAAACTGGGAGACTGTAAGCTCTGGTCTTGTCTTAGACATGAACCCAGTTAGGTGACCTTGGGCCAATCATTCTCTCTCAGCTCTAGGAAAAAAGGCAAACCACTTCTGAAAATTTTGCCAAGAAAACTACAGGGACTAGGCCAGGTGAAAGCACAGTCACTTAGGTCAGATGGCTAGTGTAAAAATTTGATTAACAAAAGAAATAAACATTAACTCAAAGGCACAATATTAAAACATTGAAATTTACAGGAGTTTATTGTTAGGCATATAGAAAGTTTCCATGGTAACTTATGTTCTGTGGAATGTACTCTTCTTAGCTTGAGGATTGAACTACTGTATATGGTCTTAAAATGCAATAAATAAATGATTAAAAAAAATCAAGGTACATGTTTAACTGAAAGCTACAAATTATTTTCAGCATTTTAAAGACTAATAATTATAGGTGGTTTTACTTAAGCCACTTTACTTAAAATTCAGGATAATACTGAGCTAGGATTGTGATTAAAATGAGTAGAAATATTTGAGACAGTGTTAGAAATACTAGAAATTGAATGAACATTGTAATATAGTACCAGCAAAGTTTATTCTTATATATTCTAGTTAGAAAACTCAATAAACAGAAAGTCAACTGTGAATATGTGCAACGGTACAGCTATCCAGAATAACTCAAACATGGCTTTTGTTCATTCGCCTCCAGCTTTTCATCTGTGGCTTCGGCCTGCAACTTTCATCCTCCATTATTAAAGAATCAAACTTAACATAACCCAGTTATTTTTTAGGGGTTTTTTTATTGTAAGCAGGAAACATTAGATGTCGTGCTAAGCCCACAACCAGCAGCTGGATTCAGCAAGCTGTTTGGAGAGGCACAGAAGAACTTCTTAATGGAAACTCACAGAGTCATTGTATAGTTAAAATTACATCTAGTATATTGCTGGTATTACATGCTAATTCCTTCTGTAGTATTTCAAATATTGTCCTAATTTTTTAAAATCATGATTTCTATAATGTATATGGTTAAACTTTTTTCTCTAAATATATCCATAGAGAATAATATTTAAATGAAGCAACTACTTATATTACTGTTAGGTATAGGAACCAAGCTGCAGAGAAATAATCCTAACAGTGTTAATGTAATAAAACTTACTTTAGCAGAGACAGTGACAGAAATCAATAGAATGTTTTATGTTAAATTTTAATTTCTCAGTAAAATTATAAACTACTTTAATCATTTCAAACTGTGATAAAATAGTTTATCATCAACTACTGGTATTATAGAAATCTTTAACTGGAAACAAATTCATGTCTTGTTCTCGGTACAGGAATCAGCTGATTCAGCAGAGGTAGAAGAGAAGATGGTAGCTGGATTTTCAAATCACCTTTCCAGCTTGCCTTTACAGCCAAATTTTCCCAAGGTGACTGTGGATCATCATGAAAGCGAGAGTCCTTCATTCAGCTTGAGTACCACAGAAGGAATGGTGAAGAAACGAGAGTATGATAATCCATATTTTGAACCACAGTATGGATTCCCAACAGAAGAAGAGGAAGATGAGCAGGAAGAAAGCTATACTCCAAAGTTCAACCAGAATCTCAATGGCAGTCGGTGAGAATTGCTACATCCAGCATGGGTTTTTAAAATTAATTTGGTCCTTTCTATGTGGTATCATCCATTGTCTAAGAAATTTTCTGCAATTCAGCTACATTCTTAATACTGGATTAAAGTATTCTTCTTTACCTTTAAAATACAGTATATTAAACGCCTATGTCTTTATTGGAAGTAATTATTTATGTCCCACATTAAAGATGCTAAAAACAGTTTGTAGGCTTTTTAGAGTGCAGTGATGGATCAAAAGTAGCAACAGAAAGAAAAAAGATTATATGATTGTCCATAGAATTTATATTAATGTCATATGCTTCTGCATATTTACAGTATATGAAAAATATAACAGAGAGGAAAATCTATGGATTACTTTAGTTGACCCTCTGGTACTTAGAATCTGTAGAACCAGATGAGCCATTTTCAAAAGATTTGCACAGTAGGCAGTGGTGAAATGTAAAATTTGTTACTACTGGTTCTGTGGGCGTGGCTTGGTGGGGGAGGGTAATATGACTGAGTGGGCATGGTCAACTTTTTTTTTTATTTTTACTTTTAAAACCATTTTTTCTACAACCTCTTCGGTAAAAAAAATGCTTTTAAAGCCTCTGACGATCCCAGCTGACTTGCCTGATTGGCAGAGGCTTTTTTTCCTTTTAAAAATATTTTTTCTATAACCTCTTCGGCTGAAGATGTTGTAGAAAAAATGCTTTTAAAAGCCTCTGATGATCCCAGCTGAGCTGCGCAATCATCAGAGGCTTTTTAAAAAAACTTTTAAAAGCATTTTTTTGGCCAAAGAGGTTGTAGAAAAAATGCTTTAAAAATTAAAAAAAAAGCCTCTGACGATTGCGTGGCTCAGCTGGGCAATGGGGGAGGGGGCGGGGGGCAGGGATTTTTGCTACTGGTTCTCCGAACCACCCACCTCCATCGCTAACGGATCGGGCGATCCGGTCCGAACTGGGAGCATTTCACCCCTGACAGTAGGGAAGGATGGTATTATTTCTCTCTCTTGTTTGGTATATTTGGGAGAGAAAATGAAATTAAAGCCTCTTTTCGGTAGTGGTTAGCTGCAAAAGGTGGGTGAGGGATTTGGGTTTGTGGAATACTTAGAGAACTGCAGAGGGTTTTAAATAATATGTGCAATATGATTTATCCATATGTACTATGATAGATTTGCCTTATTTCTCATAAAATTCTGTATCTCTTTTCAGATATTTTTAACCGAATGAATAATTATTGATTTTAATACCCCTGCCAGCCGTGGTTTGTAGAATAAATGTTGCTTTTGTGATGATTTTCTGCCATAGTTAAACACAAAGAAGTTTCTGATAATGACATGTTTCCCAATTTCTACTACAGCCATAGGTACAAAATGCTGCAAATAATGTGTTTCTTTTTTCCTGTTCTTTTCAAGGCCTCCAAAACTTTTGCGTCCCAATAGTTTAAAGCTGGGAAATGACTCTGATGCAGAATCGGATTCTCGTGCCAGTTCCCCAAATTCTACAGTCTCCAATAACAGCAGTGAAGGTTTTGGGGGTATTATGTCTTTTGCCAGTAGGTATTTTTATTTTCTTGCATATTGATTGAAATAATAGGTGGGAAGATGTGGAGAAGAGATTCAAAGGGGGAAAAACCTACTGTGCAAATATGTTAATCCTAGGTACCATGAAAGTCATGGATCTGATTATTGCTGAATATGTGGCAGTCCCCCGATTATGGCTTTTATAAAACCAGGAGAGATGCATGAAAGAATAGAAGGTGACATTGTTTTGTGGAAAAGAGTAATGACAGACTTTATCCAGAGGTTAGCTCAGATAGCAGATGTTGGAAAAACTGGCATCTGTAGACTGAGTCAGCCAACTCAAAATGCTTTTTGAAGGGCAGGTGAGAAAATGGCAAATTCCACTCAGGCATTCTGGATTGTAGAGAAGGAAGGCCTGTCTTGTCCAGCCTTATTTTCTCACAGTGACCAGGCAGGACCTGAGTGGAAACTATGTTCCTCCACAGTTGGTATTGATAACTACGTTGCCATGGTCACTGCCTCTGAAAATATATAATTATCCTGTCTATCTATTAGACACCACTATTATTTAGGGAACTTCACATTTACATTTTACTTCTTCTGAATTCACAGTTTCTAGAACAATCAACATGCATTATTGTATGATCTGTTATTGAGAATTTTCACTAAAAAATAATTGAATTTTAAACACCCATGTGATTTTGATCCACAACATCATAGGGCTTTTTAGCCCTTTAATTATTGGCGAAATTGGTGGGGACTGATGGAATGTGTAGTCACAGCACATCCTATGACATAAAATGGATATCATGTTTTGTGTACCCTGAAATATATTGGAGTCCTTGTTTGAAATGCTTTTTTTGGCTGGGATGAGGTTGACGTACATAAGGGTGCTATTTTGGATAGCTAATATTTTGGATAGCTATATTTTGGATATACTAATTTAACAATGCTGCTTTCTACAGTGTTTGAAGCATCCATATTGTTATATAAAGAATCAAGAATAATTCCTCCTGCTCTGCTATACCTTGAAATTCTGCTTTAAATATTAATAGTTTTCTGTTTAAGTAACTTTTAAATGTCCTTTGTGGTTGTTCATAACTTTATGTTTTAGAGGGGAAGATGGGTACAGCTGCTGTATATTAAATATGAATTCAGTGGTCAGTAAAAAAAAGAAACGAAGTTCACAGACATGTTTAACAGAATTTTTGTCTGATATTAATTCCATATGTGGGATATTGTCATAGGTCTTTGGCCAGTTTTGAAACTGAGTTTCTCCAGTTAAGATGGCCATCAAGCAATCACAGATATTCCTTTGCTAGTAAACAATTATTTCCTTTCCTAATAAGAGCCATTTTGGACATGATAATATGTGGGGAAGTAGTACCATTGACTTGTCCCTCCTCTCCCTAATGATTCTTAGATGTACTTGCAGTATATCTTACTCATTTTGATTAGCTGTATTTTTCAAAGGAAGCTTGCATATTTCTAAGAAGAAGCACAGTTTGTTTTGAATTGTGTGACTCCAATCAGTGCTATAGTCTTTTTAGGAGTAGTGGTTTAGCCTATTTTGGAAGGGATTCGTGAGAGTTCTTGTGTTTGACGTTGCTACTCAATATCTAGTCAGCAATATCAGCCAGTGGGGTTTTTGCCCTGGGTTGATGTGCCAAGAAGACTGGCAGACTTGAGTAAAGAACAGACACACCTCAGTTACATTAAAGTTTGGGTTATTTGGGGTTACATTTACCTTTTATAAATTGTATAGGAAAAAATTTTTTGGGAAACATTTGAGTCTGTTGTATCATTTTAATTAGTTATGGTTTGTTTTTAGTATAATTTAAAGCGGTTGTTGTTGTTTCAAAAGATTTTTTTATTACTTGACTTTTAAAAAAAACACAGTAATGCTTCAAGAAAGACTTTTAAGTAGTAGCATCTAGTTGTGGAGTTTTTGCTCAGGAGTATCCACCAGGCTCACTCTCAAATATACTTTAAAAAAAGATTATATTACTTCTGTATACATAGACACCTTTTTAATGATGCTACTAAGTTACAACAATTTTTTAAAAAATATAGCAGTGATATAGATATTTATTTTTTTTAAAAGCAAGTGAGTTTCTTTTGATTAACTTTTGATCCTGCTTATTTAGTTCTTAATTTTCATGCATAATGCATAGGAGATAAAATAAGGGAGCCATTTATTCTATCTCTCCTCTTCCTATTGTTATGTCCACAATGTGCCTCAAATTCTTCAGATAAAAAAAAATTGAAGAGACAGAATCTGCCATTGATGGCCTAAGTAAAACATAAATAGGATTTGAATGCTAAATTTGTGCATTTAACAAGTAGGTGATGAAATTGAAATAGAAAGTCTGTTCCTGATATATTTTTTCTTCTTCTTTGTTCTAGTTTCGATTTTGAGAATAATGCCCCATTGGTGGCCTTCTGTTGATTATAATTTATATTTTTAAAAGATGCATATTAAATATGAAGATGACAGCCAATTTGCTATAGTGGTTAAGACATCAGGCTAGAAACCGGGAGACAGTGAGTTCTAGTCCTGCCTTAGCCACAAAAGCAGCCGGATGACCTTAGGCCAGTCACTTTTTCCTGGCTTAAGGGAAAACACTTCTGAAAACCTTGCCAAGAAAACTTTTAAGGATTTGGCCACAGACAGTCTTCAAGAATCAGACAAGATTGAATGGAAGGGAAAAAAATTTGAAGATGCATATTAAGTTACTTCCTAATCTGAGAAGGACAGAAATGAGCTCACATATAAATAGCTGAATAAATAGCCAAATGAAATAAGAGACTGATTAGATCACTTGATATATTTTCTTTTTATTATAGGTAGCCTATACAAGAATCACAGCACAAGCTTTAGTCTTTCCAATTTAGCACTTCCATCCAAAGCTGTGAGAGACAAAACCACTCCATTTCCTAGTCTGAAAGGTAATTGTTTTCGTTGCCAGTTAATGCTTTCATAATTGATTGCCAGTGGTCACAAAATACATCCTCTTCCCCAGTGAAATAGGACAATGAAAAAATAGGAATCCTGAGTAGATGTTTTTCAGATCTCTATTCATGGCATGTATGGAGCATACATTGGAATGGCAGTGACCATTGAAATATACTTAGTGTGGCTTTGTTCATATGTCTTCTTACGTTGGTAACATTTTATTGTATCAGTCATGCAAAACACTAATATGGGAAAGATGTTTCAACAGCCTTCTAACTTTTATGACCTCTACATATAAATGTTTGCTAGATAGGAAATTAACTTGAGATTGAATATATTAATAATCTTTCTCATGGGAGCAGTTGCAATTAATTGAGTTGGATGCAGAGGTGTCCACAACAAAGTCATATTGATGCAAAATTGATAACACACAGCAATACAGGTAATCCTTATGACCCCAGTTGGGACCGGAATTTCTGTTATAAGTTGTTGCTGTCATAAGTCACGTGAAATCCAATTTTATGATCATTTTTATGATCCTTGTTAAGCAAACACTACAGTCATAAGTGGGATCCCATTCTTCCAAATGGGTGGATTCTGCTGGAAGCCAACAATAAAGGTCACAAATCATGATCACATGACCATAGGACAGTGCAGTTGGTCATAAATGCGAACCAGTTGCCAAGTGCCTGAATAGTGATCATGTGAACATCAGGATGATGCAATGATTGTAAGTGCAAGGACTGGACTTTTTTCAGTACTCATAACTTTGAAAGGTTGCTAAACAAAAGGTAGTCAAGAACTAGCTGTATTGTGTGATGAATCCTGTTCTCTTGCACTTGCATCCCAATTTGTGCCTAAAATTCTTAGGACACAATATTTATGTCATGGCCTTATATTTTCTGTGGATAGTCATTGCTGAACCATTCAGCAATTTGAAGAGTGAAGAATAAATGCAGGTTGTAGAAGTTATGGTTATTTTATATATACTACAGTCAATATTAGTCAAATTTACTAATGAATTACCTAAGCCTTACCATTTTTTGTACTTGGATTTTTTAGTTGCTCAGCTAGAAGGAGGCTTTGTTTGCCTTTTCAGTTCTTGTATATGATTAGAAAATTATATTTTTTTTCTTTGTAATAAGTTGATTTTATTTATTTCTTCCCCTTCTCCATTTTCATCGGTAAAGATTACTTTAATCTGGAAGTGGGAAGGGATATGGATAAAGGTTGGTATAATGTCTTGCTAACATTTGACCTTTTAATGATAAAGGCCAAAAGTTGGTTTTGTGTTGCTGCCTTAAAGTTTGCTTTGGATAGCATAACTTTCTTTCCTGGGTGTGTATTTTTCTGTAAAATATACATCCCCTAATGATTGGGAGCCGCCCAGAGTTTGATATAAGATGGATGGCTATGTAAATGTTTGAAGTAAATAAAATAGTAACTGAAAAGGAATGTGAGTACTCTAAAATTCCTGCATATCTCAGAATATTTCCATCTGCTTACATTCTAATGGGCATATTTTTTATTGCTCACAATTCTCTGTTAGGTAAATCTAATATTAATAACACACATTGGAAGAAAACAGTGATGGGTGTTTCCATTTCTTTTCATGTTTTTGTCTCATTTTCTGCAATTTATCATTTTTTTACAATTCCTGTTCAGTGTGATCTCTTGTTCTATGTTATACCAATGATATTTTTAACCTTTGTAATAGACAGTTTCTTTGCCTGTACTTCTGCCTTTTTAATAAATAATATATAAATAGGGGTTCCACTTTTTTGAGTGAATATTAGAATATGGGGCTTTTACAAGCTAGCCAGATAAACTTTGTCATGAAATGCCAATTTCACAGAAATATAAGTTAATGAGGCTAAAAGTAACTAACCCACAATATAAATTATATGACTGAGATTGACTCTGATCTCCAAAACACAAATCTACTTTGTTCAAGGTCAGTCTCAAACTCTCACCTTTCTTTCTCTGGCTCATCCACTCAAAATGCATATCGTATTTATTTATTTATTTATCAAATTTAGAAACTGTCATCTCCCTCACATAGGAATTGTGCAACTTATATTACGGACAGACTCACACTCATATCCAGGGGCTTCTGCAAGGGATGTCAGAAAGTCAAGATGACAGTTGTGACCATGCAAAGAGACCCCCCATCTTTTTTTTTATATGCCGGCATGTAAAAAAGGGCAGGGTTTCAGTTTTGTGGTTACAACCATCATCTTGACTTTTTTGACCAACCCTGCACATAGTCAGATGTTTCTTTGCCTTCTACTAATTCCCTCGTCTGTAGCTTTTCCTGCTTCCTCCTCAGGACATTCCCCTTCTAGTTCTCCTGCCGCAACTTCCCCCTCTTCTTACAAAACAATGAGTTCCACCTTTTCCTCTTCATTTTAGGCATGGTTGATATTTGAACCAGAGGCATTTTAGGGAATAAAAATTGCAAGTGGCTGAAAATCAGCTCTTTATTTAAATTGCTCCCTTTGTAACTAGGTTTTAAAAAAAAGGTTAAGAATTAGCAGAGTATTTCACAGAGGAAGATAACGGGTGAAGTAATGCCTATAGATAACAGTTTATGAGTAAATGAGTTATGCAGTTTTTATGACTAATGCCTATTCCTCAGTTTATGAGTAGATATGAGAACTGCCTTTTTAAAATGTCACAATAGTAATGGATGGTATAGTAGCAAAGTTAATATATATATATATTGATTTAAAAAATATATTTAGTCAAAAGGAAGACAATCCCAAATTTAAAAGAAAAGAAAGATTGGACAGAAGAATATTTATGTGCTTCTGCTCCTTTACTGAATTTTGAACAAACATAATTCTCCCATAAAGTATTTGTGGAAACAAAATATGCTTCCTTTTCAAGTAAATAAAGTAATTGAAAACTTTGCAGTAGATTTGTTCACTAGGTATAGTATCTCATTAGATTCCATTTCTCAATATTTTATTATCCTTTCCAGCAATTTCTTTTAGATTTGGTTTTAATGTACCTTCCTTTGTTTTCTTAAAGGAAACTAATTCATTTTTGGAAAAGAAAAAAAATATATTTAATTTTGAATGGAGTACATAGTTACCTTCCAGCTTTTTAATAACTTTAAAATCAGTTTAAGGGCAAATCTATACTGCAAATGTGAGGTGGTTGTGTTTTGTAATTTTCAAGAAGTCCAACAAGGGACCTTAGAAATTTTGCGGCAAGAGTTGTGGGATTAGGAAATCTATAGCTCTAGCGATGAAATACAATATACTGTTGAGGGAGTTTTATGTGAAAGTGATGATGTTCAACTATTTTATTCTAATTATTGATAATCTAAGACTTGATTCAGTGGCAGCACCAGTGCAAATGCATGAATAAGAGATAGGGAATATAGTGTTATGGTCTTCTTGCCCTCCCAAGACTACTGCTACTTATATTTAGTTGGTTTTACCTCCCACTCCTTGATTATTCCTACAGCACTTAATCAACAATGAGGGAAGCTACTAATTAAATATAGAAATGGTGGTGATTTTACTAGTATTCTACTAATTGTTTATTTTGTGTCCCAGTATTTGGGCTAAATACTATAATGGAGATTATTACTGAAGCTGGGCCAGTAAGCAATGAAGGTGGGTCCTTTGCATCATGAGTTGTGCATGACATACCGATTCCCAGTAAGCATTTTGTGCCTGTCTTTGGGCAACTTTACCACTGGTAACCAAGATTGTATAATCTCTACTAATCACATTCCCATATCGCATTATGCTTTTCCATATGTTGTTGAATCCGAAGATGGTTCTTGTGGCAGAAATGCATGCAGAGCAGCTGAGCTTCTCCTGCTTTTCACCTTCTGCTCTTACTACCATCTTCTCTTTTGTCTCATTCCCATTACTGTTTTCTGCCGATGTATGATGCAGTAATACAAAATATGCTGCTGCTTTTTCAAGTTTTTTTTGTACGTCCTTTTAAACAGAATGTTAGCTAATTCCTGTGTGTCTCATTAGTAGCATTTATGGACTTAAAACATCTTTTTCAGTAAATGTTTTCTCATTCTGCCTCTTTACTCATGCAGGAAACAGGCGAGCACTTGTAGATCAGAAGTCTTCTGTTATAAAGCACAGCCCAACAGTGAAAAGGGAATCTCCTTCGCCACAAGGACGAACCAGTAATTCCAGGTAAAAAATGTAAAGCATAGCTTGGCTAGTAGCTTCTTTTACATTGCCTAATTTCTGAAGCTTCTGCAACTATGGTACTATCTGCCTTCTCTGTGGAAGTCTGTTGCCTGGAAGAGAGAAAACAACAAGAAATGGGGTCTTCTGTTTTTAACTTTCTGTCAACAGCCACTTGCTTTATTATTATTTTTTTATACATTTGCTATTCTTATAGACTGAGAAATTTATATTGTCTCCTAGAAGCCACACAAGATAGCCACACAGACAGAAAGATCATATGTCCCTAGCCAGCATTTCAAATCTTCCAGTGGTGTACCCCTCATCCCTGTAATCAAGTCCATCCACCTTGTTGCTCTTTTCTCTTTCTTTCTACCTTTCTTAGCACTGTAGACTTAAAAGAGCCATGTCTTCTCATAATATGTCCAAATATCATAATCTTCAGGCTGGTCATTTGCACTTTGAGCAACAACTCTGAGTTGATTTATTTTGTGAGCTGTTTGTTTTCTTGTCTATCCATGGTATTCTCAAGAGCCTTCTCCAACTCAAAGTTCAAAATATTTTCGCTTCTTCAAAATACAGCTTATACTGGCATTGAGTATTATAGGAAGAACTATTATCTGCATGATTGTGATCTTTGTAGGAATTGATACATCATGGCATCTAAGTACAGTATCTTTTGCTATCCTACAGAACACTAATTTGCAGGGTATTTCTTAATTGCTGGTTTCTTTACTGAAAGAAAGAAAAGTACGTATTGCCTTTTGGACGGGTATTCTTTTGTTTTCTCCAGTGTATACCTGAAACAGTATCTCTTATTTCCTCATCCTTTTCAAAAAGTCATCTTAAATATCAAGCATCTTCTTTTCTGTGAAGGGCTCTAATTTGTGGTCCTATCCATTTATTTTTCTAGCATGTGAAATATTATACTATAGTTTGCATACTCCACTAACTCTCTTTGGTATTGGCACACAGACTGATCTCTTCCAATCTATTGGCCATTGTATTGTTCTCCAGATTAGCTAGCATAGTTTGATTAGAACCTTTACAGTTTCTTTTTCTGTTGCTTGTCATACTCAAACAATTTCTGTAGCCTTCTGACCTGATAATGACTGGAATGCTGATCTGATTTCATCTTCTAGCATTAGAGGTTCTTATAAATAGGGAATATAATATAGTGCAAACAGGTTGGCTTTGTTCTTCCACTTTTGTTTGACTTGGAATGTTAGCATGAACAGTTTGTGATTGTTTCACAGTTATTGATCACATATTTACTGTCATTACAGCTCTTCCATTTCCTTGTATCAATATCATGGTTATTTTGTGTTTTGTGTACTCTACCTGGTAATGTCCACATATACAGGTATTGTGGTTGTTAGAAGACTGTTAATAATGAAGAAATCATTACATTGGCAGAAGCCTATAAGTCATTCTCCTCCTTCATTTCTGTTTCTTAGACCATGCAATTGAATTACATTTCCCTACTTAATATTTCCAATTTTAACATTCTAATGTCCAATCAAAAGCAGTATATCTTTCTTGAATATTTTGCAATTTTCAGATTAAACTTGACTGTAATCCTTGCCATCCTCCTGTTCTTCTGCAATAGTGGTTCAAGCACAAATTAGTATAACTAATTAAAGGACTGTCCATGAAGACTAACTGATATTATTCTATCATTAACTACTTTGACATGAACTTTATCTTCGCATAACCTTCTTGCTTTTTGTTTTTCTTGTCTCGAGTAGTGAAACAGTATGATCTTTTGATGGAAAATGCTTAATTCCAATCCATTTCAATTAACCTAAATGTGAATGTATTTTTCATTATTCAGCTAATCTCATCTTTCATTGTGTTGAACTTTCCCATATTTATGCTTTTTATGTTCTATGTTACCCTTTAATTCTTTCTTTGCAGTTTTAGATATTCTTTTTCCTGCATGGCAGCATCGGCAAACTAGACTTCCTCAAGGAAGTCATGTCTAGTCATGTCAAAAAACACTATTAGTACTGTGAAAGATCTTCAGCTGTTCTTCAGTAGAGTGTTGAGTGCTATCCAACTTGAGGAGCCTGATCATATGACAATAACTAGTCAATCATTTTATATTGTCTAACCGTTGACTTTCTTGATAAAATATAGGGGTGGTTTAACATTGCCTTCTGCATAATATGAATTTATGTCTTTGTTGTTTTCATCATCCATATGCAACATATTTCTACATTGCTGCTGTCCAATATAAGTGCCTACTTTCTGTAGCTGGATTGAGTTTTGTTTCTTAGGTGATCCTCCTGGGGGTATATCCTCTTGGCACACTTTGCCTCTATTCATAGCTTATTCCTCCAAGGAATGCTCTGTGATGATGTAGTATAGTAGGACATGAGGGAGTGACAATGGTAGAAATATCCCTCGTAGCTCACAGTTTTACAGTTAAAATATTAAACATACAACATCATAAAATACACCATTCCCCTGCAAGACTGGGAGTAGTCTTAAAAATAAAAGTAGTATGAAAAATGTCAGTCTTAGATATCTTTCTAAGTACCATAACATGTGAAATATGAATTTCTGGATATAGGCTGTTTCAGAAGGATGGAACCTTAATTGTCAAACCTTCAATATTGTACAGATCAGGAAACATATTCTACAAGAAAAATAGAACTAAGCTTCATTGACATATTAGCAGAATCTTCAAACTGATTGTGTTTTTCTTCTCCTCTTATATCTCAGTAAATTAGAGATGAACTAGCCTCAGTCTCTTCTTAATAATACCTGGTACCTGGGCTTTTGTTTGTAATTGAACACCTCCGGTTTGGTCGGAATGCCTTTCCTCCTCTGGCCCAGGACCTAGTTCCAGATGTAATTTTCTATACCCTCCTTCCCACCATATGGTAGGCCTCCATTTGTCCAACCAGGCCGGGCCTAATATGAGGGGCTCTATAATGTTTTCCACTACCATGAAGCGGATGCGCTCCCAATGCTCCCCTATCTCCAACCTCACTGGTTCGGTTACTTGGGTTGCCGGAGATCCCCCTAAGATGGACCCGTCCATTTGTTCAAAACGGATGGGGGTTCTCAATGGGACCAAGCGCAGGCCCAGCTCTTTGGCCAGAGAAGCTTGGATCAGGCACCTAGTGCACCCGGAGTCTATTAGGGCCCCTCGGTAAACCATGGTGACGGTGCGGGGATTCCGAAGACCAACCTGGATAATGAAGGGACGGATGGGGGCACTCACCATTGGGTCATGGTTGTCCTCCTCGTCACTGTCGCCCAACACCACCGGCAAGTCCCCGGGTCCTGTAGAGTTCCCCTCCTCCTTGAGGGGACTATCGCTGTCCATTGCCATGGTCTGCGATGCCACCCGGAACTGCTCAGGGGTTATCCGGGTTCTGTCCTTGCCGCCAGTCCGATCAGGTGTGCGCCCCGCCGATGGTTGAGGCAGAGGAAATGGGCAGTCAGCAGACCTATGTCTGGCTTGGTTGCAATGGAAACAACAAAAAGGCGCCTTCCGCGTGGATGCTACGGGCCCAGGTGTAGGAGCGGACTTCCCCGAGTCGTGGACAGCAGATGGTCTGTCAGGTAGTCTTCTCCCCAGCATAGTCCCAGTGGCCCCTCGAAACCGGAATTCCTTCAGCCCCAAATCCAGGTCGATGGCCGCTTTGAACCACTCCATCAAACGGGGCGGTAATCCCCGATACACACAAGCCAGTCGTAGTTCTCTATCCAGGCCAAGGTGGAACTGGTGGACTAACATCCGTTCCGGCCACGCCCGCAACCGTCCGGCAATAGATCGAAAATCTTTCACATACTCTCTAGCTGGTCGGCCCCTCTGTCGCAAAGCCACCAATTCCCCTTCAGCCTGCTGGATGTGGGAGTCGTCTTCGAAACGGACCCGAAGACCTTCCAGAAACAGACCCACGTCTGTCAACTCTTGAGCGTGGTCGCTATGGAGGTCAGCCACCCAGTCAGCTGCCTCTCCTTGCAAGACCGTCGTAACTGCCACTACCATGGACCACTGGGTGGGGTAAAACCATCCATACAGGTCGAAATAGCTGATGACCTGGCTCAGAAAGATAGCCACTCTGTCTGCGCTGCCATTGAATGACGCTTGTAGCAGAGGCGGGCCCCACATCGGTTGAGGTTGCCACGGCCCCTGACCGGGAGGTCCTGCATATCCGGGAGCTGGGTGAGCTGGAGGCGGGGGTGGTTGTTGCGCCCGATGCTGTTGACCGTCCGGAACACGCCTCGTGTTGGCCTGCTGATTATCCGCCTGAAGGGACTGCGGGGTGGGGGCGTGTCTTCCCCCGTGACCGGTAGCCCCTGAATCGGGCTCTGTAGAGTGAGAACAGGTCTCTGGTTTCGCCTGTTCCGGGCTTCGTGCTCTACCTGCGGATGTATCCAACCGTAATTTAGGGCTAGCCAACCGAAACTGGGTTGCCCCGGACGTCTTCTGGGGCTCTGCCACATAGGGGGGGGCTCCACCCCTTCGGTCCATGGCTGCCACGATGGAGCATCCCGGAAACTGCTCTCCCCAAACCGCTCCCTCAGGATATCCAGTGTGGAGGAACCAAGGCCGGTGGAATAACTCCACTCACCCCCTTCATCAACATATACCCAGCGTCTTTCTTTCCAACGCCAGAAAGGCTCAGCCGAGGGGGTGATGATAGGAGCTTTCCCCACTTCCCCGGAGCCAGCCACTGCCGGGCTGTGCCACCAACCGGCTGGAAGAGACACATCTGTCTGCTTCGTTTCTGCTTCACCCGCTCCTCCGCCCTCCTCGCCTTGACTTGTGGGCCGTTCTTTCGGCCTCACCACTGGCTGCGCCTTGTCCAAGACCATCGGGCGTGCGCTCACCTCCTCTGCCAGTGTCTCTGCTAACGCTTCCACGTCGGGCTCCGTTCCTTCCGACATGCCAAATATCCAGGTGCACCTCAAGAACGAAACTAGAACGAACGGAGTGCCAACTTTCTCTCAGCTCCTTGTCCCGCACAGCACGGAGACAGCAATAAAACACAGCTGGACACATCAACCGTAGGGTGAATCCTGGTTTAGTGCTTTCGTCAGATACGAGACAACGCCAAGCCACAAAATCTTTCAAAGTTGGCGCTATGAGCATCCGCCTCGTAACGCTTTATATCTTAGCGCCCCACCCCTTTCGTAATGATCGGGCATTGTCCATCAGCTGTGCCAGTGTAATTCGTGATCGCATTTCCGGCATTCCTCCTAGCATTCGCGTTTCCGTCTCCCTAGTTATCCTAGCCTGACGCCCTTCCACCCCCTCACGTGTCGCCTGCACCCCGTGCCACCTCCACCGCTACAACATCTTGCTGATTTGTCATAGGAGTCTATGAGTTATATCCGCCACCGGTCCTCCACCGTTCCTCCTTCCGGTCCCGTCCGTATGCCGAGCACGCCGGGCTCGACAAACTAACTAACTAACTAACTCCTTTTAAGGGCTTAAGGGTTTCTACCCTTTTCATAATGGCTTCTGAATATTTCCCTCAAAGCCTAATGTTACATTGTTGACTCTCATTAGTAGACATACTGCTGCATTTTGTATTAGGCATATGCTTCTTCCCACAAATTATTATTTTCCTCTCTAAATATGACTATGTTATGCTCTATCCCTCAAACACTCAATAAGAGTCTTTGTGTCTCCAAAGTTGCTTCCTCCTTATTTAAGGCAACATGTTATTTTTTTCAAAAAGCAATATATGTTTATTTTCTTAAAAAATTGATGCTTACAGTTGCTACACAAAGCAAAATAATATATAATATGCTTTCCATTCTTAAGTCTTGCCATCCAAAGATATTGAGGAATGCTATTACACATTAAAAAAAATATTTCTTTTAATAATAACATAGTGATAGAAAAGCTATAAAAGTTTTGGGTTGATTTTTTTTCTTATTATATGCCTCCTTCTTATAGTGAAAATCAGCAGTTCTTGAAAGAGGTGGTGCACAATGTCCTAGATGGACAAGGAATTGGTTGGTTAAACATGAAGAAAGTACGTCGTCTCTTGGAAAGTGAACAACTCCGTATGTTTGTGTTAAGTAAGCTTAATCGCACTATCCAGTCAGAGGAGGATGCTCGACAGGATGTTGTCCAGGATGTGGTTAGTTTTATTTTTATTTTTTTCCTCTCATCCATTCATGAATGAATTTTGCTGTGAGTTTCTATACTGAAGCTTATTTAAGGTGGCTCACAAGGGAACTGCTACTACAAATCTTAAAATATGAAGAATAAAATAATTCAAATTAATGGAGCAAATGTTGTAGATCAATAAGGAAATTGCTTGCTGAAAAGCACTGTTAGTACCTTCTAATGAAATGTACTTGGCAAAATGTTTTTTCGTAAGAGCTGAACCTCAATACAGGTAGTCCTCAATTTACGACCACAATTGAGTCCAAAATTTATGTTCTTAAGTGAGAAATCTGTTAAATGAGTTTTGCCCCATTTTACGACTTTTCTTGCCACATTGGTTAAGTGAATCACTGCAGTTATTAAATTAGTAGCATGGCTGTTAAGTGAATGGCGCTTCCCCATTGACTTTCCTTAGGAGAAGGTCTGCAAAAGGGGATCAACGTGACCCCAGGACACTGCAACTCTCATAAATGTGAGTCAGTTGTCAAGCATCCAAATGTAAATTACGTGACCATGGGGATGCTGCCAGGGCCATAAGTGTGAAAAATGGTCATAACTCACTTTTTTCAGTGCTGTTTTAACTTTGAATGGTCACTAAATGAACTGTTGTAAGTTGAGGACTGCCTATATGGTCATCTTAACTGAGAAGTACTATTTCCAACTGACAGTAGAAAATGGAGGCAGACCTCTCTGAACGAGCTCATTTCCCAGATAAATTCATATGGGCAGAAGAATGCCCAACGATATCACAAAGGGTTTAAGGAGCCAATACTAGAAGTAAGGATTAAAAGATATTAACCAATTATTTAGTTTGAAGCACCTTAATTTATATTCAGAAATTATTTGCTTATTAACATAGTTTCTCTATTGCCAACTTTTGTGGATTCCCAGTCACTAACAGAATTATAAAATATTATGACATATAAAAGCATTCCTAGCACTCAGTGGTGAAATGTAAAATTTGTTACTATCGGTTCTGTGGGCGTGGCTTGGTTGTGGTCTTGGTTGTAGCCATGTGGATGGGCATGGGCAACTTTTTTTTTTTATCTTTTAAAACCATTTTTTCTTCAACCTCTTTGGACGAAGAGGTTGTAAAACAATGCTTTTAAAAGCTTCTGACGATTCCAGCTGAGTTGCCTGATCAGCAGAGGCTTTTTTTTTTCTTTTAAAAGCATTTTTTCTACAACCTCCTCGGCCGAAGAGGTTGTAGAAAAAATGCTTTTAAAAGTGTCTGACGATCCCAGCTGAGCTGCGTGTTCATGAGAGGCTTTTTTTTTTTTACTTTTAAAAGCATTTTTTCAGCTGAAATGGTTGTAGAAAAAATGCTTTTAAAAATAAAAAAAAAAGCTTCTGATGATTGCGCGGCTCAGCCAGGCATGGGTGGGGGGCAGGGATTTTTGCTACCGGTTCTCCAAACCACCTGCCCCCATTGCTACCAGATCAGGTGATCCGGTCCGAACCGGGAGCATTTCACCCTTGCTAGCAGCGTAAAACCTCTTTTTCATAACAGATTCTTTCATCAGCCATTAAAGTCCGAGTGGATGATAGAGTTAAAGGAAATATCCCATTGGTTTGTTTCAGCTTAATAGTAGCAGATATTTTTCAGTAGGTTTAGAAACAGTCCCACATAAAGCATATGACAATGACTAAGATACAGATGATTGAGAAGAGCCGGAATTTTTAACCTAACTGTGAACATAACATAAAAGATCATAACATTAAAAAACATTAAAGAGGCCTGCTGGATTCTTGAGTACTCAAACTAAGAATTAGAGAAAGCATAATTCAATTGAAAGTGAATATGTATCTCTTGGATTCTCAGATTCATCAATCAGTAATATCTCTACCTCAATTATGTCTCAATGTATTCTCTTGTGTCTAATCCAAAACTGTCCAAGCACTGGCTTAAAGGTTCTGTCCAAGCACTGGCTTAAAGGTTGGAATCTGAAAATAGAAAGAAATAGAACTAGTTGCCATTTGACAAGTAGTTCCTTATAGATGAGAAACAAAAAGCCAAAGATGTTTATTTGTGATATTTATATCCCCTGAGTTGAAGGTGACAGAAATACTTTGACAGTTCTCCCATCAACCATCTGTGAAAACAAGTTCGGTTGAATGAGATTGGCCCAAGTGATGCAGTGAGGTTCCATCCCGAGGGCCCACATACATATATATGGATGGATGTGAGAGAATATGCATAAACATCAGCACCATTTTCAGGGATTCATTTTTAAGAGAAAGGGATGGAAATACCAGAAGTGTGGTGGCTCAGTGGCTTAATGATATTGGAGATGGTTTCTGTTCCAGTGGTTCGAGTTCTAACATAGTGATTCCCGTAACGCACCTCAGCTTCTGTCCATCTAACAATATGAAAGCATGTTCTATGCAAGTAGATAAAATAGGTACCACTTCAATGGGGAGATGAACTGGTACGCCATGCAGGCAGTTAGATTCCTGTCCTCTGATCCTTCCTGGATGCAGCACCCATTTATGAGGTGGCTCTGGGGAGGGAGGGGGCCTTGGATGATGCTGCAGGAAGAGCCACTTGTCTTTCTTTCTGGTGTGAAGCCAGCTCTCCCTCTTGTGGCGCACCATGGGAAGCATGCAAGTGTTTCCTACAACAGAGCTGGTATCTTGGCAGCCAGACTACTACTCTGCAACTGCATTGTAGTTTCCTGGCTAATGTAACAATGCCATGTAATAACAACAACAACAACAACAAAAATAGATATTATTATAATATATATAGATAATATATAGATAATATATAATATATATATAATATAGAAAATAGAATAATAGATAATATAATATAAATAATTATTATTATTATTATTATTATTATTATTATTAATTGAGTTGAAGAAAAAGAACTGGAAAAAAATCACGAAATATCCCGACCTGGCCATTGAAACTACACGGCTATGGATGAAACGTGTAACAGTGATACCCATTGTCATCGGGGCACTTGGTACCATGTCCAAAAATTTTACAAAGCACATCAAGAAATTGCAGCTTCCTGCAATAACACCAGCGGAACTGCAAAAAACTGCGCTACTCGGAACATCATATGTTTTAAGAAGATACCTGGTTGATACCTAGGACGCTGGCAGCAACCCGTATCAACAATTAGCACCAGTCAATCGTATTTGTGACACATTTTTAAACATTCGGTTGACTGTGTTTCATGTTTAATGAATAAAAGAGATAATAATAGAGACACCATAAAACAACACCCAGTTTAAGAGCATACTGTGTCCTGCAGAGATGCTGTTAAGAAATTTAAAAAATACTGAGCTAGATGGACTAATAATATATGATACTTTCCTTTAAATTACAGACAGCATAATTAAATTATAGAAAATGAATTAAAATGCAAGGGAATTGTGGTCTTTTGAATAATATCTTGAAAGGGCTGTGGAATTGGCTTCTGATTAACAAAGCATTCTTACAGATGAGCTTTTTTGTTTTAGGAGATTAACCGAAAGGTTTACAAAGGAATGCTGGATATACTAAAATGTACAGTATCAAGCCTTGAGCACTCATATGCAAATGCTGGACTTGGAGGCATGGCAAGTGTGTTTGGCTTGCTAGAAATAGCTCATACTCATTACTATAACAAAGGTAAGATAGTACTAAAAATGAGTTTATAAATACTATAAATACTGTAAAAAGCCTTATGTGGCAGAACTAAATCTAGCCTGCCACAGTCAATAATCATATGGACTTTCTTTAAATAGAGGCTATAAAGAAATTGTGACTTAATTATTAGTATCAGTTATAATATGTTATTTGCTTTGTTTTGTTGGTTTCAGGAAATATTTGTGTGAATGACTGAGAAACAGGCAGGCAAAAACAGACATTGTCATTCCCTCAAGAAGTAAAGTGCAAAAAATAGTATTAGATCCCTAAATTGGTGTTTATCCTCTTTCATACTTCTGGTATTCACTCAAGAGGTATGATATTAAAGGTGAAGTTTGACTGTAGTAAATCTGAGTTAATGCTTTTCAAATCTAGGTAAATTACCCCAGATTGAGTAAAAGTAGTTTTTCTTTTGGTAAAGATACCAACCTATTTATTACCCAATCACAACAGGGACATTTAAATAAGGACTTTCTAATAAGTGGTTCTGGGTAACAAAGGAACTTAGCACTTTGGGAAGTACTAAGTTATATGAAACTGCCTGATTGACATTTTGATTCATTTTGTTCAGAATGCACATTCCACTTAGTCATTTTATTAGCAAATCAGCATTAAGCTGATCATTACCACTAAAATAAGTAAAAAAAAAAGTATGTTTCAGTTGTATTGCTTATGAAGCAGAGTGGGGAATGATTAAATGGTTATGAATAAGAGACAAGCAGTGAATGCAATATACTTCCTTCGTCATCAACCTGGCTTATTGCATGAATTGTTCAAGGGAAAAAGGATCACAAAGTTGGTGGAGCTTGTATGTTGTTTCTTCTCTGTAATCTGGCCACTTTCAGGGAGATGGGAGGTGATAGGAAAACCAGACGTTTTCAGAGTCAATTGAATTGATTACATTGAATCAATTCCAATGTAAAAATATAGGAATCAAACATATTTGACTTTCTAATTAAGTCTTTATTCATTGTCTTCAACAAGTCATTGTCTGGTTAAAACAATGAATAACCATTTGATTATTTGGTTATTTATATATATACGTTGGTGGCATCCTCAAGAGCTGGTCTGAAGTTATAGAGATTAGTGATTTATTCAAGATGTGTGTTCCTAGAAGACTGTGGTTAGAGTTGGAAGGGTGCTTTGCAAAACATATTGCTTGATTGAACAGTAAAAGCATTAGAGCAGGGGTCCCCAACCTCTGGTCTGTGGACCTGTACTGGGCCACGTTATGCCAAAAACTGAGCAATGCAAACAAGTGAAGCCCCATCCACGAGATGCAGACAGCATGCAAAACCATGTCCCCTCCGGTCCACAGAAAAACCTCTCTCTACAGAACCAGGCCCTAGTACCCAAAAGGTTGGGAGCCATTGCATTATAGCAATCTGCAAAAGTTGCTCAGTTTTCAGATGGTTTGTACAGGCCGACTCCAAACTTATTTGAGAAGCTGAAAATGGACAGAAATGATTGAATTAAACAAACCTATATTCACATTTCTTGTTTAGCTTTTGCATTAACAGACATCCCATATTTAAATGTCACTTATTTCTGCAAGTAGTTGACACTGACATATATACATCTCTTATTATATGAAACAAGACTTCCATCAGTAGTGGCCTGATTGGTGAGGAAGAATGCTATAACAGGGCATTGCTTTAAATAGAGTTTCATAACAATGGACATATAGAATACATATGTATTCTTCTGCATACAAGCCAGCCGTGATTTTAAGATGTCTAATCTAATTGTAACACCACATGTAAGTTCCAATATAGAATCTATGTGCTACTAAAAGTCATTGTCATTATTAACTGGGTGAAATGATGCATCATAAGGCAACAATTTTTGGAACTACATGCCTCAAATGGGCTAACTTTTAGAATGTGCCCAAAATCCAGGATCCATGACACCCGAGGGAGTGAAATTTGGGAAAGTTATGGCTGCTTCAATGCTACTAGCTGCTGCTGTGCTGCTGCTGCGGTCGTTTGATCTTCATGTTCAATAATTTGTGACAGTTTCCCGGACAGTCTTGCAATCCCTTGCTCTCTCTCTTATTAGGCAGCAGCTACTTACCTTCCTGCTGGAAAGGGAAGGGAGGGAGGGAGGAACAGGAAGAAACCCCTGCATATCTTCCCTGCCAGCCCCCCTACGACTTGTGCCACCTCTCCTTCCCTGACCAGCACTGACCTCTCATGTGCCTTCCCAACCAATGCAGCACCTCTTGTGTGCCCCCCCCCCAAACTTGCTGAACAGCATTGGCAAATAACATTTCTTGACCTGATACTGCAGATACATTAAGTTTGGCAAGAGTTTTTCATTGTAAGGTCATCATAAGGTTACTTGTTAGAGGAGAAATTTTCCTTAACTGGAAAAAAACACCAAGTCACAATTTGATAGCCAGCTAAATTCATAAAATAACCAAGTTTCAATATATTAGATTATGTATCTGTATTTTGTGAATTTCTCTTTAACTGCTGATGATATCTAGAAGTGAGAGTATTTTTCATGATTGTAAAGAATTAATACCATTAACACTATCAAGCCTTTCTCTCAATCCTTCTCATTCCCTCTTCCGATTGTTGTTGGTATATTTACTTGGGGTTTTTTTTTTTGGCTGTTTATCTCTCTGTGTTCCTTTCTTTTAAAGAGCCTGAAAAAAGAAAGCGAAGCCCAACAGATGGAGCAATCACTCCGGTTGGCAAAGATCCTATTTTAGCCAGGAGGGTGGAACCGAAACCCAAGGTGCAACTACAAGTACCTCAGCTCATGCCAAGGGCACCAGGCCTCTCAGGGAAAGGGCCAAGGGAGTTTGACACAAGGAGTTTAAAGGAGGAAAATTTTGTAGCTTCTATTGGTGTGTATTTAAATATACGTGGAATGCAGGAAAGTGATTGTGCATTGGCATTAGAATCTACTTGCATCTTTCCCATTAAAACATTATTCCCTTCATTGCTCTAGTAATGCGCTTCACTCTCACTCAGTTTGCAAAGACTAGTCATATATTTTCTTCTCCCATTTTGAACAAGAATCAACTCAACATTTCGGATGAGTTAATTTCTTTTTTAAAAAATTCGGAGACTATTAATATGATACTGACATCACAGACTTTAATTACATCTAGTTGAGTTACTATAAGCAAATTGGCTGTCTGTCCTTTAATGGGATGTTTTTTGGAAGTTCATATATAAAAGATTGGCTGATTTATAGATAATTGTGGATAATTTTTTTTACAGTCGGATCTATCCATTTTTATTTATAAGTAAATCCCACTGAGTTTTTCAGACTTGGTGCTAGGTATATATGGCATAAATAGATTACAGTTATGTGCATTTGGACTCATGTATTCCTATCACATTGTCTTCCTTTATTCAGCAAAATTACATGTAATCCTTTATCCTCTTAGGTATTCCTAAGAAACAAATAATTGTGCCAAAATACATATAGTAACATATTTGTGAAATATAATTGCATTAGATTTGGAATTATTGCACCATCCAGACAGAAAAACACCTAGCCAGTTTTCTGAATTATTGTCTCTTTGTTCGTTCTGTTAGCTGAATTGTTAGGTTAATGTTTAAATTTTTGCCATTCATGATTTTTTTAAAAAAAATCAGGTTTTGAAGGGTAGAAGCAGAAATAACCATCTATCTATAAAGGAAACAGATTTTTCAATCTCAGGTCACTACAGAAAGATTATATATTTTTTGCAAATTTGTTTATGTAACTTTTTTGCTAACTATTCATCTGCTCTAATTTGAGGTTAATAACCACTGAATCCTATACCAATACGCACATAAAACAATCAGTGACAGTAAGAAAGGAAATATGAACAGCTCTTCTATGTTTGTCTAGTATTAGACAAATCAGTGAAGATGGGAGTTCATTTTCAATCTAATATGAATAAATAACTTAATAAAAGTTGCTCTTATAGTAATTATTACATTACAGTAAAAACTATATAAATACTAATTGCCATATTTTGACTGATGTTCATTGTTCTACCAAATACCGTATTTTTCAGAGTATAAGACACACCTTTTTCCTCCCAAAAAGAGGGTAAAAATCTGGGTGTGTCTTATACTCCGAATGTAGCCCTGTCCAGCTTCTGAAACGGAGGTTTCAGAGGCTGAAAAAAGCATCAGAAACGAAGCTTCAGAAAAAAAGCCCCCAAACAGAGCTTCAGAAAAGAAGCCCCCAAACAGAGCTTTAGGGGCTTTTTTTCTGAAGCTGTTTTGGAGGCTTTCAGATGCAGGAATTTTTTTTTCTTAAATGGAGTTTCAGAAGTTTCAGAGGCAGGAAAAAAGCAAAAAAAAAAAAAAAAGCAAGGCACAGAGCTCACAACCAAGGAACCTGTTGCTAAAATTCACCACTTGGAACAGCTGATTGGGGGTATTCCGGGAGGCTGATCCATCTGCCAATCAGCTTTTTTCTTATTTTCCTCCTCAAAAATTCTGGGGCGTCTTATACTCCGAAAAATACGGTATACTGTGGGGGGAATGGATTTGGTTTTCCAAAAGTTGCAAGTTGTTATATCATTGTTTCATCACAGAAATCCCACTCTCTTTAACCTTCAATAACTTCTAAATCAACTTCTTCTTCTTTTTGTTTTCCCATGTTCTCTTTTTTATTGCAGAATAGTAAGAAATAATTCAACCCACTAGTTCAAATCTTTTTATTTTTATTTTTTTTGATAAGAGATAGGTTTTCAGCTTCCTTTATACCGTGTTTCCCCGAAAATAAGACCCTGTCTTATATTTTTTTTGAACCCTGAAATAAGTGCTTGGCCTTATTGCCACACGCTCAAAAGCCCGATTGGGCTTATTATCAGGGGATGTCTTTTTTGGGGGGAAACAGGGTATGTTTCCTAGCTTCTACTTCCTTCCATAAATTATGCTTTCAAGTTAAATGTTGAACTTAGTTTTCTAGCAAGTTGATTTGATATTATGCCACTAAGCCAGTACCTAGATGTTCCTGACATTTTTTTTTCAATGCAGAAATGCAGACCTAAAATGGTTTCTTCGTTTGCTATGTGGATTGCATTTTTACCTAATTCCGAGATGCTTGTACTCTAAACAAATATTACTCTTTTTATATAGACCTCTCTCAGAATAGCCTTTTTAACATTGCTGAGAGAGTACTGTGAATTGTTTAAATTTGAGGGGGGGCAGTATTTGAACAGACTAAATATGTATGAAAAAAGTGTGTTGGCTAGAAATATTATTTTGGAGACAGAAATAATTTGAATATTGAGCATAAAGACTTTGCCAAAATCTTTTTATAATATGTAATTTCTGTGAAGTCAGATGACATCAGGTGGGTGAGTCTCAGAGTTATTTTATTTTTCTCAGCCACCAAATTGCATGTGATTCTTTTAAAAAAATATTTTTTTATTAAGATAATGGAGGGCTCTGCTCCCGATCTAGCGGAAGAAGAATTATTTCTTCACATGCCAGTTTTCATTAATCTCTGTTTTGGCAGTGCAGGGTTGGGTGGCTTACTTTTGTCTTTTTTTCCCCCCCATTTCCACCTCTGATCAGCATCTGATACTTCTTCTGTCTTTCTCTCCTGCTTGCATTGCATCTTGAGTAGAATTGTGGAACAAGCACCAGGAAGTGACAAAACAAAAAGCTTTGGAAAAACTGAGTAAGGAAAATGATAAAAGGACAGAAACATAATACTCCCCATAGCCTCCCCATAACTGCCAACTCCTTAAGCTTTTGATTGATCACCCATGCCACATGAGCCATAGGACGGACCAAGGAGGTCATTTCATAAAGAAACATAGTGTTGAGTTACCTCAAAGAGCCCTTTCCTATATGAGGAGAGAGAAAAATACTTTAGTTCTTCTGGCTGAGTTTCAAATCCTTCCTTACCACTGAATTTATTTTTTAGACGGTTCTGACAGGTTTCTGTTATAAAGGCATGCTATAGTTGCTGCAACATTTTCATTGAAATAATATTCTGTGTGGAGAGATTGTTGTCCTATTTCTTCAGCAAAAGGAGTTTATAAGGTCCAATTCATAATCTATCATAGATTATCCATCAATTACTTGAGGTTAAAATAATGTGGGGAATTACTTGACCAACTGTGATTAACTTTTAATAGAAGACAAGACTTATATATTGTTTTTAAAACTCTTGTTCTTTATTATCAACCCCAACTGCAATCTTCTGATATGATTTCTAGATATGAGCTAGATATATTCATAAGCATGCACAAATATAAAATACATAAATGTTCATATACACACCATTGATTTAAGTAACTACTAATTAGGAACAAAAGTATGACATGGATGTCTATAGAAAATGGGAGGGAAATTAAAGAGGAAATATGTTGATAGGAAAAGATTAAATACTGTTTTCTTCTTCTATTGAGTGCCCTTTCCTGCCAACATTGTGTAAAAAAGAATATCCATGTTTTGCTGCATGCATCTGTTATATAATGTAGTTTGCCCATGCTATTTCACTAATTAAAATAAGTTTTGTTAGGAACTCCAGATAAATAATAAAATATCACTACTAAATATTACAAATGCAGAGCCTGTAAATTCATGTTTGAAAAATAGCATTTAATCACAATATCCATTTGACTTCTCTGAAGCTGGATCATATATATCATATATTAAAAAGAAAATTAAGAAATATGAATTTGAGCTTTTTTTTTCTTTTAGTCTACTAACAGGCCAAAAATTGGGCTTTATAGAAATGGCTCTAAAAAATTAAATTTTCAGTGGCCCATTGGTATGCAGAGAAATTAACTACATAATACACAATATTGTATACTGCTTTCATATAATACTATAATACAGTATTCTCTGGATGGATATTCAGGAGTAAATTACAGAGTTTAGTAAGGTTTAGTCCAAGCTAGATGTATCTAAGACTGTTCACTTGATTTTTGTAATATATAAGTCTCCTTCTGTTCTCTAAAGTTAATCTTTATTGCCTTCTGTGAATAAATATTTCAAAATATGGTCATTGTAATCAAATAAAATTCAATTTACTTTAATTAAAACTTGTTTCTCCTCCCAATTGGTGTTTACCTTTGGTTAACCAAATGCTTGAAGATATTTTGGTTGTTATATGTCTGCACAATGCACAAATGTACATATAATTGGTGAAACACAAGTGGTAGTATATATTTTAGATAATTTATAAATAAATTCTCTGCTCATAGCCTTTCATTTCAAGCAGTATTATAGACAGCAAATAACCCGTTGGTCAAATGATTTCATTATGATTAGACATCTACATTTTCTACCATTAGTAATTTATCAGCTATTCTATAAATTAATCAGTTCATGTTTAGCCTTTTTTATATATACTAGATTATTTTTGAATGATTAAATGATTTTTTTAAAAAGTTGCTGCAAAACGCATGTCGGTTAAGAGTATAATTATCTGAAAGAAGGTCCTGTGGTTTTTGCTCCTCCATTTTCCTTAATTTTCTGTGAAGCAACCAGAGACATCTATTTGCAACCATGTTTGGAAATACATTTTGAATCACGGAAACCAACATTTATAAACTTCTGTCAATTACTTTTTGAGTGCTTTAAAATATATTCAATTCAAAGCTTTTTAATGAAATCTCCTGGGAGTATGTACAACTACATAGCATTTTTGGATTAACTAAATATCTTTGGTGTAGTTTACTATTTTTGAATAATAGATTATCCTAGAAATCTATACTAAGTGCCCTTCTATTCAAGAACACATGAGCTGTTATTTGTGTTTCACATTCTTGTTCCCTATTTCTCTCTCTTTCTTTCTGTCTCTCTCGTCTGATACTGTCTACTAGTAGGTATCTGGCATAACTCCACTCATACTTTTAATTCCCAACTCACACTATTTAGTGGTATGCAAGGTATTTCTTGATTGTGCACCTAGTGTCGCCAGATGACATTTCATGTATTTGTCCTGTAATTAAAAGACAAAAAAACCCTCCAAATGCTGGTCATGTGTCCCCGTTATGGAACAGTTGGCAGATATGGCTATGGCAGAAGCATTGTGCTCAGTCTCTTCCCCCTTCTGAAATCTTAATGGTGAACCTGTGTAGTTTGTAATATATTTTTCTCCTGCTTCCTTACTCCCATGGCACAGTGTTTTCCAAACCCTTCCCAATTCTGTCTCTCCTTTCATCCATTTTCTAACATTTCATCAGAAAAAGAGTTTTTTTAAAAAAAGGTGAACTGCATGCATCTCTTCGGCTTCTATATTATTTATAAAGAGAATGGGATAATCAGTGCATGTCATGTCAATTGCTGATATGTACACTCTTACTGTTTTTACTTTTGTTATTACAAACTCTGGAGAGCCATTCATTTCCTCCTTTCAGTGCTTTGTAATTTTTCTTCCGAAGTTCATGTTTTACCTTTCTTTGTGGCACACAAATGATTGATTATTGCTTTTTGGTTGGTTGGTTAGTTTTTCCATTTGCTAGTGAGACAAGTGGAATGAAAATCAATGTATTGCATGGTGTAAAAATTGTCCAATGTTAAGAAATATTTCTTTCTAAAAAGCAACAGGCACAGAGCCAGTCTTACATACAAAAGGTAAAGGTATGGCTTTCCAGAGTAATGTGATGACCGTCTGGCATGCTTTGAATTAATTTGAATTGTTTGATGCCTGCTTTATTCTCTTCCTTTCCTAGTAATGATTGTTTAAGACAATTTCTCTATTTCTCAGGTGCAGTGACATTTGGACAAAATAATTGGCTGTGAAAAACTGAGCTACATTATTAATCCATGGTATTGAAAAAATAGGGAAGAAGAAGATTCTATGGGTCCTCTTTGGACTACTCATTCACACCTCCAGTTTTCTGCCCTATAATTCTTTTACTTTTCCTTCTCGTATTAATAGGATTGTTTATTTTGCTTCGAATAGGGTCAGAAGGTACAAAACACTTCTTTGACTTGGGAGAGACAGATGAGAAGAAATCCCAGATTAGTGCTGACAGTGGTCTAAGCTTAACCTCCAGCTCTCAGGTAAGTGTACAGTAGCTGTTCACTTTGGAATGGGCACGTTGTGAAAAAATTTTTGTCACCTTGTAAAATAATCCAGCCTTTTAGTGTGGGTGTGATAGCCTCGAGAAATATGAAAATGTCTTTTTTAACCATTCTAATTTTGTAGATATTTGGGCAGGTGAAAAATTGTCCCAACTATCCCCAACTCCCAAAGACCACCTTGACTAAACCTACAAACAGAAACAGGAATGTCTAATGTGTATTATTTTGCTTCCTGTCAATTCATGATTTCAGAAGAGTGATCTGGATTCTGTGGCAAGTGTGGGGCCTGCTGTTATGATCCGAAGCACCAGCCAAGATTCTGAAGTTAGCACAGTGGTAGGGCATTCCAAAATGAAATGTCTGGGTTTGATTTTAACAGTTTTTTTTCCAGACTTCCTTGTGTATGTGTATTTTTTTCTAAACCTGTAAGTTATAGGTGCTGTGTATATGCTTTTGGTTACATTTTCTCCTTAATTTTCTATATTTTTATTTGAGATTGTCCTCTAGTTGAGGACATATCCTTTTCAAAAGGCATGAGTGCCTTATTCATTCCTATAATTTTACATTAAGTTGTCATATATTGATTTTATGTTTATATTGATTTTGCTTATCTTAAATGCATTGGGAAGCATAGTATACATTTGTTTGTGGCCTGTTTTACAACAATTCTGACCTTATAGCTTTTTTGAAATAAATTTATTGAAGATTATATTATAAAACCAATACAAAGCATAAATAATGCATACTATAAAATATATATTAAAATAAAACAATAAAAAGCAGAAAGAAAAAGTGTAAAAAGAACCCTTCTTCAATCTCAGCAAGTATAGTCAATGTTAACGATTTATCATTATCCCTTAAAAAAACTCAACCATCTCTTCATCCCATATATCACACCCCTCTTTATAAACCAATCTTTAAAACATCGTTTCTGTCTTAATCAGCAAAAGTCCATTAAAAATTATCAGAAATAATAACATGACAATTACAAACTATATATATTAAAGTGAATCATTCCTTTCATATTTATATCTCTTTTTCTGTTTTCAACATAATCTCCTTATTTTTTCTCTTCAAAACAGCTAGCACTTAGTTTGGGTAATGAAATGTCTACAAAACAACAACAACCAAACTCAGAGAGCACTAGGGGCTCATTTCAACCCTGAGCTACAAATATTCTCCTTTACTGGTCTTTAAAACATTATTTGGTCTGATCAGAAAAAAACTATCGAACATTATCAAAAATAACAATCTATTTTAATCTTCCCACAGGAAGGATTTTTTTAAGATTCCTAGCTCTTAATCTGTTTAAAACTTTTTAAAACCAACACCAATAATCCTTTTACTATATTATTCCAGGGTTTTTTTGTACAAATCTTTAAACTCGTAGCTAGAACTTTTTTCTTAAAAAGATTGAAGAAAACTTGCCATTCTCATGTTTCTTAATCTTTAAGCAGCAGTAAAAAATATAAATCCATTTAATTAAAAAGTGCACCTAGGCTACATTAACGGTTGTAAACTTGATGGAATTCTGCGACTCCTAACTGATCAGAAGTCAACTGCAAAAATGTCCTTTCCTGCCAGCTACTCACACACAAAACCCCCCACCTGTTCATGTGACATCGTGCAATCTATCCTTTTTGCAGAAGAGATTCTGACAATTTGGATCTGGCATTCAGCTGTAACATTGTCCTTCTATTTAGGGACATCAGTTCGCCATTGCTCTCAATAGAAATTTAATAATTCTGACCTTATAGCTTTGTTTGCAGAGGATGTGTATCTCTAATTTAAAGATTATTAAACTAGGGATTTATTAAATTAAATTTACCTCTAAATTATCTATAAATTAGCCCCGGAGTAAGTAGAGTTACTCCAATAGTGAGATGGGCATCAAATAAATTTAATAAATAAATTTAATAGTAAATATAAAGGAAATTAATAACAGGATTATAGAACAACTCTAGCAATCAGGCTAGATAAAAGTTTATCTGGAGAATGCTTTGATAGGCTTTCAAGATTCTACTTATTTGCCCAACATTCTGTTTCATTATCTTACCAGTACTAAAGATCTTTCCAGAAATCCAGATAGCTTTGTTTCTTGAATTTGTCACCATTGTAGAGCTTGACAGAATCTGATGTATTGTTAAAAATTCAGTGAATATGTTAATGGTAAAATGAAGGCCAAGATTCTGGGTTTTTTGTAGCTTTTGAATAAGTAACATTAAGACTTAAACCAAAAGCCCTTTGTCCTTATACATATTGGATCCATATTCCCAGTATGGATCCTGTTGTAATATATCCAAGGACACCCACTATCTTCCCATTTTATTTTTAGTTCATACGGTAGAATGTTGAGATTTTGTTAATTTTGAATTAACAAATGCAAATTGCATTGTTGTCTTTGCAGTATATTGAGCAATACATAGGTAGACTGTTTGTTTCCTTCTTCAGGTGAGCAACAGCTCTGGAGAAACGCTTGGAGCAGATAGTGACCTGAGCAGCAATGCTGGTGATGGCCTTGGTGGAGAGATTAGTGGAAATTTAACAGGATCACGAGGCACCGTCTCAGACAGTGAAATTGAAACAAATTCTGCTACTAGTGCTATATTTGTAAGAATATACTTCATTTCTTAGGTGTTCTGGTGTTGAGGATTGTTACAGCTCTTATCTGGTGGAAGGAAATTTTGTTAAAGTAGCTCATCCATAATGATGAGCTGCCAATCCAAATGTGGTTGCCAATTTATCTGCCCCATATATACAGTGTATTTCCAATTTACTATACATCCATACCCTTCAAAGTTCACTGCAAATACAAATCAACAAATGATAAGTGCACCTATATCAGTGATGGTGAGCCTTTGTGCGGAAACATTGCACACATGCTCGTTGGGGCCGCCCTTTGGAAAAGCTGAAGTTCCGGGTTCTGGCACGCATGCACATTTGACAATCAGCTGGCCGGACAGCTGATCATCTATATAGTATGAGCATGTTTAAACAACATGTATTTTAGCTGACAGAATTTGAGAAGTGGCTATGCTTGTTCTTATGTCCTTTGCAGTTTGAATTATTTATCTCCTCGGTAAGTTTACTATTTCATATTAAGAACCATCTTGTTAATTAACTATGTAATAAGAATTTTCTGTCCTATTTTTGCTTTTTTAAAAGGGTAAATCTCATAGTGTGAAAAAAACAATTAAAGATAATAAATGCAGCAGCCCTGGAAGAGTTCCAGAAGATGCAAGTCAACGAGTTTATCTCTTTGAGGGTTTACTTGGTAAGAATAAAATTTTAGTTTCATACATTCTCTAGTCTTTAGATCTTTTCAAAATAAAACTGAGTAATGATGTGAAGCTACCATGAATTCTCTATAATGTCTGAATTCTCTGACAGCATTACATACAAATTGTAACTTCATTGTATTCCTCAAAGCATTATCATTTACTTGAAAATATTGGATTGTTCATTTATTCTATGCTCTATGCAGGATGGCTTTAACATTGTAATTAGCGTACAGTAAATGTTTATCTGATCTGAGCAAATACCTAGGTTATCATATTTATCTGAAAAAAGAAGACCACAAATTTAAAACGATCACCCACAAAAGAAGAGGAGACAAAAAAGGGGGGAAAATACTGTATGAGGTTTAGAGAAGGTTAAATTCACTAAGCAAAGAACCCCTCCCCTCCTGAAGTAGATCAATCTTCAAGCCATCCCTGATGATCAGCAGTAATGTTTCTGGCTCTTGCATTTCTTGCTATTCATTTGCTTTTAAAAGCTTGTTAGTCACTTCTCACACTTGACTAAGAAGTCAAAAAGATTGCTTTTTAACAACCTAAGCTTGACTTGGATGATACATTACTGTCTAAAAAGGCATAAACTTTCATGAGCTGATTTTTTGCCATCATAGACTAATACAGTTCTTCTTCTATAATGTTTACTATCCATAAAATTTCATGAAGAAGCCTTCATCCTGTAGTGGATTAATAACAACAGCAACAACAATAATGACAATATATATTTATGATTTAAAGTAATTTTGATTGAGGATATTTAGAAACTGTTAAATTCTGAGATGTATATTTAAATTACTATCTTGAGATATCATTATGAAGTCTAGCATTGATCATTATATGCTTGTATTAACTCCTCACTCACTTTAACTGCATTTTTAAATATTTCTTGTGGAAAAACAAATTGATCTGTCTCATTAATCCTTATCAAATGCTTAGATTTGTCATTTATTTTTATTCTCTCTTGCTGCCATGTTGCTGCTTGCTTGGAATTGTAAAGGGAGGGATAAAGGATCTGTCTGGGACCAGTTAGAGGATGCTGCCATGGAAACCTTCTCTATGAGTAATCATTTCTTCTTTCTGCTTTTCTGTGTGCATTAAAAAAATCTTGACTGTATGACTTTTCCTTATTTCTGACTTCTACGACAGTTTCAGTTAGGATATTTGTAGAACAAGAAAGGAAACGATGTGCACTTTAGGAATAACTTATGAAGTAAAATCAGAAGTAGCCTATTTAGTGGCATAGAATAAGATAACTGGTTTAATCACACTTCATTATTTGTGGGAGAAATTGTTTATATGATTCTGTCTTATAAAAATATGAAATCTCTGGTTAACAAAAAAACTGCTGTCTAGGTAAAGAGCGTTCAACTCTGTGGGATCAGATGCAGTTCTGGGAAGATGCTTTTCTGGATGCTGTGATGTTAGAAAGAGAAGGGATGGGAATGGATCAGGGGCCTCAAGAGATGATTGACAGGTAAAGTATAGATCTCTCCACCATTTCTGTCTGCAATGTGTAAGTTATAACTTAACCTGTGTAGGAATTCAGGATGCAATTTTATTCTGGATAATTTGTTCACAGGTATAAGTATAAGTGTAAATAATTACTACTTATCTACGGAGATTCTCAGTCATCCAGGTCATGGTTGTTCCAAAGGTGCTTTTTCAAGAGGCAACTAGACTTTCTGGTTTTTCTTTGAAGATGTTTCGCTTCTCATCCAAGAAGCTTCTTCAGCTCTGAAGAAGCTTCTTGGATGAGAAGTGAAACATCTTCAAAGAAAAATCAGAAAGTCCAGTTGCCTCTTGTAAAAGCACCTTTGGAACAATTACTACTTATGTGTAAAATTTTCTCCTTCATAAGCTCTTTTCTGTCTTTGCTCATCTTAAATGCAGAGGCTATTAAGGGAAACATTTTTATGTAAAGTAAATTTTAACTAAGAGCATCTTGTAATCAGTGATTGACTGATCACTGTTGGCTTCAGTTAATATATGTTTTTTTTTCCTGTAGATATTTTTCTTTAGGAGAACATGACCGAAAACGTTTAGAATATGATGAAGACCGTTTATTGGCTACTTTGCTTCACAATATGATTGCATACATGATTATGATGAAGGTGCTTTTTTTGTTTTTGTATTTTAGATTGGGTCTTGTGATGGGTGATGCTATAATATGTCTTTGCATGATACAGACTGCACTTTTTGAAGTAAGGTGTTAAGGATCAACTTTTCTCATTCTAGTTGCTAAGGCTTAGGCTTCACTTTCTTTTCAGCTAACTGGAATTGGAGGGGAGGACAATCTCTGGGAGAAATTATTTCTCCCAGAGAGTTGGTTTGCTGATGTAATTTATGTTGGAAATTTATATGGTTGTTTTATCATTCTACAGGTTTTATATTTATATATTGTTCAAAATCCTTCAGGATTGTGATGGATTATAAAAACATTAATTAATTAACAGCAAAACAAAAATGTGCTTATCTGTATGATTTGGTCTATCTGTCTTTGCTCCCAGAACCACCTTGGAAGTGCCTGGTGGGAGTACATTTCATTTCTTTCAGTTATTTAAAATTGTGCTGCTTCGACGGATGATAAGGCAGGCAGATGAGAAGACAGTGTATATGTCAGACATATGATCACATATTCCGGAACAATCCAATATTAGTGGCTGGTATAACAAATTGTCAAGCATTTTTGTTTCATTAAAAATCTTGAAAATTATTAAAACTTGCAACTTGAACTGGTGTATTATCTAATTCATGCATTAATTGAAATACAATAACACATCACATTTTTTAACTTATACTGATGTGTGGATCTCCATAAATGATGGGAAAGTATCACTAACAAAGTATTGCATTTTGCTATTTAGGTGCAGAAGAATGATATTAGGAAGAAAGTACGCCGTTTGATGGGGAAATCTCACATTGGCTTAGTTCATAGTCAAGAAATAAATGAAATACTTGACAAAATTTCCAACATAGTAAGTAAAACATATATTTGTTTCTTTGCTGTGAGGGGAAGAAATAAAAACATTAAATTTCAGCTTGTACTTCCAATATCAATGGTATCACTTGTCAAATATTTGAAAGTATATAGAGAAGTTTGCATACTTCTAATATGCTTAACATGTAATATATATAAGATAATAATTCTGCATCAAGTTCATAGTCATGGAATATGTTTTTCTTCTGTGGTACAGCTCAGAAGTAATTTATTAGAATATTGACTTGTTATTCCAGAGAAATATCAGATATTCCAGAAGAAGGTGGGACTCAAACATGGGCACTAGTACATGTAAATGGCATTGACTGACTTTTTACAGGCATTGTTTTTTTTTGAACTTCAGTTGCAGTGATTCTCAGGAGTCTAGTAAGAAGCTACTGAAGATCTTTCGTATTTTCTGAAACTGATGAGATTTGCAAGACTTTTGAAAAGCAGTAGATAGGCTTTCTCTGCTCTGTGGTTAAATTCTGTTGACTTTGGGGATTTCTGAAAAAGCAATTGTCTGAACTGAATCTTAGACATTTTATAAAGATTACAAAAGAAAGTTTGCTTTTAAAAGATTGTGTCCATAGTTCAAATAGTGAGTCATTTTGCTGTTGAGCTATATCTGTATTTTTATTGAAAGACTGATAGGATTCTTTCATTGAAACTTCATTTATTCATCAGTAGAGTACAGTAGACTGCTTTGCTGATGTATTAGATTATCTTGTAATTTTTCTGCTAAAATAGCTAAAAATAGTTGCTATAGTTTTGATCTTTTAATGATTAATGTTTCTATTGTACAAATGCTTGAGGAATTTTTTGTTAACAGCCATGTTCTATGTTTTAAGAATATGAATAAAATATGTAAGACATTTGTTTTAAACCTATGGTGCGAATCTAGTCCAATTTAAGGACTTTCAGCTCCCATGAGTTATATTAGGTGAGAGTGGCTTTGTATATTAAGAGATTCTGACTTTCAATTATGTAATGTGAGGACTGAAAAGAATGCACTCTTTTATTTATTTATTTTCTTTAGACTGGCAGGGAGTTTGCCATCCGACCAAGTGGCAGTAGACATATTAAGAAACAAACATTTGTTGTACATGCTGGCACAGATACAACAGGGGACATATTCTTCATGGAGGTAGAGATCAGATTAAATGTTAATTGAGTTACTGGGTTGAACTCTATGAAGTTTTATGCATAAAACTATTTATATTTCTAGGTATGTGATGACTGCATTGTGTTGAGAAGCAACATTGGCACTGTGTATGAACGTTGGTGGTACGAAAAATTGATTAATATGACATACTGTCCCAAAACAAAAGTGCTGTGTCTTTGGAGGAGGAATGGACAGGAAACACAACTGAATAAGTTCTACACTAAAAAGGTATGTTTTCTACAATTTTTTTCTTTAGAAAAAAGGGAAGATACAAACATCTATTTTATTATTTTACTGGACATTTTTGTAAAGCACAAGAAATGAAAGTCTAATGAAAGTGATTTATTGCTAATCTTGCTTACGCACAAGAATCTTCTCAGCTAATGGTTGTACACAGGAATCTTCTCAAGAAATGGTTAGCAACTGCTAGAAGTTAGATAAGGAACAATGGAATTTAAGGGAGATTGGATTTAGTTCACTTGTGGCTATATAGGAATTCTAGGCTGATCCCTCTTTTAACTCCATCCCCAGGGCTCTGCACTCATTCTCCTGCAATTTTAGAATTTTGGCCCCTAACAAGATTCTTTAGATGCCACTGTATTTTTTGCACTTATTAGCCTCCTCGGCAAATCTGATTATTTCCACTGATGCCCAATCTCAGAAGATAATAAGAGTGGGTAGCTATAATCTTGTGCTTTGTTTAGAAGTGTGTCCACTAACTAAGAAAAAACAACAACACACCAGATAAGCTGGAGTTAGAAAGGCGGTCCCTTACCAGTTTGCCTTTTAGTAAATGAATAATGGTCATGTCATTATTTGCCAAATTGTTTGTAATGGGATGTCTCTTATGTTTGTTTTTAAAGGAAGATGTTACTTACATTCTACTTAATCCTCATTTTAGATCATATTCATTCAAAATATAGGTTTTAATTTTAGCAATCCTAAAAGAAAAGTTATTTTAAAAAATTGTAATCAAAATGTCAATTTTATTTACTGTATTCCTTTTCCTTTTCTTTTCCCCTTCCCTTTGCTTCCCTTCCGTTTCCCCAAGAAGCCTTTTTTTTCCTCAGAAGCACTGAAGTATTGGGGGAATTGTTTCACTTTATCTTCACAGTAATCTTGGATCCTCTGATGTTTCTAGTATACAAATAAAGCATGTTTAAATGTCACCCAAATGTATCTTTATATGTAATGCCTGGTTGGCTATCAATCTTTATCTTATAGAAAATCTTTAGGTTTGAAGAGAAAATGCCTTAAATGTATCACTTTCCTTTCTAAAGACAGCATAAGCTAAAATCTGATAGAGTGGATACAATCTTGTCTTCTTTAATTACTCAAACTAAACAGTTCTGTCTGTGCATAAAAGACAGTATATCTACACTATAATTGGAGCTAAAGAAAGAAGGTTGTCACAGTCAAACATCTCTAAAATGATAGCAATGTTTGGATAACTTTATTACGTTTACTTCTGTTTTATTATTTTCTTTTTCTACAGTGCTGGTTTTGCTCTAAATAGCAATAATGTTATTGACCTTAAAACTGATGCATTGTGGACACATATTAAGCATTCATAAGCTCCTGGGCAATTTGGATCCAATAACTATTTCTTAATATTTTGACTAGATTTTGGGAAGATGCAGTGCATAGGTTTATATAGTAGTTTTATTTTGAAGAGGTACTTCAGAAGAACATTGCGCTGCCTGCGTCTGATTAAAGCAACTGCATCTTTTTCCAAGATTGTACCAAAGCGATACAGAGTTCCCGTGAAAAATCATATTGTCATATGTCTTTTTTGTCCTTTGCAATTATGGTATTTTGTTAGTTCATTGCTGTACTTACCATTTTATTTCCTTTTATTTCAATCTGCTACAGTGCCGGGAGTTATATTATTGTGTAAAAGATAGTATGGAAAGAGCAGCTGCAAGACAACAGAGCATAAAGCCAGGTAAGATTTTAGTTTTTTTTTTTTTAATGACAAGCATTATTAGAGCATTTATGTAGCTCTTTTTGTTAAAAATCTGAAAGTATTAAACTTCCTATTTTATCCAGTTTAGCAAAATAGAATTATTTTATTTTTGGATGGTATATATGTATGTATGTATGTATGTATGTATGTATGTATGTGTATGTATGTATGTATGTATGTATGTATGTATGTATGTATATATATATCTTTATGCATACACCTACACCTACACATAAGCAATACATTACTGCATGATTACTGTTATAGAAAGAAATAAACATATAGCAACTAATTCCAATTAGAGAATCAGATAGAGAGAAGTATCTATCTTAGATACTTTACTAAGGCGCATTTATGACCTTCACCACATTGCTAAGTCATGTGATCACCATTAATACATGTCCTGTACCTGATCTATAGTTTTTTTCCCCCTCTCCCTCCCTTGCAGAGCAGATAAACTGAAAGAAAAAAGTTTGCAAGAAAGTAAGCTGTTTGGTCTTTTGCACATCAAAAGCAATGCGATTCTAATGACAGCCCAGGGCTAAGAGCCATAGGTGTGCTATAAAAGCAGTTTACAGCAGGGGTGAAATCCAGCAGGTTCTGATAGGTTCTGGAGAACCAGTAGCGGAAATTTTGAGTAGTTCAGAGAACTAACAAATACCACCTCTGGCTGGCCCCAGAGTGGGGTGGGAATGGAGATTTTGCAATATCCTTCCCCCAGGAGTGGGGAGGGAATGAGGATTTTGCAGTATCCTTCCCCTGCCACAGCCACCAAGCTATGCCACCAAGCTATACCACACCACAGCCACCAAGCCACACCCACAGAACCAGTAGTAAAAAAAAAATGGATTTCACCACTGGCTTACACTATGCTTTTGAAATTTTATCTCTCCACTCTGTAAGGGAAATGGAGAGAAAAAAAGCAATCAATCCACCCTCCCAAGTTAAAGTGCAACATTCTGTTAATGTAGCTTTACAATAAAGTGGAATTAGCTCACCTGGTTGTGTTTTCTGTCTCTCAGTGTCATTCCCACATGCCATTACAGAACGGATGTAAAACTCAATTGTGTCATGTGATGTCACGTGGTGTATCACAGCTTTATTTATTTATTTATTTATTTATTTATTTATTTATTTATTTATTTATTTATTTATTATTCCAATTTATATACCGCCCTTCTCCTGAAGGTCTCAGGGCGGTGTAGAGTCAAAAGTAAAAGCAAACAAATATAAAATTTAAAAACGATTTAAAAGCATATTAAATAATTTGGCCCAGTTATTCAAATAAAACACCCGTTTTAAAATGTTAAAAAATTAAAAAAGTTAAAAAATTAGGCCAGCCCAGCTTGTTGGAATAAAAACATTTTGAGGGCATGGCGAAAGGTGCGCAAGTCGGGAATCCTCCCAAGGGGCAGTTCGTTCCAGAAGGCAGGTGCCCCCACAGAGAAGGCTCTCCCCCTGGGGGTCACCAGTCAACATTGTTTGACCAACGGCACCCGGAGGAGCCCCTCTCTGTGGGAGCGTACTGGCTGGTGGGAGGCTATTGGTAGCAGCAGGCGGTCTTGTAAGTACCCAGGTCCAAAGCCATGGAGTGCTCTGAAGATAGTAACCAGGACCTTGAATCACACCCGGAAGACCACCGGAAGCCAGTGCAGCTCGCGCAGGAGAGGTGTTACATGGGAGTACCATGTCGCTCCCACAATCACCCGCGCGCCCGCATTTTGGACCAGTTGGAGCCTCCGGGTGCTCTTCAAGGAGAGCCCCATGTAGAAAGCATTACAGTAGTCCAGGCAGGAAGTGACGAGGGCATGAGTGACCATGCGCAAGGAGTCCTTTTTGCCTTTGCCTTTTTGCCTTTGCCTTTTTGCCTTTGCGAAGCTGGGGTGGGTGTGGCCTGCATGTGATGCATCCAACTTGCGGGCCACCAGTTTTGACACCCTTGCATTACAGTAAAGACTACCTGTAATTTACAAGCCTTAATGATCCTCCATTCTTTTATGACTCATTGAAAAAGAAGGATCAGGAGAAAGGCATTCTCTAAAATATTGAAATAAGATCTAAACTTGTCTGTATCATTTATGCAAGTGTTAGAGAGTAAAACTTCATTTGTCCCTTTCCTATGTTTCTGTTATAGTGCTGTGTATATCTATTTTTCAAATCAGTAAAATGTACTAAATTAGTCCTTGATAATGGCAGGAAAGATGTCTGATGTTCACTTTAACACGTTTGCTGCTAAAAGATACTGATGCCTATTCATACTTTCAAGGCATTGTTTTTTTTTCAAAGGCATTGTTGGGTCAATATATGTATAATTTGGAAGTGTAAAAGTGTGAATCTGTTTCCCATGTTTATTGTATCAGTTGTTTAGATGTAAATGTGATTCTTTGAATATTTTTCTGTATATAATATCAATTATAAGCCAGCATAGTATAATAGATAATATGTTGGACTGACATTGGGACAATCAAAGGCCAGCCTCAGCCACAGAAGCTCAGAGGTGACTTTGGGCCAATCTTTCTATTCTCAGCCCAACTTACTTCAGAGAGTCATTGGGAGGAAAAATTGGAATGCCATGGATATAGTCTGGAACTCATTTAGAAAATTTGGAATATCAATACAATATTAACAAAAATATACATATATCAGTATTGCAAATAGTTGTACAGAAAGAACATAGAAAAATATATTTAAAGACTGAAATGCAGAGCAGAAACACACACATAAAAAAACCAGAATAGTTCAGCATGTGTTGCTAATGATATCACAAACTTTTATAATAAAAAAACCCAAAAGCTTAGCTGATTGTTAATGTAGCTTTTGGTCAGTGGCATAATCACATCTGGAATATTGTGTTCAATCAATTCTGATTGCCACACCTTAAAACGGATATAAGCAGACCTAGAGAAAGTTCAGAGGAGGGCAACAAAGATGATAAAAGGATTGGAACAGCTTCCCAATGAGGAAAAGTTTTGAGATTTGGGGCTTTTTAATCTAGAAAGGAGGTAAATAAGAGGGGACATGATTGCAAAAAGAATCAGAATAGAGCTGGAAGGGACCTTGGAGGTCTTCCACTGGTTAATTGTCCTTGCTGTTAGGAAGTTTCTCCTTGATTCCAGGTTGCTTCTCTCCTTGATTAGTTTCCATCCATCCAAAATGCTATACATGGTGTAAATAAAGTAGACAAGAAAAAGCTGTTTTCCCCTTCCCAAAATTCTAGAAACAGAGGTTACCTAATGCAATTGGATCCTGGAAGAAACAAGGCTGACAAAGGGATTTTTTTTACACAACATGTAATTAAACTTTGAAATTTGCTTCTAAAAGATGTGGTCTTGGCTACCAATTTGGCTGGTTTCAAAAAAAAAAAAGGGGGGGGGTTGGACTAATATATAGAAGTCATGGGGATCAGTGGCTATTGCCTTTATAGTAGTGTGGCTGCTTCTGAAGGCCATTTGCTGAGAAGCTAGTGGTTTCTTGTGCAATTTTTTGGCCACTGTGAGAAAACAGAACTGGACCAGATAAGCCAATTGATGATATGGATGTTCACATACAGTCTTAGGCTGACTGTACTAAATGAGGCAGAATGTTGCTTGACAATGAGGCAAGGCAAACTATGCTGGCATATTTCTCTTCCATCTCAAGGGTTGAAAGAATGCACCACAATGTCCTGAAGAAGAGCCCTAAGATTATCTCATTATGATTCTGCCTTGAGAGATCTTCTGCATCTTTGCAGTAGAAACTTAAATAGTCCTGTGGTTCTGTTTTGGAAGAAGGATTATATGTTAGAAAATTAGTCCTTTTCTTTTTGTGTTAATGATTTGGTGTTTGGATATATTTTCTTATTTGTTTTCTCCCTTTATTTTCTGTTTGTGTTATAGGACCTGAACTTGGTGGGGAATTTCCTGTACAGGATATGAAAACTGGCGAAGGAGGCCTTCTCCAAGTCACACTGGAAGGAATTAATTTGAAATTCATGCATAGTCAGGTAGGAAATTGCCTGTAACAGATCTTAAAGTAGCATGAATGTGCTTGAAGAACACCAGTAAATGTGTTTCCTCTTCCCTATACCAGAAAAGGGAAAGAGAAATGTCACAACTATCAATGTTTTTTTTTAATGACAGGTGGTTCTTGTTAGGTAGAACAGATAATTTTTAAATCTGCTTTAAAATTGTTTTTAATAATGAAAAGCAGATTAATTTTTAAATGAATGTATATGGGAGTTATTGACTATGTTTTTAAACTTCAGTAAAATAATAAGAATGGTATTTTTCAGAAACATAGGCTTCAGTTTATTTGTAATTAATTTATAGTGAGTTTGTTCATATTTTCTTCATGGTTCAAATGAAGAAAGTGTTTTAATTGAAAAAAAACCATTGAGATGATGATGTGCATTTGTCCATGTTAGATTTCTGCAAAGCATCTCAAGCAACATTTAACAATCCTGGGTATGCTCTGACAGATTGCATAAATGTGGCACTTAAATATATTAGCCAAACATTACAAAGCTGTTTTATTACCACTTATATCTGGTTTATTTATACTGATATTCATTACATGAAAAAAAATGAGCTAGAATTGGCGATTGCAAGTTATTATTTTTTTTAAATAGTTGTCCTGCATCATATGCTTTTCTTTGTGGTTAAAAGTATTCTGGGCAACATACCAGGCAAAGAGATTTTCTCAACAGTAATACAGATATCTTATTTTGCTCCCTTTATTAATAGAGCTTTATCTCTGGGTATAGAGGAAACACAAATGGAATTACGTGCCACTTTTTCTTTCTTTAGATGTATGTTCTTTTTGCTTCTCTTATTCAATGATTTTATTTTGCTTCATGTTCATGTTTGTTTTGCAAATAACGTACAATCAGTTTTAGGGTTTTGTGTGCTTGTATATCTGTGTGTAAGACTGTATAAGAATGAGACAGAGGAGAAAAGTTAAATTTGTCATTCAGTCTTTTGTGCAATTGTATTTATATTATTTGTTTTTGGTAAGTTTAATTGTTTTTGGTGTCTCTGAGAACCCTGGACTATACTTCAGAACCTCTGAAAATACATGATTGAAAATATACACGCATTTGAAGATTCCTTTGAAATTTATACTGCGGTTACATGCAGTGCTCAGGAGATAGGTTGCTTTTCAGCTGAAATTATGTGCAACTATTAAAGAGTGCAATGGTACTTTTTCATTCTTCTCTAATTCAGTGGTCCAGTGCACACATGGGTTCACATGTGCACACATGCCTGATTCCAAGTCCCTGATGAATGAACAACATATTATTGTGTCAAGCTTCTTACAATAAAAAAAGAAAAATGCATAAGCAGAGTTAACAATAATATGGCATTGACATTTATAGGGGAGGAAAGCAAAGGAAGAGCAGAGAAAAAGATTAGAAAGAGACTGCCAATTTATTTCATGTACAAAGCAAGTCTCCCCCAAACCCCATAACCAAACTGTGCAGCTGTCCTCTTCCTTGCTCCTTTCTCAAATCAATAATAATGAATCCTCAAAGGCAAAAGTTGACAGATCACACACATTGTTGAACCTTAGGTGCAGGTTTGTCCTTACAATGTTATGCATTGATTCTTTATATCCAAATGATCATTAAAACTGGAAGAAATGGGTTTTTTTTGTTTTTTTAGGGAAATCCATTTTAAAGCAGTTTTCAAATGAGATGAAACAGAAGGGAGAAGAGGTGGAGTTTAGACAATGTATGTTTTGTTGTTATGTTGAAGATAAATGTGAAGAGTCATACCCTTTATAGTAGCCATTTTGAGACTATGCCACTGATTCCAAATGTCTCCCAAATCTAAAAATATTGCATTCTGGATCTCTTCATTTGAATGTGTTGGAGAATTACAGCTATAATGCACAGAGATGAAATAATTCAAAGTAATTATATGAAGCCAATTTCTTCAAATTTTTAACAGTTACTCTATTACAGTGCTTCTTGATCTTGGCAGCTTTAAGATGACTAAACTTCAACTCCCAGAATTGCCCAGCTAGCCATGTTGGCTAGGGAATTCTGGGAATTAAAGTCTAGACATCTTAACTTTAGCAAAATTGAGAAACAATGCTCTAGTTCTATGTTATTTTGGCAGCTGCTAGTCTAAAGTCAAAAGGAGGGCTGTCAAACACCCAGCCCACAGGCTGGATGCGTCACGCGCTGGGCACACCCAGACCTGGTTTAGCAAAGGGAAAAAAGTCCCGATACTTTACGTGACATTGCCGTGACAACATGAGTTTGATACCCCTGGTCTAGAGGGAGACTATAGCGGATCAGGCAACTTAGCTGGGATCGCCAGAGGCTTTTAAAGGTTTTTTTTTTTCTACAACCTCTTTGGCCGAAGAGGTTGCAGAAAAAAATGATTTTAAAAGCCTCTGAGGTTCCCAGCTGAGCCGCGTGATCATCAGAGCCTTTTTTTTTTTTTTTTTACTTTTAAAAGCATTTTTTCGGCCGAAGAGGTTGTAGAAAAAAATGGTTTAAAAAAAAAAGCCTCTGATGAGGTGGGCGGGGTAAGCGAGCGGCAACCGGGCCGGGGACCGGTTCGGGGGCATGGTCAGCCAATGTTATTACCGGTTCTCCGAACTACTACAAATTTTTACTACTGGTTCTTGCGAACCGGAAGCAACCCACCACTGATGCAGACTTTCCCAAAAGAGGGAATAATGATGTGAATCTGTTGGATGAACTACAGGAAACATTTATGGAAACATAATTGACAATACAAACATCCTGGCAATGTAATCAATTATTTGAGCAAGAAATTCAAGAAAGACATAAATAATTGCATTGTTAAAAGGTTTTAAAATAGGCATATCACAGTTTTCAAATAAGTCCCCAAGCTTCTCCGCCTATTGGTGATGTATCATTTGGGGGACCCATCCATCTCCAATACGTTAAATTATCCCTTTCTTACCAGAGGTTTGCCCATCCCTTTTTTTAGAGGAATACGTGCTGTGTTAGCCAACCATGCTGAATGTTCAATGAGCATTCAGGTAGCGTTTTTTAGAATACATCTTCCAAGAAAGATGCTTAAATGAACCTCAAAGCCAGCAGGAAGGAAAACTGCTGGTTTATAATGACTGATAATTTGATAGATGCTATTATAAATAATAGAGAATTAAAAGCTCTGTGTAGGGAAAAATAAATATACTTGGGAAGCTGCTGACAGCATTTTTATTACTGCTAGGTGACTCTCAGTAGAAACAAAATAGAAGTCCTATAAATGTGAAGATACTTTTTCCCCACAGCTGCAGTGGTTGGCTAGTCCATTTATAAATCCATTAAATAATATATTGTAATAGAAAGATATATTATTAAATACTAGTTTTTAATATCCTTTATTAACATATGTTTTTAATATTAGATGGCAAGAAGTAAATCTATTGTTACAACTTCAGGAGGAAAAATCCTGAAAACTGTGGAAATTGGGTTAAAAATTCTATTTCCATAATTCATGATAATTCCTGCATGTTTTCATATACTTATTAACTGCCCCTTCCAATGCTTGATTATTAATTTATTATAAGTTTGAAGATGGTTACTAACATGCCAATGGCTGTTATTTACAAATTGTTGCAGATCATAGAGGCCTATAGACTACCTAAAGTTCTAAAATATTTTTTTAAAAAGAAATCAGTATTTTTTCATAGATCACGCAATATGTTGGTTAGTAAAATGGTTTAAAATTGTAAAACTGATTAGGGTTGTGGAGGAATCTCCAGCCAGGTCATGGCTGTCTCAAAGGTGCTTTTTCAAAAGGCAACTGGACTATGTTTTTTCCTTGAGGAAGAAGACGTTTTGCTTCTCATCTAAGAAGCTTCATTAGTTCTGACCTTGCCTTTTGAAAAAGCACCTTTGAAACATGGGAGAAAGACCAGATCCATGAAGCCTTCACCTGCCCATTCCCAAGAGAATGCACTTAGTGTGGTGAGATTTTTGTAAATAGGAAAATAGCAATAAAGAAACTACCGTACTTTGTTCACACGGTCGTTCTGGTTCCTTGCAGCTGGCAAGATCTAATCCAGTGTCTAAAACTAGTAATTAAGCTAATAGTAATTGTAGTTTTTTTTAACAAAAGATTAAACATTTTACTTATAATTAGCATGGATATCTGTTATTAAAATGAACACTTCTCCCTAAAAATTTAGTTTTGTTTATTGGAACAGGAAATAAATTTGCATGTAGTGTAATTGTAGCAGAACAGATTTGGCTATAAATGTTCAGTTCTGTCACGTTATTTTCAATCTTGCTCAGGCTGTTGCATACTTATGACTGGTTGTAGCATCCTATGGTCACAATTGCCGTTGCCAACCTTCTCTGCCAGCTTCCCACAAGTAAAGTCAATAGGGAAGTTGGCAAGGAAGGTCACAAGTCACTCAGGTCAGTCTCCCTCAACACGGGCCTTTTCTTTGCTTGTACGCACAAGCACCTTCCTTTCCTAAGCTGCCTGCACTTGTACACAGGCATGCACCCACTAGCACTTTCCTTCCCTGGCCTCCCTGTGCACATGCATGCACATACCCTGTGCCCTTTCCCAGCCTTTTCGTCTTTGTATACACACATCCCACACCCTCTTCCACGATCTCCTTGTGCTGGTGCACATGCATACACACATGTACACACCCATCCCCACATTTCCTGTGCTTGCTCACACATTCATCGTGTAACTTTCCCCCCCAGCTTCCTGCACTTGTACCAGTTTCCCCTCCCTGCAATCATACACATGCATGCAAGCACCTCACACCATCTTACCCCAGCCATTCTGAGCTCGTGCCACACTGCAATACTCCCCCAAATTGTGCGTATCCTGCACTGGGCCTGTTAGGGCCTCCCGATTCGCCCTGTCGCACCCCTATGCTTTTTAACTGGAACTCCCTCTGCTTCCCACTTAACAACCCATGTTGAATTCTGCATTAGTTGTAGCCTTTGACTAGATTTATGAATGCCTCTTTTTGCATCACTAAAATATAAGCCATATCCTAAAGATGGTCAGATGTAAAATATATTTTTTGTCAAGACTACCCTGTTTCTCTGAAAATAAGACATCCCCTGATAATAAGCCCAACCAGGCTTTTGAGCGCATTTGCTAAAATAAGCCTCCCCTCAAAAATAAGCCCTCCCCGAAAATATTTAAATGCAGAGCTGGAAATCAGGTAGGATGGCAAGAGGAGCCCCATCTTGCTCCATGCACCCCAAAATAATAAGACCTCTCCAAAAATAAGGCCAAGTGCTTATTTTGGGCTTCAAAAAAATATAAGTCAGGGTCTTATTTTCGGGGAAATGCGGTATTTGCAGAAGAAATTTTAAAAAGAGGTTGCACATGCCAACTCCATCTCTTGTTTAGTGTTGTACATCTGAAAAATTTTCATAAGGAAGGGAGTAGTTCATGACATGGTCCAATCTTATTTCAATAGAAATTTTAGATTCTCCTCTTCATTGAGGTTTTAAATACCTTTTCTTATAAATATTAATTCTGTTCCTAGCCTCATTTAACTATTGTTTCCATTCAACAAGGTTAAGGTTTGTTGTAAGAATTTCAAGCACCTGTGAAGGCCCTCACACCTCCAAAGTTTGCATCAAGTAGTTATTTAGTTATTGTGGGATTGTGACTGGTGTAGGGGATAGTAGAGAAAGGGAAAAGTTTATCTCAAGCAAAGATTCTAGACAATCTTACTTTTTCCCATTATCCAAGATAATGTTTTGTTACCAAAGAGAGGATCCCCTTTTGTTAGCTGTTAGCTAATTGGAATGGTGATCAGAAATACATTTATGCAAATGTCATAATACTTGTTTGATAGTATGAGAGGAATATAACCTTTTGTAATTTCTGCAATTAAAGGAAAATCTTACAATAATTATAGTACTTTTTCATTTGTACTAAAATAATTGTACAAAAGTTTGCCATTTTATGAGCTTTTTTTTTTTCTTTTAGAAAATACTATTATCTGGCCCTGGACATTTGAAAGTGGCATTTGAGGTGTTTAGACAAAACTGGTTATCATCTTAAGCTAAATTTCCATGATACATTTATTTTCGCCATCCACCCTATCACAATAAAAAGACTAGCTTCCCTTTTTATTCCTTGGAGTTGATATCAGTACCGTTCTAAGAAATACTTGGGAATTTCAATTATTGGTAAAACTAAGGTGTAAATATTCTTTTGAATAGATTTTCTTTCTGCATCTCTTCCCTGTAAATAATAAATTGCTCCTCATTCTGACTGAAGTTAATGGCATTACATTTTGGAGGATGTGGGTGGATGTGTGAAATGATGCTGTGGCCATTAAAATCAGAGTATTTGCATATTTTACAGATTTGATTTCTGACTCACAGAAATAAAAAATCTATTGCATTTTTCCTAACCTTTGTTTTCTTGGCACTTTGTGTCAAGGTACAGTCCATGAATCCTGAAAGGAGGCTTTATCGAATATGGAACCATAGCAGACAACTGGTTTGGGTGGGAAGCATGGCACCTCTTGCCTGCCCTCTGTGCTGGAGGAGGATGCATGGAGGGGTAGATATTTGATGGGATGGGACAAGATTACAAATCAGAGACCAAAATTGGGAGTATTCTTTGTCCCTTCTTTTGTTGTATTTTGAGGTGTGTGGTTTTTCCTCCGTCCCCACTTTCTTTCTTTTATTGAGTGCCTGAAGGGAGTAGCAATGTTGAATTACCGGTATGTCAGAGTTACTAACTCCTTCGTTTCTCTTCCATGCTTTCTCCTCCTGCAAGGAGCGGAAGGTACTTCATCTTCTGCTGTCTTAGCTTCTTAGCCTTTTAAGTTTGTTGATTTCTAGCATTGTGGCAAGTTTTCAATATTTACTTTGAAATTCCTCTTTCTTTTGGTTTAAATAATTGTAGCTTGATTAGTAGTATGAATTACAACATCTCAAACATTCCAAGTTAAACCTGCTGTGGTGTGCATTTTTATGTTTATATTATTTAGAAAGAATTTCCTCCTTTAGCCTAATCTTGTCTTTTTCCCTCCTGTTTTCTTTCAGGTTTTCATAGAGCTGAATCACATTAAAAAGTGCAATACAGTGCGTGGCGTCTTTGTCCTGGAAGAATTTGGTAATTACATTATTTTGATATTAGGTTTGTACCTGCATGGCAGTAACTCAAATTTCTAGTCCTCTCCGAGAGGCAGAGCTGTAGCTCTTTTAGACAGTACGCTTTGTTTTGTTTGCTAAGATGGCAGAGGAACTAAAGATCGAATGAAGAAAAGTTGGAAAATAAAGGTGAAAATTAGTAAGCTTATGGCATTCTTCAGTGAAATGACAAAGGAAGACTAGTGATTTCAAGGAGACAGAAAGAAGCATTGATCTCTAAGTACCTTGGCAGCCTGAAAATTGTACTAATTATTTAAATAAAACTGTTTCCAGGTATCATACAAAATATCATGTTATGGGAATGCTCTGTTTGATAAAAGTCATAGTCGCTGTAAATATGTTAGTTTTTGATGCTTTGGAATCTTTGTCACATCTGCTATTAGCACGTCTAATGTTCTTGAATTTGTGAACTGAATCTTTCTTTTGGCTGCTTGAAACAATTTTAATGAATTGAGTAATTGCAATGTGGTCATTTGTCATGGGGACAAAGAAAAAGAGGAGGTGCAAGGAGAAGAATTTGTGCCACACAGAGTGCAGATTTTTTAAATCTGAGTAGAGATATTCCCATCCTGCTTACCCTTTAGGGTTAAACTGGTATACAGAGCACATAGAAAAGGCATATGAAATAGTCAGCCATAGAAATTTAAAAATAAGAAACAGAAGCATGGCTAAAATTCACACTATCACCATATCTTCTCCTTGATTTTCTATAATATCAACCATCCTTTTTTCTACCTTATCCATGAACGTGCCATGGCATTGCCTTTTGTTATTTTATTGTGAGTAAAGAACTTAGAGTATGAATTATTAGTCCAGATGATGTTTTCTCTCAATATAATTTGTTTTAAGAACCCCCCCCTCAAATAACATAGAAATATGTTCTGAATTGGTTTCTCTAAGACCAATTTGTAAGGTTCTTGTCACATGCACTGCACCAAATGTCAATTTACACAAATTTTCAACTGCTGCTTAGGATCAAAGGCCCCAGGATTGGGGCAGTCATCTGGATTCTTCATCAGGTTTGGAACAATAGTCCTTGGGTTATACATTCCTACTTCACCTTTCTCAACTGTGCTTTTCCTATTGATTAACATCAAATAAAGGACAAATGGTTACTTGTGCTTTATTTTCCTCTTCTGAAGGAGAATTCTGTCAGAAATCAAATCAGGAATTTCCTTAAAGGACTATGCTTGATACAGCTTGTCCCCAAACTCCTATCACTATAACTTCATGCCTCTTTCAAAGATATGCAATTTGCTTTTGGCAGACATCATTTACGCCATCTCCTTAATTAAACAGGCAATAGTGGACACAAATAGCAATATTATTTTTTTTCTTTCGCATTTAAATGAATAAATTGTTTACTAATTTCCTTTTATGAGGAGGAATGGATCTTTTTAATATATAGTGCAAATGAAGGGGGGATGACATAATGCCTCATAACATGACAACACAAATTCAGAATATAGAATAACAAAGTTGGAAGGGATCTTGGAGGTCTCTAGTCCAACCCTCTGCTCAGGCAGGAGCCCCTATACCATTTCAGACAAATGGTTGTCCAATCTCTTCTTAAAAACTTCCAGCGTTAGAGCATTCACAACTTCTGGATGCAAGTTGTTCCACTGATTAATTGTTCTGTCAGGAAATTTATCCCTAGTTCTAGGTTGTTTCTCTTCTTGATTAGTTTCTATCCATTGTTTTTTGTCCTGCCTTCAGGTGCTTTGGAGAATAGCTTAACCACCTCCATGGTTTATGTAATTGTGTCAAGCATTAAGAAAGAAGTATATAACAACAGCTTTGTGTGGTGTCACTACTGTGCACATATCATTCCCCATCACTGAGTGGGAATACCTGTGGATACCTGTGACAATGAAATTCCTATTCCCTTTGATTGCTTCTTTCTTTGTGAACAATCTGTACCTTTATATTCTACTCACTGGAATCATCCTATTAGTGTCTGTTATATCTATTAAATTATATATGCCCTTCTGTATTAGGATCTCAAGCTTGCCTTTGTTCCCCTCCTCCCCCATAGCATTCGTGTATAAAGAGTGAAGGCCTTCAACTTTATCAGCCAATAATCCTTTTTATTTTTCTGTAATTGGCTCCACTTCAGCAAAATTCCGACTTTCTATAGTTCCTAGGGTGGCCTTATCTGAAGCCATTATTTCAGGAGGTTTTTCCCCCTACTCCACAGGTTCCATTTAAGACCTTCCATTAAAAACTTACTGTGCTTTGGTTGAACACATTTTTACTAGTCCTTATGTGGTGCAGTTCTCCTTGTGTCAATAATGCACCACTGAGGTAATTTAGACTCTGGCAGAAACCACATGTCTGCAGTCAACATCATTACGTAATAGTTTGTAATTGGTTTTAAAGTGTTTTCCCTTTCCTGTGGAACTTTCTTGGCAAAGTCCTGTCAGTCCTTTCTATTCATTTGCTCCCTTGAACCTGACTGCTTTATGTTCTTCCTAATGCTTCTGTTTACTCAGAGGAAGCAGTCATTCCAACAACCTTTCAATTAACAGCCCTCAGTAGCTTTTTGGTCATTATCTATTAGTGGATGATCACTTTGATTTTATACAAAATATGCTTGATTCTGACAACTGGCCTTGTAACTAAGTCCAATATTCTCAGCTGTGGTAATGTAAGTTCGGATACATTATGCATCTCTGTATGATGTTTGAATGCAGCTTCTCTATGTCATATTGAACCGATAGACCAGTAGTGGGTTCCACTTACCTTCGCTACCAGTTCGGAATTGGGAGCTCGCACACTGTGCTTCTGCGCATGCGCAGAACCTTCTGCACATGGACAGAGCATCTGTGATGATGTCCGGGCAGGTGGGCGGAGCCTCCCGCTGCCGCCACTACCGGTTCACCCGAACCGGGCCAAACTGGTAGAAACCCACCACTGTGATAGACCTTGAAGCCCAAATTATCATGGATAAGGCTAAGATCTTATAATTGGTATAGAGTCTCATGTTGTTTGAAATAATTTAGTTGATGAGATACGTCTGAGTTGGAGTGCTCTGTTGCGATGAATTGTTCCAAAAAAAGGTAGGAAGCATCAGATCCTTGGCTCTGAAATTTGAGTTACTGCTATGTACTTGTGCTTTAGTTTTATTGTGGCCCCTTCACTATCGCTGCTATGAAAACCTTCATTCTCCAGCAGGTAATGTGGTCCCTTCATCCCTATCCTTTGCTAGTACTGTGTATGCTCATTAACAGGGCAAGAGACTGCAAGATGTACTTTTGTTTATTTCTTCTTGTAACCTGTTTAATTTGAGCAGTATCAAAAATCAAATGAAATTCTGGGGTAAGGGGGAAGAGGGCAATCCTTTTTCTGAGCTTCATTGTTAAACCCTTGTATGATAGCTATATATTATTCTTATTCTATATACTTTAGAATTCATTTTTTAACCTTATTTCTAATTCTTTTCTTTATAGAGAGGTTATAGCAGATAGATATAGTCAGTGTGATGGTGCCCTTCTAAAATGATATTTAAATGTCAGAGATTTTGCATTTTTTATTCTGACTTGTCTTTCCCTCTTAAGGCCTGGTTTATCTGTTTATCCCTCTTAAGGCCTGGTTACCTGTCTGATTTATCTGTTTGCCTTTTGAAGTCACATACTAACTGCAAAGAAATATTTGTGTGGTTCTTTTTGTGATCATTTGTGGGTAATACAGAGTTAGCCTCAGAATTATGTGATACTAATGAGCAAAATAGTTTCAAAAGATTTTTTTTTTCAGTTTTCTGAATTTTGCATCCTTGACCATGTATGGACTTCATATGGATGGATTTTTTTAGCTCTCCAACATATTTTATATAATATCAATTTATTGTCTCATTCTTCTTTAATAGAGTCCTGTCATCTTTAGTATGTATTGCTTAATATTTACTATGTTCCATTAACTCTCTCTGGTAGCACTTTTTTCTCTTAATAAAAAGGGTATGTCTGGATTTCGTTTGCATCCTCCCCTCCCATATATTAAAGTCAATTGTTCATAGATTGACAGCTATTTTTTTTTCTCTTAGTAGGTAATATGATACTTATTCTACTCATCCTTCCCCATGTAGCCCTGTATAATCCCGTTTCCTTCCTAAAATGGATATGTTTCCTGTTCGGTGTTAAATGATGAAGCAACAAAGCTAACATGGGTTAATATTATTTAGCAAAGAAAGAATTCAGAATTCTGCTCCTATTTTGGCTTTAGAATGTAGATCTTTTTGAATACTTTTGAACTGTTGGCCAAATGCACAGGAAGAACAACTCTTTCTTAGAGACGCTTTTCTTACACTAAGGGCATTTAGAAGTTGATCATCACTCTTTATATACATAAGTACATTTACTTCCAGTTTATCTGTGGATGCATTTCATCAATATTGGGAAATAGTTGCTAAAACCATTTTCTAGTATAAGTGGGACAGATAAGAACCAACAGTTTTTGGAACTTGATAAATGTATTATATACCAAAATTATCTATAGAGTAATTACTAGGACATATAAAAAAATCACATATCATTCAGAGGAATCCCAAATGAATATATATATATATATATATCCTAAAGTATTTGTCACTTTAAATTACTTGTATTTCTATGGACTTGGGTGAATTGTCACAATCGAAGAATATAGAATTAGTTAAAATGTCTTTTTCCTGCAGCTGTTCTATGTTTCCCTTGGACCTTTTGTTACCTTTGGGAACATTATACTATTCCTTTCATTTTTTCCTCTCGTTTTTTGAACTCTTTGTTTTGTCTCTTGCCCGTCCGGTTTTAGTTCCTGAAACTAAAGAAGTGGTGAGCCACAAGTACAAGACACCAATGGTAAGTTACTTAGTATGGTTTTTTGGTTATTTTTCAAAGGTTTTGTTTTCATGCCTAGCATTCGAGATTTTGAAATAATATGTATATGACCAATTTCATACATATATATATATATATATCAGAAATACACTAGGCTAATGATTTTAGAGAGTGCAACAGAATGTGATAGCACAATATTTCATCAGATTGCTTGTACTATTAAGCAAGATTTATGCTTATGATGTAGCTCAAATATTGATAATCTTTAACTTAATTAACATGGAAGTTGAACTACCAATGATTAAAAGTTTATTTTTCTATCTCATTTTTCACAGTGGTAGTTTTTTTTAAAAGAAAAACTAGCAATATAAATTAACTTAATGTGTCTACTTTGAAAAAAACCTGGCACATTATGGATTCATTTGGAGCATAAATATATTAATAATTCTCACTCGAAAGTCCTATGAATTAAGGTTAGAATGCTGGTTTTTATTCCATAGAATTGTCAGGCCATAGCCAGTGGTGGGATTCAAGTAATTTAACAACCGGTTCTCTGCTCTATTGATTTCTTCCAACAACCAGTTTGCCAAACTGCTCAGAAAGTTAACAACCAGTTCTCCCAAAGTGGTGCGAACTGAAGTTCTTTATTGTACCTGTGAAAGTATACCAGAAAATTGAAAAAGATTAATATCCAGCAGTATATTTGGATTATTATCAAATATAAGAAAGACACTTTTCACTTAGCATTAAAACATATAGTATGTACAATACAGCATGCATAAAGGAAATTTAAATAACATTTCCTTTAAACATTACATTGCAATGCAAATGTACAAAGTCATACAAAGTTACACATCTTACTCGACAAAGGATTTGGGGGACAGGTGGAAGGCAAACAGTAAGATTGAATAAAGATTAGGGGTCCTTAGTGATCTCTGAGCTTGATTGTTTTCTTGCAGATGTTTTATTACCTAAACTAGGTAATACCAGTGCAGTGAATAGAGATTAGAAGAGTATTTAGTAACTAACAATTATATTTATAAAGTCATTTAGTTAGGAGAAGAAAGATATCCTATAAAAAAGGTCCCTGAACTGAGCAGTGAATATATTTAACTTTAATCTCTTTATTTGCTGCCAACATGGGATTTTGGAATCTAATCTTAGCAATTAAATTCTATTTGGATTTAGTACAGGTGAAGGTACTTCCAAACTGATTCAACTGTAAACAAAATTTACAATTCATTAGATTTTAATTTTGCAAGCATAAAATGTTGTGTGCTTGCTTGTTCCTGTCAGTGGTGGAGATGGATGAATTGCTCACATCAAGACATTATGTCTTATCATTGCATTTCATTTTATACTTGCTCTAAGTAAGAAAACTTTACATCTACATATACCCAGATACTCAGTATCTGATTATCTTATCTTTTTAATGTCTTCTAGGCTCATGAGATCTGCTATTCGGTATTGTGTCTCTTCTCTTATGTGGCAGCAGTGCGTGGGAAGGAGGCAGAAAGCAAAAGCAAACCACCTCGTCCAGTGTCCAGCTGATCAATGTTATTGTTGAGAAACACATTGCCATGCAATTTTCTCCTTTCTTTTGCAGTTATACAAGCTCACATGAAAACCATTCATATATGGCCCCGTTCTCTTGAAATCCCCTGCAAATCCCCTTTATGGAAATGAAATTTCATGAGCACATTCAGGCCTGTGCTTAAGATATTCTAAGCATTTGCATTCTGTTTATCACTTTCTCTTTCGTATTTAGTTCATCAAGATGGCTCACATGACACTCCCTTCTTTTTATCTCCAGTTGTACTGTTGTTTGTTTAATTTATAGGCATATGCCTTCTGTTTCAGATTTGTTATTGTGTGCATTGTGCAAGCCACTCACTCTTGGATCACCCACTGTTGCTGCTGTTCAGATGCTTACTTTTATTTCCTTTCTTGTTTTTGGTACTTGAATTGTCATTAGAGAATCCTTGCCAATAGCCCTTTTGTAGACTTCTTCAACCCTTTCCACATCAAGGGTTGGAATATATGTATATATATTGTGTCATCAAAGGAATGGCTAAAGATCATAATGCAGGAGTGATTAAATAGTGATCTCATGATCAGTATGCATGTGCTGTACATACTATTTTAAACATAAGACAACAATTTTGCTGACATTCCAGTTCAATTCACTAGTATATAGACATAAATAGATTTCTTTATGATAAGTGTATAGAATTAAATGAGAACAGGAGAAAAGCCACCAAAACCAAGACAGTATGATTGGCTTGAATGTATGAGATAGTCATGTGAAGCCTGAGCGTGTGCAGTGTACTGTTAGAGATACATCCAGTTATTAAAAAGTTGTAAGCATGCACAAATGTATCAGTAGCATTGTATCTTCTCATTTTACGTCTCCCTTTAACCACGGCTTTTGTCAGTCTATTAATGTTTATTTTTAAAAAGCAAAAAATGTCACTGTGTAATGAATTTTCCCCTTCTGGTAAATTTCCATTTGACAATTGTTGAATAGGATGAAAAATAAATGAATTGTCTTTCTACTTTTCATGGACTATACTGGACTCTAATGCAAAAATACACCAAGGTACTTGAAGGAGAAAATTTACAGTAGAGAAGAAACTAGAACATCTGGCAGACTTCTCTGGCTGATGTTGAAGTATCACAGAAGTGATAACATTTCAAGGCAACATGCCTTTAGGAATCGTTGGGCTTGTTCTGCACAATTTAATCTGTATGACTGTTGAATTGACTGCACTATAAAGGGTGGGAGGGGGGAAGAAATGTACATATTTCAGTACCACATATATTTATAGAAAAGTGTACAGTTGTCTGAATGTTAAATTAAAATGCAATTAAACCACTGTTGCCTCTTGTGAAATCTTATTAGTCTTGCGTACCATGTGCATGACTTCAGTTTCAGATAAAACCAAAACTGAAGGGCCCATCTCTAAAATACATAATTTTAGACTAGGTAGACTAGGTAGAAGGAAGGGACATTTATTATGCACAGATTTTGATTAAATATGAAAGCACCTCAGTACAATTTAATGATGTCTTTATAAAAAAAGACAACCGATGCAGAAAATTCATCCATTTGAAGCAAAGCCCTTTGCATTAAGGTCTCCTGAATCAAGGCTGTGTGCATGTGCATGTGTGTAATTGTGTGTATGCTTTTAAAGTATTACATGTTTGTAATTTTAGGTTTTAGAGAAAGGGAATTATCTAAGAGATAAAGTGGGAAACATAACCCAATATTTGGACTGTTTCACATAAACGTAATGTCCTCGCACCTTCAGACTTATAATGAAATGAAATGGACATTTCTTCTTACATTTTTCACCCTACAGCAGGTTTGGTAAATTTTGAACAGGCATGGAGTTTAATTGGCTGCAATTTTGTATCTGTGATCCACTATGAAATACTATGCAAATAAATTATTTGCTCCAAAATGATAGTGTGATAAATTATTTAAGATTGCAAAATGTTGCATTATTTTCACTAAGTTCATTTTAAAAGTGAAATTATGCATTTTCACTAGTTTTGCCAGTGCTTAAGCCTATCCAAGCCAATGTGCAGAAATTAAAAGAAATGTGTGATTCAGTTTGGTTCTTTACACTGCATAAGGAAAACAGAGCAAGGCTTTTATCTATAAGCTCACTTTATTTTTTAGCCTTCTATTGTAACTTTATAACACTTCAGCATGAAGTAACTTACCTAGCTATCAATCAACTGAAATGCAATATAAAAATAATGATAGCTTTTATTACTTTTTGTTAGACTACTTTGATAAACATTTTATTGGTTCAGAACTCAAATTATTCATTTTAAGATCATTGTTGATCATAATGAAGAATATAGTCTTAGCTTTTTTGCTTGAATTGCTATTTTTCTTTCTTTCAACATAATGGATTCTGGTTCTTTCTCTTCTTTCTTTTCTCCCCATGCTGTATATTACGTTTAGCAAATACTTAAGTTATTCGCTGGTTAGTTATCTCAAGCAATTAGATTTTTTTATACCAACTATTTCAATTTCTTTGCTTCTTGCCATTCCTTTAAAGCCCAAGAATAACTGCAAAAATGGAAGCAAAATATCTTACCATCTCATTAGTGAGGACTTCTAAGTTCCTTTGTTGTCCTAAAATAAATGTCTACGCTTTGATTAGCTTCCAGAAAATATCAGTATATTTATCAGAATTTGATGTCTCTGGATTCTCCTCTTAAAATGGGGTAGATTGTAATTGTAAAATCATGTCATTTTATATTGTAATTAGATTAGATTATAATATTTTAGATTTACACATATAGCACCAGCCAAGTTCATTACCTTCAAACACACCCTTGATAAGCATATAGAACTTGAGTCATTGTTTTATGTAGCCTTTGGAAGCCAAAATTTGCATACCCTTATTGACTTATTCTCAGGTAGGGATCTGTGACTACACAGTCTTCCTATGAACTTTTTCCTCCTCCTCCTCCTCCTCCTCCTCCTCCTCCTCCTCCTCCTCCTCCATATCTGTCATCGGACGTTGGGGATCATGTTGGGGATCCTATTTTTATCAACAGCTGCACCAAAAAGTGCTGCTGAGTTTTGTCTAAACCAGTCCCTTAGATTTTGAAGCCATTATGTTCTTCTCCTGCCTGGACCTCATTTGCCTTCAGTCTTTCCCTGGATGATTAAGTGAAGTATGTCATATTTTTCTGGGTGTCGCATCATATGTCTGAAATATTCTAACATTCACTTTTTAATGGTATTGATGATTTCCCTTGGCTTTCCCAAGCAGCTTATCACCTCATTTCTGATTTTGTCAACCCAGTTTATATGTAACAGCAGTTTGTAAATTCACATTTCAAATGCTTCTAGTCTCTTCAAGTGGCTTTCTGTCAGAGACCAACTCTCTACTTTGTAGAGCAAGATAGAAAAGATGTAACATCTGACAAGCCTGATTTTCAATCTTAGGCTTATGTTGTAACTGCAGAAGACCTTTTTCATTTTGAAGAATGCTGTTCGAGCTTTCTCTACCCTTGTCTTTACTTCAGTGGTCATGTCCCAGCTTTCATGTAAATTAGAGCTGAGGTACATGATCCTTTCAATTTTTTCTAGTGGTATTCCTTCCGAATTTATCGGTGATAAATTAATGGGTTGTTTGCTGACAATCATAATCAGTGTTAAAGCTTCAAGCCGTATTTTTCAGATATTTCTGTGACTTTGTTGATGAGCTGAAGGTCTTGATGCTTATGGCAAGCAGAACTGTATCATCAGCATATCTTAAATTGTTGATCCGAACACCGTTTACTTTTAGGCCAGCATCGATGTTTTCCAGTGCTTCGTTGAAAATTGACTCAGAGTAGATATTAATAGCAGAGACACGATACAGCCCTGAACTATGGAGTTGAAATAGTCCTCTTTTATGTTATATAAATATAGACCAAGAAATCACAAACAGCCTGGGAAAATAAGTTTAGTCTGGAAACTGAATGGAAAAGGAAAAGCTGTTGTTTTATTTATTTCCTTATGCAGAAGCAATACATTTTCATTAAAGATACAGTGTTGTGTTTAGAAAAGCACTTTTGGTGCTTTATATTTTGTATCAGTGTTTATAAACTTACATTATTTCCTAAATGTGCATGGAATACATTCAGTATGTGTTAAAACAGGGAACAGAGCTTTATTACAGGTTCTGATGCTGTTGTAAAATATTTTTTAAATTGACTTTGAAAAATGGAATACCAGTCACAAAATGGTGTTACATTTAGTATGCATGGCAATATAAACCAGAAGTTTTCAAACTGTAGTTAAGAATGGAAGACTAAGGATTGATCCCTTAACAGCACAATTCCATACAAGTCAATTCATAACTGAAAACCTGGGATCATCGAGGCTTTCCTTCAGACTAGTATGTATCTGATTATATGCTTAATGCAGTACCAGGTGTGGCTTCAGATCCACATAAGGAGCACTTGAACCCAAGATCTCTAGGTACTTTTCATTGTGTCAGGCCTTTTCTGTCTCCTCACATGACAGCAAAGTTTTGTGCCAATCATTTTAGCAGGAGGAAGTTGAGACCTGGCAAGATAAAAAGTGCCCAGTGGTGTTGGCTGATCCAAAAAGTGGGGTAGATCTTATTTCCTAAAAGTATTGATAACGGCCCCAGCATTCCCATACATCTTTCTATAAAAATCTATTCAATCTAATCTAATAACATTTAAAACTCCCTAATTTTTAAATTCAAATATTTGCACTGCAATATTCTTATCTTCTGTTTTCATTATCTCCCATGGTTTGTTACTGAAGAAGTGATTTTTCCTAAAGGAATGTGTCTGTGCACTTCAGCTATAATGCAAAAACTTGCTATTGGTGAATTCAAACTATACGCTCAGAAAAATAAAACCCATTTGTTTGATTCAAAAGTGAAACCTACACTGACAAAATCCATGTGTAAGTAGACTACATTAAGGGTGTTTAACAAAAAAAAAAAAAAATTGAATTTACAGATTGTTTTGCAGAATTGCCCCATCACTTTTTTCCAATTCAACTCTTAGATAACATTTTTTTTAAAGAGGAACAGAAATTGTTTCTTGGAGAGCTGCACAAAGTCATCAAAAGAGGGGCTTCCCAAGGAATGTGGAGCACCTCTGATGGAATTCTTAAAACAGCCACATCCTTTAGAAAGCTTTCATAGCTGCTTCCAAAGTTATCTGCCATAAATATTACATTAAAAAACAACAACCAAGAGTTTGAAAAATTACACCCCAGTTGTTTGCATGTGAGGCCTAAGCATATGCACTAAGTCACAATATAATGATGCAATTGGTCTCATTCCCAAATGGACTTGTGTTTTTTAAAAAACAAAAACAAAAAACTGATGAATACATTTTATGTTAATTTCCTGTCTATAGATCCCACATACCCTGTTTGTGGTCAAACAGGTTCTACCGTTGTAAAACCATTAGTAACCGAAAATTGCTAAGTTGGCATGATTATAACTCGGGTATGTGGAAGCTCTTATCAAGAACAACAGGTCTTACTAATTGGGAGCAAAGCAGCACAAGAGACTGAAACCGCATCAGGAAATGAATTACATTTGTTCTGTAATTTCCCCAGCAGCAGGAGTGATGAGCATTTCTGACATCCAGAAGCTACTTAGGGCTTTGAGGGGCTGACACATCTGGCTGGGTTTTCTTTATGTTGCTGGCCTCTTCCAATTTGTCCCAGGTGTCCCAAGTTTGCTGGGACAAACAACTCAGTTCCGTATCTGGACTTGCTGATGTCCAGTTGCTTAGAATTTCACTGTGGTGCTGAAGATACCAAAATAAGTAAGAAATAAATCAAGACACATGTTCATGTGTGCTAACAATCCATTTTATCTATCAAAATACTGAGTGTATTTTAATATTCCAGTTGGTCTTGCATTTCTAGTTTTAGGATAATTTTTGTTTGCAGTTTTGAAGGCAAATTGGTGTGCTGTCTGTACTACCCTATGTCACAGTCACAAGCTTTGCTTGTGATCAAAGACTGAGATACTTGGCCTTCTCCTGATCTGTAATGCCCTGATGCCAGAGGTGAGTTTCAGCAGGTTCTGACCAGTTCTGGAGAACCGGTAGTGGAAATTTTGAGTAGTTCGGAGAACCGGTAAATACCACCTCTGACTGGCCCCGCTCCCATCTATTCTCTGCCTCCCGAGTCCCAGCTGATCGGGAGGAAATGGGGATTTTGCAGTATCCTTCCCCTGCCATGCCCACCAAGCCACGCCCACCAAGCCACACCCACAGAACCAGAAGTAAAAAAATTGAATCCCACCACTGCCTGATGCCTTAACCCTGTAATCAGTTTCCTTACAGAGAAATGGGATATAGTAATGTAAATTCAGCAACAGTTCTGTTGCTGCAGATCTGTACAGGAAGTCATTGTGCTTGTAATAAAAAAAAAGGTTCACTTGCTGTGCTACTTTGAGTTTCTGCTAATGTAATGGAGTAGATGTGGCATAGGTTATGATGCTGTGTTATTCCTCATCTGCAACTTGTGGAAGAAAAGGTATGGAATGCATAATGGAACATAAAAAGACAGGGTAGACATAAAGTCTGTGTGTTTCCTTACCTTAACATTCCTTTCTCTTTGCATTGGAGTTGGAATATGAAACCGCTATGAACCATTGCTAAAAAAGCTTTGCTAAAAATGCAAACTGGGCAAGTGATTTATTCATTGCAGACCAAAAAGAACTGCAATGAGTAAATCACTTGCCCAGTTTATATGCAGATAAGTCTACATAAATCTATAGTTTTTTAGTCTACTGTTTAATGTATGTATCCAAAGATGTGGCATAGTATCCAAAAGGACACTGGAACTGCACAGTTAACCTTTAAAGGATACAGACTCAAAGCCTTATCTTTTAGGAAGTTCTATTAAATCCTCTTTAGTACCTCTAACATCCAATCGACACTCTATTTCTGC